TTGCAACTAACCAATGGGTCAAGCTAAACGGTGTCCCAGTTGACGTGATCCGTCTTCAACTCTTCCCCCACTCCCTGGCGGGGCATGCGAAGAGGTGGCTAGAGACTCAGCCACCATTGTCCATCACTTCTTGGGACGATCTGGCCAACAAGTTCATACACAGGTACTATCCGGCCTCTAAGCCTCAGAGATTCAACAGGAGATCACTCATTTTCGCCAAGATGATGAATCGCTGCGAGATGCTTGGCAGCGGTACTTGGGTCTGTTCTGGAAGTGTCCCCATCACGGCTTTAGTGATGCATTCACTATGGGGAATTTCTATAGTGCTCTATCTCCGGAGAGTCAAAGATTGATTGAGCCTTTATGTCCGAGTGGAGACATTCTCACTAAGACTCCACCTGAGCTGAATAAGATGATCACTACTTTGACCGCCAGAGATCATTCTTGGGGGCAGATCACCAGAGGTAGGAACTCTCGCGACAAAGGTGTGCATTCCATGGAGGCAAGGTCAGGGCTTGAGCGAGAGGTGGCAGAGCTGGTTCAGACATTGAAGCAGCCTAACAGTCTCATTCCAGGCAGAGGCATGACCGCACCTCCTGTAGCACAGTGCCAGTGTTGTGAGTGTTTGAACCACTTGGTGGTGGATTGTCAGACTATGCGGGAGTCCTCCACACCCCAGGAGTAGTTGGACTTTATCGCCAATGCTCGGCGCCTTGACCCCTATAGTGGTACCTATAATGAGGGGTGGTGCCAACATCTCAATTTCACCTGGGGGAGAAGAGGGCAACAACAATAGCATCACCAAGCCTCCCAGTTTCACAAAACCACCTGGTTGTTTTCAACAGAGGCAGCAGTACTAGACCCGACAGGGTCCATTTCTGCAGCAGCAGCCGTTTCAGCCCAAATAGGGGCATCCTTCCAGCAGCAACAGATGCAATTCGCCTAGCCGGTATCAGCCCTAGCACAGGGTGACCAGATGTCGGAGCTGAAAAATATGGTGACGACTTTCGTGAGCACTAGTACAGAGAAGTTCGCTAGGATGGACCAGTTCATGGAATTCTCTATGGGGAAATGCAATGCACTGGAGGCAGGCCAAAGAAACCAGAGTGCTATTTTGGAGGACCTCCAGAACCAAATTGGAGGAATCGCACGTAACAATAACACCAGGGAACCGGGAACTCTACCTGGCAACACCATACCAAATCCTCATGAGCCTCACCAGAAGTTAGATGCAATCACTAATGGAAGTGGCAAGACGACGTCTACTAAACCTGCTCTGGCCAGACAGGAGGAACCAACACCTGCTCCAGCACTTCCAGCTGAAGATGAAGAGGTGGGGATAGAGAAGGAAGCACCTGCTCCCAAGCCACAACTAGTGGTTAAGGAGCATGTTCCCCAGCTTCCCTTCCCCACTCGTATGCCAAGGACAAGCTGGAGACTGAGTTTGCCAAATTCAAGGCAATGTTGAAGCAGGTCAACATCAGCATGCCGTTCATGGAGGCATTGTCGAAGATGCCCAAGTACGCAAAATTCACGAAGGATCTCCTCACTAACAAAAAGAAACTTGGGGATCTCTCGACAGTGATGCTGAGCGAGGAGTGTTCTGCAATCCTGCAGAACAAGCTGCCAAAGAAGCGCAAAGACCTAGGGAGTTTTACTATCCCTCTTTTTATTAGCAGCATGCATGTAGAAAAGTCATTGGCGGACCTAAGCGCTAGCATCAATGTCATGCCTTATAAACTGTTTAAGAAGCTAGGCCTAGGTGAACCTAGAACCACTAGGATGAGTATTCACTTAGTTGATCGGTCGATTGTGCATCCTAGGGGTATCATAGAGGACTTGCTTGTTAATGTGGGTGCATTCACATATCCTGTTGATTTTGTTATCTTGGATATAAATGAGGATGTGGATGTGCCTATGATTTTGAGTAGACCATTTCTCGACACCGCCAAGGCGTTGATTGATGTGCATAGTGGCAAGTTAATTTTGTGGGCTCGGGGCTGGGGATGAACAAGCTACATTTTATGTGTCTGATAATGCAAAACATTCCCATATGCATGATGACTTGGATTACTGTGACATGCTTGCTGATTTTGAAACCGCACTTGCCATCACGAGTGCGGGTACTGACGATGCCCTTTAGCATAGCATCACACCAGCGTCTTCCAGCTACTATTCTCGACTTGGTAGCCAAAATTACTCGGCAAAGCAAATCCAACAAGTAATTTCACTTGATTGTTTGGATGGTGAAGTAGAAAGGTTTGTGATGCCATATATGTGTTTATGTACTGACATGTGAGTGGCGTGGTGGACTGCTGCATTTGGGTGGAGAAGCTACAGAGGGCCTGGTGCTTGTTTTTTATGCTTGTTTTGGGTGGAGAAGCATTATGTGTTGATGCTTGTTTTTGGGGTAGAAGGGTTAGGTTGTTAAACTGAACTATTAGCATATATTGGCTCTTCTGTGAACGGATATTGCTAGATATTAGCTCTTCTATAAGTTTAGGATAATGGATTCACTCATGAGCAGCATATATTGAATATTTTGTAGTAGCAGATTTGGGCTCTTTTGTGGAATGAATAAAAATGGACTTTGTTCTGTCAAACAGCTATTGATGTACCTCAGATGACATAATTATATTTTTTCACATGATTTTTTCCCTATAACCTAATTTAAAATGACAAAATGTGGGCAAACAATTCGTCAAAACAGGTTAGAGCAAATTGTGAGAAATATGCTTTGTCATAATACTTGTTAAAAATGTGACAAAAAAGTAACTTTGTGGCAAAAAAATGTGACCATCTATATCATCATAACCTACACATTTGTCACAAACGGTGCCCATAAATCACGTATAGTGTGACGAAATAGAAATGCGTTGTGGCAATGATATCACCTTGTTGTTACAAATTATTGTCACAATGACGTTCTATTCCGACGTAATGTTTTGGTCACAATACAGGAAACATTGTTGTGATGTAACGTAAAATAGTTTGTCACACTAGATCTAATACGACTGGGCTCTTGCAACGAAACTTTGTGACAAAGGATTTTGTCACAACAGTAATATTTGACAAAGTTGCCAGTTATTGTGATAAAAACTATCTGTCGTAATAGGCATATTTGTTCTTTCCTACTTTACTTCAATCGAAATAGTAAAGTGCTCGGATTAACTCCAAATTGATCCCCGATTGATTGTAGACGAGTAAAAGACCTAGAATATCATAAAAAACACAAAGCAAGCATAAAAAATGACAAGTTGGGGATAAAACATGACTAAGTGATGCTATTTTCCCATAAAAGCCTTCATATCAAAATAACCCATGCTAAAGCTATTGATTTACAAATAGGAAGGAAAATTAGCATAAATTAGCTTGCAATGTGGCCTAGACATGATATTTTAGCATAAAAATGCGTCAAAAATAAAGGTCAGATAACACCATTTTGGGTTTTATCAGCACTATTGAGCTAGAGAAGACTTTTAGTGAAGCTATGAGACCCAGGGAGTTTTGCATTACTTTGCAATATTGGTATTTTTAAGATTTCTAGAAGTTTACATCGATTCTGGAGCTAACATTAATATGATGTCATATTGCTTGTTTAAGAAGCTCAGTTTAGGGAATCTAACACCCATTCACATGAGTATCCAGTTAGAATATGAATCCTTACATGAACCTAGAGGCATGATGGAAGGTGTGATGGTAGACATAGTGTCATTTACATTCTCGACCAATTTTTTGTCATGGATACTAATCAATCTGATGCCACCTTAACACTTGGTCGACCATTCTTGCATTAGTCGATGTGCATGGTGGAAAATCATTCTTAGGGTAGGATCCACAAGTGGCACCTTTAAAATGGAAGAGGGAATGAAGCAGTCTCACATCAATGAGGATAAAAATGAAAATGTGCATTAGTTCTATAGAACTAATATCTTCGGTAATTGCATGTGTCTATGATGATCCACTTGAGGTATGCCTAGTTTTTGGTTTCAAGTAAGAAGGGGGGTGAATGGAACAAGCATCATAGTAGGAGTATCTTAAATGTCAAGGAGATGTACCAAAGGAGGAGGAAGAGCTAGTGAAATTCCAGCAATTCCTTCCCCTTAAGCACCTTATGAAGAGCCTCCTACTTCGGATCTCAAACCGTTACCCAAACACATGGAATATGCTTACTTGGCTAACGATTCTAAACTAAAAGTTATTAATATTTCCTCTTTGACCCCTGAACAGAAGGAGCGTTTGATATACCTACTTCGAAAACTTAAGAAAACTATCACATGGAAAATCACTGACATACAAGGAATTGACCCCTCTTGCTGAACTCATAAGATCTTGGTGGAGGATGAGTATAAGCCAGCTGTGCAACCTCAGAGGTTGCTAAACCCTCACATTAAGGAAGTCATAATAAGATAGGGCCGAAAAATTGGATGTTAACTATGGAGATGGACTTAAGGACCCAAATTGGCGGCCAAACCATCGACCAAATCCAAAATTAGCGGCCCACGCGCCATTTCCAATAATTGTGCAATTCTCACACCTCAATAACCGAAAAGTGGAACCCACCCTGAAAGTGAACTGAACCAGCAGTTGGACCAAATTGACGACCAGAAGACCAAAATGGTAGTTTAACGAATAAATAAATTGCAATTTTGGTAAACTCGTATTAAAGGAAATTTTCAATGAGACACAATCATCTCTCTGTGTTTAGGACAAACCTGGTAGGGTTAGCCATCATAATACGACCTGGAGATGCTCGTCAACCTCAAAATGGAGGGAAGTCAAGAATCGAGAAGAAAATCATCATAGTGACATCTCCCCTTCTTGGATTCGTTGTTTACTTTTTATTCATGGATAGCTAAACCTTTAGATTACTCAAATTATGTAGAATCCTACGAATGATGGATTGATTAGCTTATGGGATGTTTGATTGATTTCTTTGGATGCTTTCATGTCAATAAGATTGTTTATTTCATTATAGCTAGCTTCTCACATATTGATAGCTTTGAATACATTTTTTGTTGGATGAGACTAGACACAACATCTATAGCAATCTACTGAACTACTTGGATATTAGATTGTTAGATTGTTTTCGAAAAGGTTTGGCTTTTTTGAAGTGTCAACTAACGGTCAAACGAACGGAAAGTTGACGATTTGGATATTATATTGTTTTCGAAAAGGTTTGGCTATTATATTGTTTAAAATGAAAGGTTTGGATATTAAATAGTATTTACCCTAATAAATTTGAAATCAAATAGTTAACAAAATCTTTCAAGTTATATATACTCATAAATTTTACATAATGTCTTAATCATTACGAAAGATTCATGTCATGTATTTGTTTATTTGATACATAACAAATTATTATTCCGTTATAAGCTTTACGTACCATCTTAATCATTTCGAAAGATTTATGTAATAAATTTATTTAATTGATATACAAAAAATAAATATTCGTTCATAAGTTTTGTGTAGCCTATTTGTAGTTTGTATAATTGTTATAGAAGGGTGTTATGTAAATCTTCTGTAATATGTGGACAAATAATAAAATTAAGTTTCAGAATGCTTAACATTTGACTAAACGGTAATGTCAAATTTAACTGACCTTAAAAAACATTTGTGTAATTTAAACTAATAATATGTTGGATATTTTATTAAGAATGAAGTACTTTTAGTTAATAATAAAGTAATTAAATGACAGAAAGTATCATACTCGATTAAAATGTTATGTAAACAATAATTTGATAAGATAATCAACAGTTTAGTCAATAACAAATGAATTTTTGTTCATTATATTACGGAAGACTCACTTAATAAGAAATATTATCCCAACATAAGCTTTACGTAGTGTATTAATCAATAAAGAAGCCTTACATATATAATAAGTTTGTATAATTTACTAGCGTAATAAGAAATAATTATCACTCTATAATTCTTACGTAATATATTTGTAATATGTTTAACTATTGTAAAATGACATTGTGTAAATCTTCTGCAATGTGTGGTCAAATTACAAAATCAAGTTACAAAATGTATAACATCTTAATAACTGCTTTGTAAAAGTTAACTGACCTTATGAAACCTTTATGTAAAACATAAAAATTTATTCAACTATTATGTAAAAAATAACTACCTTTGCATAATCTTTGTGTAAAACAAATTGATAAATGGTCAAGAATTAAGTTAATTATAAATAAATTTGGTTCGCTCAAACTTATACTATGACGGATATATGTTAATTAGTTTGTTTATATATAAGAAATATCTATTCTTCTATAAATGAAGGATTGTAAAATCGTAATGGAGGTTATACCGAAAAATTCATAAAAGAAATATTTAACCTTCTATACATCATGGATCATAAAATCGTAATGGAAGTTATATCGAAAAAGTCAGTATTAGAGTAATTTGTTTTGAGACCATAGTTTAAATATGGTTAAACCATTTTATAGCGTGAAAACTCTCTACCGGTCTGGACTCTTTAGACATTTGTTTGGCCGAATGATAGGGTGAATTTGATGATTATGATAATAATGGCCAGTTAAAATAATTGCTCCAAGAAGAAGGGGACCGAGATAATTGGTGGTAAAAAAATTGTCCAAATTAAGGAAAAGAGGATCGGAAGTTTTAGTGGGTTCGGCCACACCTAATCACACCACTAATGAACAGTAATTTGGGGAGAGATTTTCGTGAGGAACAGTAAAAAGACTATGCTTTCTTGCACTTTTAATTAATTTATTCTACTTTACAACTCAAAATGGGGGTCCATGCTCTACCAAATTTCCTATCATGATTGTTGCTCCATTTTCCTAACTTCCTCCTGCAATTTCAGCTTCTGACACTATCGTCGGCAGGCATGAGGTTGCAAGGAGGCTCCAACGAGGGAGAAGTTGAAGATTTTTCAAAGAATAGCCTCTGCTTCTCATCGGCAAAGCACAACACAGAATCTGGACACACCTCAAGAGCAGAGGGTGGTGGGACAGGCTTGAACATCTGGAGCTTTGAATATTCAGTGATGAGGTGGAACATGTAGTCGTAGATTTTGTCCATACTTAAACTCTCCATGAAGTCTTGTCCTGCTTTCGCTATTTCCTGAGCCTGTTGGTGGGAAATGAAAGCAAAAAATGGCATCCAAGTTGAGTATAGAATCATACGCAAGCAGATGAGCTAAGCAAATTCATATTGGTTATCCATGCCAACTTGAAATCAGGTTGATAAAGGTAGGTTCAAGTAGGGTAAACATACCTCAGCTGGGTGTGAGTTCCCCCAGTCAACAGCCGACTTTATCGATTTACATAGGTCGACGGGCGATACTGGCCAATAATTTTTCTTGGGTATAAGACCGCGACTGAAGAAATCCTCATACTGAGGCGAAATGATCAGTGTCATGGCACCACAAGATAGGATATATTTCAAGCTCACGGACCAAGCGAAGCCTTCTGCATATATCTTGTACCTACAAACAGAGGAAGGGACACATAAATAATTAGCAGTAGGAAACAAATAAATCCAAAAGGGAACAACGTGATTGATCTAATCAACATGGATCCTCATATGGAATGTGCTACAGAATGCATGCTCCATTACTATCTTTCCTGTTGTTTTTTATGATCACCCAAATCCAAAGAATTGATCTTATTGAAACAAACTTCTCATATGCTCTCAAAGGAAGTATCTTGATATATGGCAGTTCCTGAGTGAATAAGTAGATAACATAATCAACTAAAGCCCACTCACCGATAGGTGCACTGATTTGATAGCTTGGAGGCCTCGAAACCTTCTCTTGCCTCTTGCACCCAATCCTGTAATACACACAACCTTCAGTAACAACTTCATCGAACCCTCCTCAAAAATATATAATTGTCGATGAGAATAGAACTATGAAAAACTAAACCTGTCGCATAATTTGTGCTCCCCATTTCCGGGAGTCATTGCATTGCAGCAACTCTAGACGAACAGGGGAAACAACGTCTGGATTTCCCTTCCAAAATGCAAGAGGCTGCTTTGCTGCCCATCGTTTAGCTTGAGAACCCTTTTTAATGTCAGGGAACTCCTCGCTCCATGGCCTGATATTAATCTCTGACCAACCCCAGAAGGACCAATCAGGGAAAGGAATGTCGAAATGCTCACGGGTGGTGCAATACCGAAAAAGAGGTACAGGGTTGGATTGGCGTTCAGTCCGGTTGAGAATAGGCTTGTCCATGCAATCAAACATTAGATCAACATCAGGAACCATGCCAGGATACTTTCGCAATAGTTGTATGAATCCCCATATCGTCACCATCATTCGACTTTGGAAGCAAGCATAGTAAGGATCCAAATAGAGCCTCCCCTGGAAGATTACAATTCGAAACGCCGCAAAGTTCTTGGCCTCCATGACCTGATTCTCCGTTATCCCGGACTTGACCCAAGGGGCCAGATCCCGGTGTATGTGACTGAAAAACTCGGGACACTGTGTTGCAGGTTTGTTGGTCTGGAAACGAGGTCGATCGATTATGCTTCTATTGAAATAGGGACAACTAAGGTAGGAGCACTGGAAAATCTTGTAAGCTCGGGACTGGCGGGTTTCGTCATCGAAGCTCTTGGCTGGAAAAATGTGCCATGGGGTCGGCTCCAGGTTGTGGCCTGCCATCGTTTTGGTGCTCGTCACGAAGTCATCTACCTGTTCGACGAAATTCCAAAACCAACAATTATTCAAGAACTCTAAAGGAAATGAGAAAAAATTAGAGGGTTGACTATTCTGGGAAAATGGGTGCTCATTGATCTTACCTTGTACAGGAAAAGGAGGGTGAAGAGGGCTAAAGCGAATAGGGAAGGGAGGAGATAGGAGGGTGTTCGAGGGGGTGAGAGTCTTGCAAAGGCACCATTGTAATTGGGTTGGAGACCAGTTAGAACACAGGAGGGAGAAGGAGAAGAAGGGGTCGTGGTTTTAGGAAAAGGGAAGAGGGAAGGAGAGATCAATGTCACTTTCAGATGGCGGGTAGTTAGCCTATTTGGTATACAAATTTTATGATATCTCTCCTTTTTTTGGGAGATTCACCTCAACTTTCTAAGCAAGAGACGTCTCTCCGCTTTTCTCTCTGCTCGACTGATTTAATTGTTGGCTTTTTCCACCTTCGTTGTAGTCAATCCATTTTCGGCAACATCTCTTCTTTCTCCTGCACCATCACATGCTACTTTAACCGACGACGAGAATTCATTTTCTCGATGAAATGTTGTACACTGAAAAGCTTCCTCTAGTGCCCAACCATTTCCTAGCTACTGTCATAAAATATTAAATAAGCACGTGTATGTGTTAAGGTGTTTCACAAAAAAAAATTAAAAGAAGTGTTTGACAAAATTTTCAATTCTAATTCCTGAAAAAAATAAGTTCAATACCAAAACTAGAAGTTTTTTTACAGTAGGGTCTCCAAATATGAATGCGGGGAGACATGAAGGATTTGTGGTATGCGTATATGAGTTATTTAATGCATTACTCTAAGGATGCAAAAAAATATATAACTAAAAAATTAATAAACATGATATTAGTGGCACACTCCTAGAATATATCATACTTCAAATTAGAGTGATAAACAGTTATGTCTTTAACGGTTTAATGGCTAACCGCATCATGAAATTGTTAACCGCTAAGAAGAATGTGGGTCGTTTAACAAAAGCTCAAAATCTCTTATCGAGTTATCAAGTCATAAACGCTTAATAATTGATAATTAGTGGTTAATCTACTAATAACTAATAGGAATTGTTAACCACTCAAAATAGGCAAAATGTCACACTCAATAAAGGAAACAGCTTCCCCCAGACCACTCTGCAATCATTGACTCCAATCTCCTCGTCTTCTCAGCTCAAATGAAGAACGAAGATCGTTCATAGAGGTTGTGCTTTGAACCACGAATCCATGGTCGTCATGCTAATGACCCTCTCTGGTGGCTTCCCCATTAGATCAAAGGGAGGATGAGAGAGAGAGAGAGAGAGAGAGAGAGAGGAGAGACGATGATCAGCCTCAATGTTGTTGCCGGTGTAAGCCTTCCTCTATTGTTTTACTTGGATGGAGAAGAGAGTGAAGGAGAATTAGGATTTTGTTTTCCTTGTTCGTTAGTTCACAAGGGAGTTGATTCATTCATTTATCTATAGAGAAGAAAAGGGAGAGGCGAGAAGACGAGAGTGAAGAAAAGAAGGGACCGTGTGGCTTGGATTTATCATGCTCATCACTTTTCTTTTATACATTTTCTAAAAAAATAATTATGCTCATTGCCTTTTGCCAAATTCGCAAACCTACTACCGCTCTCTTGTTCAGGCGGGTTACCGCTAAAATACTGTTAACGTCATGGGCGATTAACGATTACTCGCTAAGCCTTGGCGAGTCAGCTAACATTAATGATTATTTTAGTTGGCAGGTAATCACTAACCGCATTATCGGTTAATATTTAACCACTAACCGACCCAACTATCACTCCCTACTTCAAATGATCTAATCGTTGGATGTACTATGTTGTACTTCAGCGAATCAAATCATCAACTATTATTTTTATTAGCTTGATGCAAAACCTCAAAAGTAATAGGTTGCCTACATACCCGAGTAATCGATATCAAAGTACACATAGTTTGTTCGTTTTGAACAATTTTTATAAATAGGAAACCAAACAAGTATCTTGACATAATGAACCATTATGGTCTGTTGACGGGAACGAATCAGGTCAGTAACCTTATGGTGAGTAACCATGAGTAACCCGTTCACATCAGCATTACATCAGCATCTCTCTCTCTCTCCTGGAAAACCTTAAATTGCTTAATCTTTGACGAACGATTTCTCAATTGTTTTAAGACGATTTTTTTTTTTTTGCACAGTTAGATCAGATTAATTGTGCTCTTCAAGATAGTATCCACTTTGATATATTTTTCAAACAAAAAAAAGTGAGTCATTTTTTACCAGTCTATACTATTTTGATATCCATTTTGATATATTTTTCGGAAAAAAAATTGAGTCATTTTTCACCAGTCTGTACCATATGGTATTGACTTGTATTGAAATAAGAGCATACATATGGTTTGAAAAGCGTACCATGGTGGTATGAAGAAACCAAGAATGTAAGATGGTTGAATACATGATAGTAGAAGTGTAGAAGTAAATTAACTGTCATTTACGACTTTTAAAATTGTGTACCATAAGATACCACCCCGTACCAGGGTGGTATTGTGTGGTATTTTTTGATCCTGTAATTTGTTCACCTAGAAATTTGTAGATCCAATAGATCATGATGAACTCGTTCCTTCTGTGCAAACGTTTTCAAAAATGAATTAAAAACGAAGAAAATACCATATGGTATGCAGTTGGTACCGAGAGGCAAAAAAAAATTCTCAAAAAATATTGAAAATGGATCTCATTTTAAAGAGCACAACAAACTCGTTCCATCTGTGCAAAAAAATTAAAATCCGAGTTAAAACGAAGAAGATATGAGCCGATTAAGAAAGCTAGGGAAAATAAAAATGACCTTTAATTCTCAATGCTTAGATTAGGGATGGCAACAAAACCCGAACCCACGGGTACCCATCCGACCCAACCTGGTCAACGCGGGTAAAACCCATGTTGACGGGTTTTGGGTCGGGTTTGGGTTTAAACCCGCTACACTATTCACCGGGTCGGGTTGGGTTTGTGTTTAGGTAAACCCGCCCCATGGGTACCCGCCCACACACATATAATTACTTTCCCGGTATATTTAATATTCTAAATAATATATCTTCCTTAAACAACTAATATTCTTTATGTTTGTGGAGACATGTATAATTTGTTCTTTCTAATTGTTTAGAATGAAGTTGATATTATGAAATGGAGAGTGAAGAAACTTAGTTGACGAGGAAGAAGCTTTCAATTAATCTTATTGTTTATAGATGTTTATCTTTAATTTTGAACAATTTGCATTTGATCATTTGCAGTTTGCTCGTATGCTCTAGATTGGTGTTTTTTGTATGAATAATTTGTATGAGAAAATTGATGTTAAACTTTTATTTTGAAAGAAACTTGTTATTGTAAATTTTTTACCACAAAAACCCACGGGTACCCATGAACCCGCGGATACCCAGCGGGTTGGGTTGGGTTTGAGTTTTTCAAACCCAACGGGTTTTATCCTGGGTTTTTTTGGCGAATAAACCCATGGGTTTGGGTTTGACAAAACCCGCCCCAACCCGACCCATTGCCATCCCTAGCTTAGATCTAGATTTTCTAAATGAAGGGTCCAAATTTAGTTATTCAACCTATCTTGAGCCGTCTATTGACAATAATTTTTCATATTAAGGGTTTTTAAGGAAAGTGTATTTATGAATAACAATGATGTAGTGAACACCCTAATATTTTATGATTTTGACATATAGATATAGTAATCATCATAGATTAAAAAAATCACAATTAATTTTAGGGATGACAACAAAACCCGAACCTACGGGTACCCTATCCACCCAACCCGGTTACACGGGTTTTACCCGCGTGAAGAATCTTCTTTGGGCCGAGTTTGGATTTAAACTCGTTCACTATTCACCGAGTTGGGTTGGGTTTGGGTTTGGGTAAACCCGCCCCATGGGTACCCGCTCACACCCATATAATTAATTTTCCTGGTATATTTAATATTCTAAACAATTAATCTTCTTTATGTTTGTGGAGACATGTCTAGTTTTTCTTTCTAATTGTCTAGAATGAAGTTGATATTATCGAATGAAGAATCTTATGATAAGGAGGAAGAAGCTTTCAATTAATCATGTTGTTTATGGATAATTTGTGATTTGCTTCAATTTTCTTGAGTTTTCTGGATTAGTGTTGAACAATTTGTATGGTTAATTTGTGATTTGTTTGAATATTCTAGAATGGTGTTTTATATATGGATAGTTTATATTGAGAGATTGATATTTGACTTTTATTTTGATAGGAACTTGTTATTGTAAATTTTTACGATAAATCCCCATGGGTACCCATGAACCCGCGGATACCCTGTGGGTTGGTTTTTGATAGGAACTTGTTTGAGTTTTTCACACCCGCTGGGTTTTACCCTGGATTTTTTTCACGGATAAACCCATAGGTTTGGGTTTGGGTTTGGCAAAACCCGACCCAACCCATTGTCATCCCTACGTAATTTGATTAGATTTTTACGTATTGAGGTTGGTAATTTACTAATAATTTGTGATTAAGCGAAGACGCTAGGCTAACAAATTTATTGCGGCTAGCCCAATGGGTTAAGACTTAAGACTCACTGATACAGTGATACTCGGTATCAGCTATTGGTTGGGCTGAAAATTGGTCCGACCTGTCGCTGATTTTGTCTAACCTTCTTCTTAAGGGTTACGATGTATAACTGATCCGCCCCTTTTTTTTTATCATCCTGCCTGATCCTTTAGGGTCGAGATGGGTTAGAAAAAATAGGATTAGTGGGTTGAGCCGACTAATTAAACCATTTCACTTGTTAAACCGATGAGATTGTATAGAAACCAGTTTGATAACCTTCTTCTCCCTCCTTTCATCGAGAAAAACGATTCCCTGAAAATGACGGACCATTAAACCAAAAAGAACGCCATCTCTTTGCCACTGATGACTGATCACTCCCTTCGTCCTTCTCCATTCCAATCTCCCTCTCCCTCGCCTCTCTTTTTTTTCTACAAGAACACGACGAAGGGAAAGCCGCAAACCGTTCTTCAATCTGCCTTCTCCCCTCTTCTGGTAATGACGAGAAGGAAGAGAGGAATAACGACGGCGCCGGTGAGACCGATGGCCAAGAATGTCAGAGGTAGTTTTTGTTTTTGGGTTGCATGTCATTTATTAGGGTTTTCTCGGGTTTCTTTCTAGGTAAGGTGATTTTGATTTGTTTCTGATTGCTTTTTCTGGATTCTTTGGACGAAGGGAGATGAAGAGGAGATCGGAAACCGCCGGCGGCAGTGGCGAAGCTTCTTCGGCCACTGCGGTGGCGAGGCGAAGAGAGCTAGCGGATTCAGATAGGTAAAGTGTGGGTTTGTTTGTAGTTTTCGTCAGACTTTCAGTTCTATTTAGGGATTCTGATTTGCCTTTCTCTTGTTCTTTTTTTTTTTTTTTATAGTTTCGGATGGCGAATAGACAGGGGAGAAGAGGACCACTGCCGGCCGCCCCGGATTTCGCCGGCGGCGAAGATGACAGCGAACCGAAGGGGACCTTTTTGTTTGGGTGAGATTTGGTTTATTTGCTGGTTTGACGTTCCGAATTCTGAAATCAATGGTTTGGAAGCTTAGTTTTTATTACTTGACTCAAATTGGTGGTTACTTGAAATTAAGATTGGTTTATGGTTCAAATGATCTGAGTTTGACTCTATCATTAGCGAGTTCTGTATTTTTGTGATGGTTCAATGAGACCCAAATATGGGAAACTGTGTTGTGGTGTTCATGATAAATTTTGTGGGTTTTGAGGTTCATGGTCTGAAAACTCAGATCTGATATTTTGATCAATGGGGGGGTTTCGAACGGTTATGATTGTTTTGTAAAGATATGAATGAATTTGGAAATTAAGTGTTTATAACTGGATTTTTGTGTGCATCTGGTGTTTTGTAAATCTGAGATTTCTATGAGCTTATAATGGCTTCTGTGTTTAGATGTTAGCTTGATGCAGCATAAGATAGAAAATACTAAACAAACTTAAACATTCTAAGCCGGAAAAGATAGAAAACAAATCTGATTTTTTGTTGTGATATGCTTAAACATGTATATGCATCAATGGTAAGACCACAAAACAGTCACAGATCTGATTTCGGTTGCCTTGATTCGTTAAAGTCGTTACTACCATGTCGTAGTTTGCTTGAAAATCAGTTGTGTTTGACACCTTTGGTACGAAGTAAGCCAATGGGTTTTCTTGGATAGATTTTCTTAAAAGAAAATACAAACTTGTAAACAGATGATTATAAGTGATGCAAGATAGAGATGATGAGATTTACTTCGGGTTACCAAGCTCTGTTTGTAGTTTGGGGAGGGTTCCGAGCTTTGATGAAGTCTCATGGAGTGCTCTTTCTGCTTCTTCTGCAACCTTCAGCCTGGTCCGTCTGTTTTTTTTTTTTTTTTTTTTTTTTTTTTTTTTGTTGCTGTGATTTTGCAGTGGGATGTTTGTTTGTGGGTCTTTTAATTTCTTGCTTGTCAAACAAAGGCAGAAAGTGTTGTGTGGTTTGGTGGCTTGTTTGCTTGTGAAATCTGTCGGAAAACAATGAAAGAGCCAAGAAGGTTGTTGCTTTTCAGTGTTTTTCTTACTCCTGATCTGCCATTTCTCTAGGTTGCTTCGGCTGCTTTTGTGTTTCTCTAGGGTTTCTGCCGCCATTTTCTAGGGTTTTCTCTTGCTGCCCTTAAACAAAGAGCCAAGTGATTCTCAAGTTTCTGTCTTCCTATTGGCTGGTTGATGATATTGATGATTTCTTATTGGCTATTGGGGGATTGCCCCCCATCTGTTGCAATAGTTGCCCTCTGTTGGACATGGACCAGGTTTGGATCATAGGCCAAACCGATCGAGTTTGATTCAGGCTTAACCAGGCTGATCGGACCTCACTGTTGGGCTTTGACTTTGGTTGACCGGCTTGGCTTTGTGGCCCGAGTTGACTTGGGCCTGAATGGACCTGGTTCTATTACTTTTTTATACTTGGTCATTCGGGTTGGACCTGACTGCTGAGTTTGATTTGACTCTTTTAATTTTACGCTAGTAATTTAGCTATTGGAATTTAATTTATGTTTATTGTAATTATTATTTGGTAATTATAAATTTATAATATAATTGGGGTAAATTGCAAGTTTGGTCATTGTGTTTACTAAAAGGTTTACGTTTGGTCACTGTAAATATTTAATTTCATTCATGGTCATTGAAATTAGTTCAACAGTTCAAGTTTGGTCACTCTCCATCCAACTCCATTATCTCTATCTTATGTGGTGGTCAACTCTCAAGTTGACCGTTAAATTAGTGACGTGGCAATTTAAAATTAATAAATTTAATCATTTACAATTTCCACCTCATTTTTAGTAATATATTAAAATAAATAAAATATAAAAATTCTAATTCTAATTATCAAAAAATGAAAAAAACATTAACTAGACAAAAAGACACAGTAAGAAGAAAAAAACTTTCTTCCTCCCTCAACCCCCAAAAAAACCCGACATTTCCCCATTCTTCTTCTTCTTTCTTTCCCATTTCTCTCCCATTCTCAAACTAAAAAATTTTCACTACCCAGAAGCCAAAACCCATTGCTCTTACAATGGGCTGACACGACGAGCTGGGAGATGAGGTTCCCGCCGAGAAGGCCGAGTTGAGCGCGTTCTGCATCGCCGTGAGGAGCTGGGAGATGAGGTTCTGGTCGCTAGAGAGGAGAGGACCTCGTGGCAAGGTAAGAAGGGTAGGACGTTCAAGTTGACCCACTGAGCCGCTGAGTTAAGGTTGGATGTCAGGGTCTGGATGTCGCCATTGGCGGCCTCAATCTCAATCACAATCCCGGTGTTGGCGAGGGCGCTGATGATTGGCAGATCAACGCCGTAAAGCTTGAGTTTCTGGACGGCGGTGGCGGCCAGCGCGGGAGGTTGTCGGCGACTTGGCCGTAGTTGACTACTATGTATGATTTGGAGCTTGCATATTTCGCAACAACAAAAAGAAATAGAGAGTGAGGAGTTAAGAGATGGAAATCAGATCTCTGTTGATTAAAGAAGGAAACAATGTTATAGAAGGAGACACAAAGTTATAGAAGAAGTTGGAAAGAGATGGATGGAACGATGAGTGAAAGAGATGGGAGGAAGGAATTATTGACGAAAGTGGAGGTGGGGAGGTGAAAGGTCCGAGGGATTAATTTCAATTTTTTAATTTATTGGTAAAAATGATGTGGAAATTGAAAATGATTACATTTATTTCATTTTAATTTCCAACTCACTCATTTAACGGTCAACTCTCAAAGTTGACTGCGTTGGACGGAGAGTGACCAAATTTGAATCGTTGAACTAATTTTAATGACCATGAGTGGAATTAAATATTTACAGTGACCAAATGTGAACTTTTTTAGTAAATCGAGTGACCAAACTTGCAATTAACCCAATCTCTCTAGCTCTGCCTCTCTCTTTGCTTCCCTCTCCCTTCACCAAAACAACAAGAAAAAATCATTACAAATCGTCAAATGTCGTAGACTCGTTCCTTTGCTCTCACTCCTACCATCAATCTTCACCACACTAGCTACTCTAATATCCTTCTTTGCCTTCGGACAAAGCCAAAAGTGGTTGGATCTCGACCATCTCCACTTTCTTATCGACATAGGAGAATCCTTCCAAATTCGCTACCTTTCAAATTTTTGTCGACTCCTTTCTCTACTCTCACTTTACGGCGACCTCCTTTCATGTTTGCTTCTCTTCCTCCAAGCGAAGTTGTGGCTGGATCTCGCCGTTGCCACATGCCAATTTGTAAGGAAGACAACCCGGGGACCGCTAAGGATGAAGAAGTCAAGCGAGCTTGTGATGGTGGGAGAAGAATAGAGTTGGAAATGGAAGGAAGGGGAGAGATCAACGAGATCAAGAAAAGGCAAGCTGTGAGTTTGGGATAGAGAGGTCGAGATGAACTATTGCATTACGGGTCGTTTCATTCTCCAGTGTGGATCTGGAAATTGGAATGTAGATTGATGTTGAGAACGAAGAGAAGAATCTGGATAGGGAAGGAAGAGCTATGGTGTCTTTGTTTGTGTGACTGGGTTCAGCTGGCCGGTTAGTTACCGGTGTCCCGAATAAACGTCGCTTAGTAACCGATAACTAGCGGTTAGCAAATAACCTTAAATTTCCCAGCCAAAGCCGAGACATAAACCTTTTTATCGATTTTCGGTTAGCCGAATAACCATGGTTTTTGGTTCGGTTTTTCGGTTATCCGACTAACCAACAATCAATTATCAACCCTAATCTGCATAATGGTAAAATCATTGTATGGATGTAGTAAGATTATATTATGAACTCTTACCATAGTATTTGATGTTAGTATGAGTGTATGACAATGGTAAGATAGTATGAAGTCTTATCTTTGGGAAAAAAATTGATGTTATAGTGTTATACCACAGTGGTAAGATCATGATATGACAGGATAAGACGAAAGTACACACATGTTTTTCAATTGATAATTATTAGGGCTAATACCACTAGGAAAACCGAACTATTAACTTTGTGCCATTTGTGTCCTAAAGTATTCGATATGACAATTGTGTCCTATACTATTTCTCAGTTAGAGTTGACCGGCATTGACCATTAGTTTTTAACAGAAAATCCAGTAAGCGCTGATGTGGCATCTGAAGTGGAATTTATAATATTAATTTATAATTATTTTTCATATAAAAAATTACAAAAATAAAAACAGATATGATTTGTGGATTATTTTTTGGGACACAGAATTGACAATCCCTTCCTCTTCTCCTTCTTCTTCCTCTCCCTTCCTCTTCTCCTTTTTCAATCCAGGGGAATGAAAAACCCCTATCGATGGTGAGAAGCAGCCTTTGTCCTAAGCTAGAGTTCGGTCGGCGGAGAATCGGGGGAGAAGGAAAGAGAAAAGAATGATTGCTTGGAAGACGATGAATTGGGTGGCGGGTGGGGGCTAGCGGCAGCGACGGTGAGAAGTTTTGATTCGACCGACGATTTCATTCTGAATCGATCTCCTCGCACCGCCAACATCTATGAATCATGGAATCTATGACGGAAGAGCTGGGCTCGTCCATGGACTAGGTGAATCGTGAGAAGGCGATGTGACCGGGACCAGATTTTGAAATCTCCTCTGCTCCAGATCTCTGTTTTCCCAATGAAATCTTTCCTGCTCCAGCGTGATTTGAATGGGAGTAGGTGAAGCTCGTTGTCGGCCTCCTCGCGATTTGAGATGGCGACGAACTCGGTGATGCTCGTTGTCGCCGTCACCACCGTCTCCGTTGTTTCCGTTTTCTACTTGAAGGTGGATCTACCTTCCGAACTCGATGATGACTTCCAGATTCGTCTTCTTCCGACGCCGACATCTGGTCGCTTACCCTTAGGGTGGATCGATTCGTCTTCTTCTCGATTTCAAATCTCAGTCAATCCCATATCCCCAATTGCAGAAGGACATGGTGGGTGTGGGAGCGGAAGCGACGGAGCAGGGTCCAGGACTTGGTGTTTGCGATGGTTGGTATTTTTGTGATTTGGGTTTGTAATTGGATGAAGGATGATCGGTAGTGGAGAAGCTGAAGAACAGAGGGAGTAGGATGCGATCTTGGGGAGTTTTCCTTTACTTGTTTTTTATTTTAATTTTTAGAAACAATATTAATTAATTGAGTTTACATTTTTTTAATTTTTTTAATAATATATTATTTTTTATTTAATTTTTAATTGAAAATATGAGGTGTCATTGACGTGGCATCCACGTGGCTGCTACGTCAACAAAAGTCAATGTTAATGTTGACTTCTATTTGGTCAACCGTTATCTATAACGGTCAACGAAATCGTCAGGACATAAATGACATACAACTATCATACGTTGTGACACAATTGTCATATCGAATACTTTAGGACACAAATGGCACAAAGTTAATAGTTCGGGTTTCCCAATGGTATTAGCCCTAATGATTATTTTGCTTAAAATATAACAAAATGAATATCACTGTCTGGATCATTATTAATGAATTCTTTCTAAAAGTTAAAACAAGAGAGATATACCATCATACCACTTAATATCATAATGATATAATAGTGATAGTACTAAAACGAACATGTATTTTGAAGAGTTCGTTTTTGTTTTGCTCAAAATATAATAAAATAGGTATCATTGTGTATATCTTAATTAATAAATTATTTCTATGAAAAAAAAAATTAATTTATAGTTACAACGAATGGGATATAATTAGATAAAGATATATGGTTATATAATGAGATATATGATTAGATAATGAGTTATGATTATTCGAAAAAGGTAGTATTTGATTGATCAAAAGTATCCCCTTTCTCCTATGAATTTCATGTCCGGAAAAAAAAGGATAGAGGGGTGCAGAATTACTAGTCCATTGCTACTTGTCTTAATGAATTTTGAGTCATTAGATTACATCTTGATAGACAGTTTTATATATGAATTTTGTATTTTATCCACTTCTAGGTTATCGATCCACAGGTTGACCTAGATTAACCTGGATCCAATGAGAAAAACGACGCCACACCCACAAGTCGACTCACAAGATAACCACAGGTTGACCTAGATTAACCTGGATCCAATGAGAAAAACGACGCCACACCCACAAGTCGACTCACAACAAGGTTCCAGGAATGAAGGTCACACGACGTCATTTTTCTCTTTAGTTTGCAAATGCTGGTCTCTCCAACTTCTCACCTTAGTCTAACCTTATCATTGAAATTCTAAATTGAACTTTTGAAGATCAATATTATATGAGTGTGTTGAATTTTCATTATATGTTGGATTCGTTATTCAAGTACAAACTGTTATTTTAATGTAAGGTTATATGATATCAATTACATGAATAATGACCTTTCATATATCGAAACTAAACTGAGCTACACAAATCGGAACATTAACCTTCAACCATCCATTTGGATTAGGAAGTCTCAGAATAACAGCTAGTGACATGACTGAACACATTTTGATGATGATACATTATGTAATCACGAAAATCAACTACACACACCAAAGAATGATCATACCCAGGATCCTTTTCCCCGTATGAACAAACTTGGTAGAACAGAGGTTTCAATTTTCTTCCCTCAACCATACAAATTACATTACTCACACCTTCTAATTGCCCAGTGCCCCACTCCCACTTTAAAAAGGCGGAGGGAGCACCAGTCTTACTTTTGAAGTTCACCAAAGGCACCCCAAATTGCAGAGTACCTGGGAACTCACTGACTTTCTAACCAACAAATCACTACTTACAGCAGGACTCTTTGTCACTAATTGGACCATAATTTAACAACCAAGAACAGTTCAATGGCAGCCTAACCACCATTTTCTGCAGCTTCTCACAACTGGGTGCAGGAAACCATACTACAAATCTTAGCTAAACCTAACTGAAGAACCTTCACTTTCCTCCTTACCTGTACGTAGTACTGTGTGCGACTTTGGTTTTCTCATCATTTTCTATCTTGTTTCTTCCAGGTGTGAAGTTAAATTACCTTGCTCGCGTGTAAGTTACAAAGTCTTGACAATCGGAGAGCTAAACCCTCAAACCAGTTGGAGCACAAACTGCTTCAACTGACAACCTTTTCAACACATTGGGGCATGGGTCCTGCCCAAAGTTGCTGTTGGATATTGTCACTGCACATCTCTGTTTCCCTTTGCACTTCTGTTTAAGGAAGAAACGAAGAAAAAAACACAACATGGTAATAGATCAATAAGTTGCTTGGAACAAGCGAAGGGAATGCGAGAAGGGACGAACGAAAGCGTTACCCTCTCGATGATGTCGTATGATGTGGGAGCATGACAAGTTCCTTGCTGATAAGTTCCACAGGTTCCCAACGGAGTACCAAAGCTCGCAAATTTAATGGACGAAATGGTCTGGCCTTGGTTACACCGAAGATGAACTTTCGGGCTGTGGAACTCTTCCGCTCTTCCATAGCTTTCGATATGCCAGTTCTTGAGAGTCGGATGAAACTCCGCTACCTCGGCACATACAGTAGCCACCGATCTCTTAACAAGTGAAATCCTTGAAGGGTCCCCTCCAAGTTCCTCAAAAACTACCAGTAGGTTTTGGGTTGGTTTCAACCATGATCTAGGCACATGATACCTGTAATAAGAAATGACGTTCTTCCAAGGCTAAGTACATCTGTCCGAGTGCTGACATTCTGTGGGCAAGTACGGATGACATATGAATAAGGAGAATTTTACCATCGTTGAGTTGGCTTGCCACAACCAAGTTGACACTTTGGAGGGCGGAATGAACCCGCATAACTGCAACCGTTGCATTGACCATTTGCATACGCAGTCCAGTATCTTCCTATGCTCTGGCCATTGATCCATATTTGACCTTTCCCCATACCTTCCATGTCCAGTGCCAATGGCTCGTCCCCATCAGGTGAGTTGAAATAGGCCTGCAATTTTTTAGTAGGTTTTCAATGAAACTCTGATGCAACAAAGTTCACCAGACAAGCTTTAAGTTTTATTTCATATTAATGACACACACACCTTATGCCATGTCAAAGGTTGCTGTTTCTGAACAACCAAAGATGATTGCATCCAATCAACAGAGGAGACACTAGTTGGAGAGAGGAGATTCATGGCTTCTCCTTTGAGTCCAACCTGTTTGGGAAGTGAAGGTTAAAGTTGGGGGCAAAATGGTACTTTCTTCTTTACATATCAAGAAAGAGAGGAAGAAGATACGATCTATTAATAATTACCTGGTAGGTCCATGTTTGCCAGGACAAGTCCCATTTACCCTGGTCAAGCCCATGAAGAGCAACTGGACCTAGGATTCCTGTGTTCCATGTCTCATAGTGTCCACCCACATTCTGCCATGATCACAAAAATAACCCATCTGAGTTTTTAAGGAAACTAGATACCAATTTTGCAGAGACTTCATTTCTTCCACTGTATGTTCAAATTTTGACACTAACAGATATGAGAAAATTTAATAGGGTCAGAAACTAACTGGTAATCCAACAGCAACACTCAGCAATGCAATTTTGTTCTTCCCAGCTCTTAGATTGACCTTCCCGGTGTATGTAAACTTCCGGTTCTCCCTAGTTCCGAATGCAGAACCTAGTACATGCAGACAAATAACAGTTAGTAGTAAGAAAACTAGCTAGCTACTCAGTAGCTACAGAAATTTGAAAATGGTAAGAAGATAATTAACATGTATTTCACCTGATAGCTGCCCGTTGATGAAAACATGAACAGCATGGCCACTCGATCGAACAATTAGGGTAGGCAGTTCCCCTCCGCGCAGGAAGGCTTCAGATGAACCAATGTCGACATTAGTGATGTACCACAAGTAGTCACTTGCGTCCCTTGTGACATTTATCTGCTCAAGGAGGCCAGAAGCAGTGAATGTTGAGCCATCGTATAGAGACGAAACATCCTCGTCGTAACTTTCCCATGAAAGCATTTCAGTGTTTGTTGGCAGCATTTCCATTTGAGATGTTTGAACTCCAACCTGGGTAGAAGAAGCACAAGCAATTAGTATATCATCATTAATCCAGCATTTGACTCTGGTCCAAAACCTCGATTCATAACTACCTTAGCGGTGTTAAACACCACATTTCTGCAGTCTGGAAGAATACTAATAGACCAAGGAGGCAAGTTATAATGCATATTGTTGAACAACACTCTTGTAGCAGACTTTGTATCATAGTTGGCAAGAAAAGCTGCACAATCTCCATGTTCGGTTGAGTACACATGAGCCTGTTGGAATGCTCCTAACTGAGTTACCATAGGATCAACTGAAACCAGAGCACGCTCGCACATCTTAATCGACCTATGGAGCTCCTTAAGATGACCGTACTTTGGCTGCCTTATCAAGCCTGAAGAAATTTTGTACATAAAAAAACGTTAAGGATGCCTTGACATATCCGTCTATCAGACAGTAACAACATAAGGGTGGCCAGTTTCAAATCCCTTACCATATTCATCCAAGGGAGCATCATAGTCATAGCTGGTAGTGATAAACGGGCCTCCAGCACTCCGGCCGAAATTGGTCCCTCCGTGGTACTGTTTCATGGAACATTATAACCAATTGAGTTTTCGATTTATATCCTCTCTAAACTATGCTTCCACGGAAGAGCCATTGGGCGGAAGGAACTAACCATATAGTAGTTGACAAATGATCCCCCCTTTTGAATAAACCGGGCAACAGCAAATGCCAAATCTTGAACTGGACGCTGGTGAAGAGGGCCCCCAAACTCTGAGAACCTTCATAACATTGTACCAAGAAAATTAACAGACAAGTCAACATTTCAGCTCAAGCTAGCAATTCCAAGGTTACAGAAGGAAGGAACAAATGCTGCATGCAAGTACCATCCACTCCAAGCTTCGGTCCACATTGTAGGCTTATATGGTTTGTTGGGAGCAAATTGATCACAGTAAAACCCGTTGCATGTGTTTATCTGCCATTGCCAAATACAACCCCTCTCTTAGCTTGGGACATATTACTTTAATGTAAGATCTGTGTATAATATGGAGTCGATGTGGCACAAGAGGACAACTTACAATTGGGTCCGGAGCATCTTCTTCCTTGCACATTACCCATGGGACTCCTGTTCCTAACTTCACAGCCATGTCTGCAGCCCAACTCATGTAGTTATATCCAGCAGAACCAAACAGCTTGCTTTGTACTCCATACTCATTTTCAATCTGGACATTCATATTCATGCGTTAGATAACTACAAATCTGATGGAATCTGTTGCTAACATTCATCTGCAACCTCGAAGGAATGTGATATTACCTGAGAAAGAATGATAGGGCCACCTTGGGACTCGAACAAGTTTTCACTCTTCATCAATCCCACAATCTTCTCAGTGAACCCTTGCATTGCTTTCTGCAAACACCACATGACATAAGCATAAGGGGGTCTTCATCACTTCCATAGTTATAGTTTAAGAAAGGAATTTAAGATATCCACTTGTTTTTTGCTTGGAATAAGCTTTGCTTTGACTTGTCAGAGACTTTCAATTAAAGGAAGCCAAAACAAGTAAAACAAAGAATTTATTTATAAAATAAAATAAAAAAGACCTTGAAAGGCTCATTATCTGTTCTGAAGCTGATTCCAGGGACATACTTCAACCAAACCGGAAACCCTCTGCAAATAACCACATCCAACTAATGAGGCAAAGAAGAATAAGTTCTCTTAGCATAAGGTGAGTTGAGAAGTAGTGAATCTGAAGCTGCAGCAGAAGAGAAGGTAGAAGGGAAAGAAGCTTAGCAGCATCTAGATCTCTACAGAGTGAAAAGAAAATAAATGGTACCCGAAATTCCATTCAGCACAGACGTATGGTCCAATGCGAAGATGAGCATAGAGCCCTGCTTTATGGATGGTCTTGATGAACCTCACCAGATCATTTCTGCCTTCAAAATTGTACTGCAACCCACCATAGACAAGTATCAGCAAATCCAAACTAAATGAATGGCATAACCCCAAGACGAGAGATAGGAAAGAGATGGAAGTTAAAGTTACATTTCCAGGACTGGGTTCATGGACATTCCAGAAGACATAGGTCTCAATCACATCCACCCCACCATCTTTAGCCTTCTGTATCAGATCTTCCCACATCTACGAAAGCAAAAGAGCAACCCACATTTTTTCTTCTCGCTCAGTAAATTCAACTAAGAGCTTCTGCCCATTAAAAACACAGAAGAAAGATGGGTAAACTGCAAAGTGACAGTGTAGAGGCTTTACTTACATCAGGGGTGCTTCTCGGGTAGTGAATGGAGCCAGAGAAAAGGATTCTCCTTTGCCCATTAATCACAATTGCCTTCCTATCATAAGTAACAGTTGCTTGGATCAGCTGAGAACCCAGCAACCCAAACAAGCACAGCAGCAACCATAAGAATAGCTTCGCAAATGAGCGAGTTCCCATTCCTCAAATTTGCCCCCTTTTCTTTTCTTTTTCCCTCCCTCCTTTTTGCCCCTCAACCCACTGCTGGAACCCAAGTGAGAAAGCAAGAGCAGGAAGCAGAAGAACGAAGAAATGACTACTAATGTAGAGGAGAAGAAGAAACAAGACTCATTGATGCTTCTTCTTCTACTACTACTGTTGCTGCTGGCTTTGCTGGTCTGGGGGGGAGGACACCACAAAGCAAAAGCTTTTTTCACAAGGTTTCAGACTCTCTCTACTGCCAACCGAAGCAGTTATATATACTGAAACAATAGTAATAAAGGCTGGGAAAGGCTACAGCTACAGAAGAAGGAGAGTACAGCTATGCAGCAGTACAGTTCACATTTCACAAGTGTCAAGGCTCATCCCCTTGCGTGGCCCCTCTCCCCCACAGCAGTAAATAATAATACTAAAAAAGGTTTTACAGGAAAGCAGCAGCAATAACTAGGGAGGGAAAGCAAGAAAAAAAAAGGAGAAAGAAGCAGCCTTGCCTTGCCTAGTTGCCTTGCCTGACATAGGAAAAAGAAGAGGAGGAAAACTGAAAAAGAGGAATATGTAGCAGTAAATCTAAGGAGCTTTTTTGACGGGAAGCGAGAACAAGAGAATTTTGTTAATTAATTACATGATTAAAAGAGTAAAGGCGAGGGACGGAGCGAACCAGCGGGTGAGTGTTAAGCACGCGTTAACAGAATCCAGTAAGTAAGTAAGTCGTAAATAGTGAAAGTCGTGCCTTTTCCTGTTCCGGGGGTAACTTTCTATCTCACTTGTGCATTGCTGCTGGTATCCAGTGAATAATGTGATATTATTTTATACTAAAGTATTTCAGTTATATTGATATGCATACGAATATAGGGTTTGTATAGTAAATTGAATTCATGTTCAAATTAATAGACACTAATAATAAAAGTTGAATATGTATGTATCAGTGGCGGCTAAGGCAAAATTTAAAACTACCCATGTCCTCTTATAAATATATAAATGTTTAATAAATATCATCAAAATTAATAATATTCAAATAATTAAACTAAAACATAATCGACTAACAAAATCATTGTTTTCATATTCCAAGAGAAACGGAAAGTACATTCGTTATCTACATTCTCAAGTAAGTCAATTTCATTGTATCATACTAAACAACAATTAGTAAACTAGTTGTCGATTCGATTTAGAAGTTTGATATGAACATAGTTCAAAACTAAAAATACTCTCTACACTTGCCTTTGCAACGAGTAGAATCAAAACTAGTGAATTGCCGTTGCGGCTGGACTACTTCAAGGTTTATGTGCAAAAAGTCGAATAGGCATAAGAAGAAGAAAAAAGATCCTATTAGGTCTTTATTCCAATTGGGATTTCATTTATAGTATAATAAATTAGTTTTATATCAATTTATAAACAAGCAATAAGTTGTAGCATAATCATATATAGGGTATTTTTTTCCGTCCCAAAACTTACCCATGTCCTGGGACAATACCCAATAGGGCTAGCTCCGCCTATGGTATGTATGTATAACTTGTCAAATTCAGTTATGATAATAAACAAAGCATGTCCTCCGTTACCCATTATATTAGTGTTCAGGTTTTATATATATCCAGGAAAAATTCCATTTGTTGGGCTTGTATTATGCCAACCAAACTCGATAATACGCTCCATCAACCCGAGCCATATTGAGAGGCAATCTTGAAGGACTTTAGTTGGTGCGAGGCTCGTGATATCGACAATCGCCTGTTGAGCTCGACTCCAAATGTGTGGTCTAACTTCTCAAGATCGAGCATCGAGCGCTTGGACCACCAGCATGTCGCCATTGTTCACCGTTTCTAAGATTTGCTCACTCAAATAGGAGCTGTCTATCTCCCATATTTACCGTGAGGATAACAAGTGCGTTGTTTTTCTTGAAGTAGAGGACATTCTTTGTCCTTTGGTTTCAATAACATTTCAGATTAAGCATCATTTTAGCTTGTATGATTATAATGGACTTTCAGTCCCTCATTTCTTCTTATTTACAAACCAATTTATGTTTTATTTTTACGTTGAATGGAAGTTGGGATGAGTTGCAACCATTTATAAGGAACACGTTTATTGAGAAGTAGGTGATCTAAAAGTAGAAAAACATGTTGCTAAAGTATTTAGCATAATTTTTTTTTTTATATCATCCATTCATCATTGTGAAAAAGCAATTTGGAGAATAAGTTAAGATTTCATCAAAGGTTTTTGGAAGTATAATAAAATTACGTAGTGACTATCCAACAATAATCTGAAAATACTGATTGTCCCACAACACAATACCAGTTTCAAGAAATGTTAAAATGTTAATTTTCAATTAACCCTTTTGTTGCCATATGACCTGACAAACGTTTCCTTTCCTGGTGATTCTCCCACCCCCACATACCATATATGCTTTGGATGGTTATGGAAATTTACTGCAACGGAGGTTTTGACCTGTGAATGTGGGGTTTGACCAGGGGCAAAATGGTCAAGAGGAGCAGAGGGTGTTCCTTTTGTCTAAGGGCAGATGATACATACAGTAGTTAGTGGTAGCTGATGAACTCAAATTCTTTTTTCTTATAATGCAAACAAAATTGGGATAATCAAAAGCCTAAATAAATAAATAGCAATCAGCCCCAAAGGGAAATGAAAAGAAGGATCCAAAGAAGAATGAAAAGGAAAGGGGGAAGGGGCCACCCACCATAAACATAGATGTCTTCTTCTTTTCTTTCAACCATGTGAACCAGCCCACAAGCTCTCCGCCATCAACCTTTCCATTCCCACGAAAGCGCTTTTTTTTTTTTTTTTGGTAGAAAAAAGCTCAATTGATATTGTGTGAAAATTCCAACTATATTATGTGAATATTACCAACTCTAATAAAAATCAAAATTGAAGAAAAACTATTAATTATTTACCCCTCATAAATGGATCTTACACGATTTTAAATAAGCAGAGCAAGGTCGACCTCTATAGATTTCTAGGCAAATTCCAATATTAAATTTCAATTTTTACTTTACAAGCCAACCCTACACATTGAGCTCTGGTTTGTTCTACGTCTGTTTAGGGATGGCAATAAAACCCGAACCCACGGGTGCCCACCCGACCCAACCCGGTTAACGCGGGTAAAATCCGTGTTGACGGGTTTTGGGCCGGGTTTGGGTTTTAACCCGTTTACTATTCATCGGGTTGGGTTTGGGTTTAGGTAAACCCAGTCCATGGGTACCCGCCCACAACCATATAATTAATTTTCTCGGCATATTTAATATTCTAAACAACTAATCTTATTTATGTTTGTGGAGACATGTCTAATTTTTTCTATCTAGTTGTGTAAAATGAATTTGATGTTATCGAGTGGAGATTGAAAAACTTAATTGAAAGGAAGAAGCTTTCAATTAATCATGTTATTTATGGATAATTTTTTATTTGCTTCAATTTTCTTGAGTTTTCTAGATTGGTGTTGAACAATTTGTATAGTTAATTTGTGATTTGCTTGAATTTTCTAGAATGGTGTTTTATATATGGATAATTTGTATTGAGAGATTGATATTTGACGTTAATTTTGATAGGAACTAGTTATTGTGAATTTTTTATAACAAAAACCCGTGGGTACCCATGAACCCACGGATACCCAGCGGGTTGGGTTGGGTTTGAGTTTTTCAAACCCAGTGGATTTTACCCCGGGTTTTTTCACGGAAACTCAAACCCAGTGGATTTTACCCCGGGTTTTTTTCACGGATAAACCCATGGGTTTGGGTTTGAGTTTGGCAAAACCCGACCCAACCCGACCCATTGTCATCCCTACGTCTGTTACTTATATGCTACTTTTAAGTGCAACATTCATCTTGCGTATATCTTTCCGAGTGAAAACTTTATATAGTGCATCAACGTACTCGTCATTTACGTTGCATGATTAGCTTGTCAATCGTCTAAAAATGAATCGAGTCTTGGGAGTTCTTGATGAAGATGGCCAAATATAACCCGAAAGCTCTTAATTAATTTTTTACCTGTTCAAAATAGGAATATTAATACTTTCTCGTCATTAAATGCCTGCTTAATTGGCACTGACTACTTAAGGTAAGTGTAAGTAATTAACTAACTGCATCTGCTCTGCTCAACCTGTCATTCCAATTAATAGAAACTGAACTCTTTTTTTTTAATTTGAATTTGAACTATGTTATTGTTATTGTTATTTTATTTCCAATAGAAACTGAACCCTCAACCAGTAATTAATTAATTATTTATTTATTTATTTATTATAAGAGCTTTAATAAGCAATTCAGGATGAGATGGCGGGTCGTAATCTTTAGGCCCTTATAAACAATATTCTAGCCTAACGTTTTTATTCTTATTTTTAATGTCGTTATGTTCAAATTTCGAAAGCTAAAAAATAAAATGGCAGGGAGAGGCAAATTATTAATTAAGTTGCATGCTAATATATAATAAAGATAATAGGAAAGCTAATAAAAAAATAATAATAGGAAAGGAAGAAGCTTCCTCCGGTGTAGGGTTCAAACCTTTGAAATCTTTGTTCTTCTCCCTCTCTTCCTCTAACCAGCAGTCTGGCCGTGAAGGGCGGAGCCAGGTGCTGACTGCTGAGCTTTACTTATTAATAATAATAATACCAAACAAACAAAAGACAGAAGCTGAAGAGGAAGCCAAAGGAAAAGGGGAAAAAATAAAACCCTAGGGGATCATGGTGCTCTTTTGGCTCTTTAGTCTTCCAGCCCGTCCTTGTTCCGCTCCCAATCTCCTCCCGTTAATTACGGATTATCTTCCTTTAAATAAGGAAACGAAATATCTAAATATACATTGTTTAGAAGGTTGATAACAACTACTACAATCCATACCAAAACTCAATGTACTAGCTAGTATGAAATAAAGAGACGGTCTTCCTAACTATCAAATTGTTCTACCCACAAATCTTATCATGTATCTTGGGTTATCTACACAGAGCCAACTTATCTCTTCCAAAATTACCCTACGACATCTTTAGTGGTTGCGACATTGACCTTATCAATAATTATCTTGGTGTTGCCTGAAGGTTGAAAGACAAATATATATATATATATATATATATATATATATATATATATACATATCTAACTTGGAGCATAAATGGCTAAAGTTGGTTCTCTCGTTTAGCGAGAGTCTCGGAGCGGCGGAGCTAGGGTTTTCCTAGGTTTCCGAGGTGAAGAAGGCTATTGATTACTGATCGAACAAGGATCTCTACTCCTAAAAGGAATAGAGGTGCCTGGGAAAGAGTATTTCTACCTACGTAGTACTTGTGTCATACAATCATATAAAGGAATCCCGAAGGAGTTTTTTGAAGCAACAGAAACGCGAGGAAAGCAAACCCTAAAGTTTCAAGTTTTCTCTACTACTGAAACTTTGGCCTGCTGCTTGAGTTTTAAGCGAAACAATGGAAGAGCTACAACCTGCTGAAAACGGGAAGGAGGATCTCAATGTGGAACCTGAAGAACTGCGAAGCACTGCTGAAAGTTTAGAGATAGATCTGGACAAGATAAACCTAGAAGATGAGGATGATACACCGCTGGATGTGGAGGATGGTGATGTAGATGTTCTCCGAATGGAAGCTGCCAGACAACTGGGGCTGATTGGTCGCCTGCTAGCTGATAAACAGCCAAACATCAGATCACTGAAAATAGCCTTAGCTAAGGCTTGGAATCTAAAGAAAGGTTTCCAGATTACTGACCTGGGAGATATGCTATTTGCGTTCCAATTCTTGGACCAGGATGACAGAAACAAGGTATGCTTCGGAGGCCCCTGGCATTATGAAAACAATATCATGATTTTTATATCTAGCTTGCTTATCAAGAAACCAACTCCTAAGGCACTACATATGATTGATATTTGGTTTCAAATCAAAGAATTCCCTGCTAAGTTGAGAACTCAGAACATGGCAGAGAAGATTGCAAACGGATTTGGTTCTCTAGTATGGTTTGATGATAGTTCTGGCACTATGTGGGATACTTACATGCGAATGAGAGTCAGCATATCCATCAACAATCCTCTAAAGAAGAAAATTAAACTGAATATAGGAGGAAAGTTGGTGGATTACCTGGTGAAGTACGAGAAACTCCCCATGTTCTGTTACTCATGTGGGAGAATAGGCCATCCAAAGCTGAGGTGCCCTAAACCATCAGGCCTGGTACCTAACCCCTTTGGAATGGACCTCCAAAGGAGTCTCCCTGGACCTCGAAACTGGCTATCACACTCATCAAAGAGGGAGGATGCTGAACTATGGGCATCCCTGAGAAAGAAGTTTGACATGGAAAGTGTCAGTTCTAATTCTTGTGGTGAAAGAGCACCATCTGAAGAGATGGCAGAACCTGAAACTATTACAAATGCTACACAGAGAATGCTAGAAGGTAAGGAACCAGGAAATAGAGTGGCAGGAGAGCCTGGCAAAGATGAAACGCAGGAGAAAATGCACTCTCCACTGGTCTTGAAAGAGAGCTCGGGGGCACCAACAACCCCACAAGAAAATGTCCAAAAGATGACTCACACTGAAAGGAAAATACAGAAGCAAGGAATAGAGGGAGCAACTTATGGTCCTACATCAGCAAAAGTAGGTCAGGGTGGGGCATTGCAACAGTTTGTACTAGGTACAAACAACACCTGGCCACCAAAAAGAAGCATGAACAGGGTTTGGAGAAGGCAGGAACAGACTATGCCAAGATTCCAAGTTAAAACACAAATCACACCACAGAAAAGGGCAGAAAAGGAATGTACAGAGATGGAATTAGGAGAGGGAGATGAAACACTTAAGAGCAAAAAATCAAAAGTTCTTACCTTTGAGAAGGAAGAAGAGAGACTGAACATTGTGGGACAACCGATGATCATGGATGGCGAAAAGGCGGACCCTGCTAAAGAGCAGGGCCGCCCAGCCCAATGAACATCATCAGCTACAACTGTCGTGGGCTGGGGAAAACCACGACAGTTGCCAGAGTAGCTGAGCTACTGAGGGAGCAAGACCCCAACATTGTGTTTCTTATGGAAACAAAGAAAAAAGAACATGAATGAGAGGCAACGATTCAGAAATTGGGTTGGACAAAAGGACAAGGGGTGGGATCGAGAAACAGGGCAGGTGGATTGATAATGATGTGGAAAGAGGAGCTGCAAGTTGAAGTCAAGGCAGCAACTCAGAATCACATTGATATTTGGATTACTGAGGGTACAGAGGGGAAGAAATGGAGGCTGACAGGGATTTATGGTTGGCCAGAACAGGAAAACAAGCCTCAAACTTGGGACATGATAAAGCGGCTCCATGGTCAATCTGATCTACCATGGATGTTATGTGGAGACTTCAATCAAGTGTTAAGCTATGAAGAGAAGAATGGTAGAAATCCACCTGATATTCAGAATATGGAAGATTTCCAAGCAACACTAGATGAATGTCACCTGGAGGATTTGGGATACCATGGAAACATGTTCACATGGGATAATGGTAAAATTGATGAAGACTTTCTTGAACAACGGCTTGATCGAGCTGTTGCTAATTCAGAATGGAGGACTGAGTTCCCAGAAGCTAGAGTCTATCATCTGGATAGATGGGTGTCAGATCACATACCTATCAAAATTGAGATGAATCTACAGGAGGAACAAGTGAAATGGGGGTGGCATTTCAAGTTTGAAGCTTTTTGGCAGAAGCATGAAGACTGTGCCTCTATCATAGAGGCAGAATGGTAGAGGGATCCAGACCTGCCACTAGAAGAAAGAATCAAAAATTGAGAAAAAGTTCTTTTGGAGTGGGGAAGAAGAACCTTTGGGAACCTGAAGGTCAGGAGAAAGAAGATTGAGAGAGCTTTAGCAAAAATCTCAAAATTGAAAAAAACCAAAGCTGTGCTCATCCAACGTAGAGCACTGGAGAGAGAACTTAATGAAGTACTGGATTTGGAAGAAATTAGGTGGAAACAGAGGTCAAGATGAGATTGGCTGAAGGAGGGGGATAAGAACACTGGTTTTTTCCATCAGAAGGCCTCTAACAGGAAGCGTAGAAACACGATTAAAGAACTACAGGGAGAAGATGGAACTATCTTCAGGGGACAGGAGGAAGTTATGGGCTGTTTCACTAACCATCTTCAGAAACTCTTCACAGCTGAACCAACTCCTAGTATCTATGAGGTCCTTGATGTGGTGGAACCCAAAGTTACAGACCAAATGAATCAGGAGTTACTGAAACCGTTCTCTAGAGAGAAGATCTATGAGGCTTTATCTAAAATGGCACCCACCAAAGCTCCTGGCTCTGATGGAATGCCAGCCCTCTTCTTTCAAAAGAATTGGGCGACTGTTGGAGATGCTGTTTGCTTAGAGCTACAAAGAATCCTGTTGAAAGGTGAGGTTCCTCCCTCCCTAATCCATACTCTATTAGCAATGATACCAAAGACAAAGAAACCAGTCACTCCTAAGGAGTTTCGACCAATTGCACTATGTAGAGTGCTCTACAAGATTCTGTCGAAGGTTCTGGCCAATCGACTAAAATCAGTGCTAGATGAAATCATCACTGATACTCAGAGTGCATTTGTGCCTGGGAGAAACATTACAGACAACATAATGATTGGTTTTGAATGCTTCCATGCTATGAAAAACAGAAAGACTGGGAAGAAAGGTTTTGTAGCAGCAAAACTCGACATAGCCAAAGCTTATGATCGAGTAGAATGGAAGTTTCTTGAAGGTATAATGCTGAAATTGGGATTCCATGGAGATTGGGTACGAATGGTGATGAATTGTGTTACTAGTGTGAGTTATGCAGCTTTGATCAATGGACATCAAACCCAGATTTTTAAGCCAACAAGGGGGCTCAGGCAGGGGGACCCTATTTCCCCCTACCTCTTCCTACTATGTGCAGAAGGGCTATCAGCCCTAACAAAAAAAGCAGGGTAGGAAGGAAGAATTCGAGGGATCAAAGTGAGTAGTAATGGTCCAATGATTACTCACTTATTCTTTGCGGATGACAATATATTCTTCTTTGAGAATAAGAAAGAACAAGGAGAAGCATTGAGGGACTTGCTACGCACCTATGAGCTAGCCTCAGGCCAACAGGTAAGCCTAGTCAAGTCAGAACTCTCATTTAGTACAAATGTTCTAGAGGAGGACAGAAGAATAATGGGAGACATCCTAGGAATGAAAAGGGTTATGCATCATGAAAAATATTTAGGGCTCCCAACAGTAATTGGCCGAGCTAAGAAAGCTATGTTTGCACAGCTAATTGATCGAGTTAGAGACAAAATTAAGATGTGGAAAGGTAAGCTGTTGTCTATGGAAGCAAAGGAGGTACTCATCAAGGCAGTGGCACAAGCTCAAACCCTATATGCCATGTCATTTTTTAAGGTACCTCAAAGTGTCCTACAAGAAATTCAAAGAATGATTGCAAGTTTCTGGTGGGGAAGGAAAAGGGAGGAAAGAAGAATACATTGGATGAGCTGGGAGAAATTATGTCGCCCTAAATATGAGGGTGGGATGGGATTTCGAGATTTACAAGGTTTCAACATAGCACTACTTGGCAGGCAGATCTGGAATCTACTAAAGAAACCTGAATCATTAGTGGCAAGGGTCCTAAAAGCTCGCTACTACCCTCACTGTGGTGTTCTGGAGGCGTCAGTGGGATCAAATCCCAACTACATTTGGAGAAGTCTCATGCAAGCTCAATCCCTGGTGAGAGAAGGGACGAGATGGAGGGTGGGAAATGGAGAAGACATTCGTATTTGGTGGGATTGCTGGATTCCAGAGGCACCAAACTACAAAATTCAATCTCAAGCAATCGGGCTGGGAATAACAGAGAGGGTATCAAGTCTGATCGATTGGGAAACAAGGTCATGGAAAAGCAACCTACTGCAAACCAATTTCCAACCAAATGACAGGTCTCGAATTGAGCAGATACCTATACCCCCCCCCCCCCAACCTAGGCCTGATGTACAGATTTGGGGAAGAGAGAAAACTGGCAAATACTCAGTCAGGTCAGGATATAAAGAATGGAGGAAGGCACAAACTGCATGTCAAGTTGAAACCTATGTGCCAATAGATTGGAAGCATCTATGAATGCTCGAATTGCCTCCAAAGGTTCACATTTTTGTTTGGAGATGGGGGAGTAGCATCCTCCCAACAGGAGTTAACCTAAGTCGACGAATCAAGGAAGCATTTGATGAATGTCCTTTCTGTGGACTATTGGAAACCCAGGAGCATATCACAAGAGAATGCGATTGGGCAGGAAGGGTATGGAGACCTAGTAATCTAGCAAAAAATTTTCAGACGGGAGAAAGGAAAAGCTGCGAGACTTGGTTGTGCGATCTACTTGAGGAAACGAACAAGGAAGAATTAACCAAAGTACTAATCACACTTTGGTTCCTATGGAAAGAACGCAACAACCATTTTTTCAACAACCCTAAACTAGAAGAGTGGGAGATAGTGGGAAGAGCCCATAATTACCTGGAAGAATACGCGGAGCACCAAGCCAAGGGCAACCCAGGCATTCCAGCGCCACGAGCTCGATCTAGGGTGAGCTGGGAACCTCCACCAGTGGGGGTTCTAAAACTGAATACAGATGCGGCGATCCTGGGAGAAAAAGGAACAGGTTATGGAATGGTCTTGAGAGATTGGAATGGCAATTTTATTATGGGAGCTACTCACCGGACAAGGGTGCGATGGCCGGTTGAATTGGCGGAGGCGAAGGCGATGCTATGGGGATTGCAGCTAGCAAGAACTCACCAAACCCAATCGATGCTACTGGAATCGGACTGTCAAACCCTAATTCAGAAGCTGAATCGAAGAGAGACAACAGACATGGAGGTGGCAATGATTTGTGATGAAATCCGTGAAGCAGCCGAGGAGAATGACATTTTTGGGTGGAGATTCTGGAAAAGGGAAGGAAATGAATGTGCCCATGTGATGGCACGCTTGAGAGGACGAGCTGAAGAAACCGAAGTGTGGATAGACAGGCCTCCTGTCTGTTTGGTCACCTTACTTTCTAAAGAGAGCGATGTAGTCACTGAACTTTGATTTCTGAATACAGATGAATTGTCAAAAAAAAAAACTTGGAGCATAAATGTATCACATCTTGCGGGGCCGCCAATTCCACGAGACTTGGATATTGTAAGCCAAGTAAGATCCATCTGACAAAGTAGTACCTCACACTATCTGAGTCCATAACCACGAACCATGTCATTGCATGGGAACAATATAACATTTGACGTGTCATTCTAATTATATTTCAAAATAAATTGAAGCATTTGGAGGTCTCGCAATTGAGTCATGTTTAAACTTAAACATATTTGGACTCCTGGTTTGGTGTGCCAGTGTAATCTGCAGGCGTGGGAGAGTGGCTTGCAATTTCGGTGCCTCTAGAGGATATAAGGGGCCTAGTTCAAGGACCTCTAGTGACGTTTATACATAAGGCTTAGTTAATGGGGTTTGGTGTGTTCCTTTAGTGGTGCAGTATACTCAACAATATGATTCGAGGTGCGTCGGGGGACGAAGTGATGGCTCATGGTTTTTGTTATGAAGGAATGAAAGATCTAGTCATGATGGAGTTGGTGGCTTTATGTGATGCACTTCAGTGGTGCAAGCAGGTTGGATTAGTGGATTTTTCTCATCAGCAGCCGCGTATTGGATAAAAAGAATAAATATTCTTTTTATTATTATACCCATTATTTGGTGTCTCTAGAGGATATAAGGGGTCTAGTGCAAGGACCTCTAGTGATGTTGATACATAAGGCTTAGTTAATGGGTTTTGGTGTGTTCCTTTAATGGTATAGTATACTCAACAATATGATTCGGGATGCGTCGGGGGACGAAGTGATGGCTCATTGTGTTTGTTATGAAGGAATTGAAGATATGGTCATGATGGAGTTGGTGGCTTTATGTGATGCACTTCAGTGGTGCAAGCAGGTTGGATTAGTGGGTTTTGCTCATCAGCAGCCGCGTATTAGATAAAAAGAATAAATATTCTTTTTATCATTATACCCATTCTTCGGAACCCACTACTTCACATTCCCTGTACATTCCCCTTCTTTTCTGTACACTTCCTCTCAAACTCTCAACAGACTCTCCCTGTAATATTGTATAAAGCATAACCGAATACAGAGAAACACATCAAGTTTTTTATTGCCAATTATATTCTTTCATCACAAAATCGTAATATGGTATCAGAGCTAGCAACAATCAACTACTATCGATCCAATCAGTTGTTCTTTCTCTTTTTTTTTCTTCTCTGCTTCTCTTCCCTGTCACCATGTCTGACGGCTCCACGGTTCACAACACAGCTACCTCACCCGAGGTCCCCACAATAATCACTTTCAGTCCCGGAGCTCAGCTCCCCTTGAAGCTCACCCCGACAAATTTCGCCTCCTGGCGCTCCCAGCTCGAAACATTGCTCATGGGTTTTGATCTATTCGGCTTCATCGATGGTACACAAGTTGGTCCCACTTGCACAATCACGGTGGCTTGCACAACCGTACCCAATTTGGCATATCAATACTAGTTTCGCCAATATAAGCTCATCTTACACGCTCTGCGTTGTTTGATTTCTGAACCGATTTACTCTTTTGTTTCTGTTGCCTCTACCTCTCATGATGCTTGGCTAGTCCTTGAAAAGCTTTATGAGAGCCATGCCCAGTATCGTGTTATTCATTTGGAGGGAAAGTTATCCAAAACCGTCAAAGGGGGTCGAGATATACTTTATTTAGTGAACGATCTCAAGAGCACAGTGGTTGAACTTGCTCTCATTGATGCTCCTATCAACGACATCAATCTGGTTGTCTTTTGTCTCTGTGGTTTAGGCGAAGAATATGTTGCCTTTTATGCTTCCATTCGTGCTAGAAGACTTGGACTAAGTCTAGAAGACTTGGTTGATTCGCTCGATCAGTATGAGGCGCATCTCAAGGCGCAGGTGAAGCACTCTGTGCCGACGGCCTTTTTCTCTCAAGAACAGTGTCACGACGGAGGTAGCCCTTCCTCTCGTTCACCGCAAGGAGGGTTCTCTTCCCAGCGGGCCTTTGATGATTTCCAGCGGGCTTCAGACCCCCATCCACAGCCACATTCCTCTTCTGGCCTGCATAACCATTCCTCTTATAGGCCGTATTCCTTTGGCCCGCGCAAGCCCCCTGTCATTGGTCAATTTTGTGAACGACCGGGGAATTGCGTCCGACAATGTTTTAAGCTCTTTCCACAGGCGCGCTAGGCATATCAGGCCCGTCAGTCTCAAGGCATATCAAGCCCGTCCGTCAACTTGTTCAAGCTGGTCGCCTCTAGGTTTGCTAGATTCTGACTACCCATCAGCTTGTCGACATCCTCACAATGCCTCTCACTGCTTCGCGCTTTCTTCTTCTATGGTCCAAGATTGGCGTCGTTGATAGCTCCTCTATCTTGCGGGGATGTATTGGAGAAAAAGAATAAATATTCTTTTTATTATTATACCCTTTCTTCGGAACCCACTACTTCACATCCCTTGTACATTCTCCTTCTTTCCTTTACACTTCCCCTCAAACTCTCAACAGACTCTCCCTATAATATTGTATAAAGCATAACCAAATACAGATAAGCAAATCAAGTTTTTGATTGCCAATTAAATTCTCTCATCACAAAATCCTAATTTAGTTTACTTTTTTCTCAAATCCGCCCCTTTAATATAATTCACATCAAACTTGCCCTTCTACTATCAAACAATCATCAAACCTACCCTTCCATTAATTTTCCATCTCAAATCTGTTAAATCTGGTCCAATCATGATCTACCCAGAAAAATGAAAGAGTAAAAGACATTTTTACCCTCCCTTCATACTAACCCTCATCGCATCGTCTCCTTTCCCTGTTCTCCATTCAAGCCTCTATCAATGAAAGGGTTCCCCCACCGACCTCTCCCCTGATTCCCGACCGGAGTCCGGAGACCTTCCATATGCCTCCCGATTCTTAAACTAGAAAGTTTAACATGCCCATTTAATTGAACCGGAAGCATAATCAATTTTCCCTGACTCCGAACAAGGTCACAATACTTTGAGGAATCATCATCAACGTTCCGCAGGGCCCACATATTCAATAGTTTCAACAATGAAAATTCAAAGTTTCCCTTTCTTAACTAAAATTAGTAAGATGATATAAAAGTTTACGGGTAGAAAATCTATACCTGCACTCCGATGAAACCAAGAAAATTCCAATTAACTTATCACCACTTTGGTATTCACAGATGTCCCAGAAACAATATTTTCCAAAGCCAAAGCGGTTCGAAAATATGACAATGCCAAAATTAGGGCAATCGGGTGAGAGTCGGCGGGACGGAAAACTCATTTTCCGACAGAGGCTTTGAATGGGGGTAGGGATGGGGAGTTGGGATGCTAACGGTTAGAATGACGAAGGGTAAACACATCTTCTACTCTTTCATTTTTCTGGGCAAATCATGGTTGGATCAAATTTAACATATTTGAGATGGAAAAACTGACAGAAGGGTAGGATTGAGAATTATTTGATAGTAGAAGGGCAAATTTGATGTGATTTATAGTAGAGGGGCATATTATACCTATAACCATAGATAGGGGTATGGGTGCTCATGATGTAGCCTTGGCGCAGTTGAGGACGAGACTAGCCACCTACACCAATTAGATGAAGCATCTGGAAGATTACGAATGTCGCGAGAAAGAGTTCGAGGATGGGGATGGTTTCTACTATGGTTGCATACACATCGAAATACATTGTATTTCGGAGGGTTTATCAGAAGTTGGATGCCTTCTACTTCAAGTCCTACCAGGTGATGGAGCACATTAGCGTTGTGGCATACAAGTTGCAGTTGTCGGAGACAACACACATCTGCCGACCTTCCATGTGTCTTTACTTCATAGATATCGAGGCACTACTACCCCAGATCAGTCGTATCGTCCCCCGTTCTATAAAGATGGCGGATTGGAGCTTGAGCCAGTGGAGGTTTTACAGACCGTATGCGTTTAGAAGGGAGGCAAGCTAATGGAGAATAGCCTGATTCGTTGGCAGCATACAAAAACAAATGATGCCAAGTGAGAGGACACAAGGACCATTCGCCAGAACTACATGACATTCGACCTTGAGGGCAGGGGCGGAGCCTGGATTTGAGGTTTGGGAGGGGGGGGGGGGCAAAAAAAATTTCGTTTACTAATCACGAAAATATGAAGTATATGAACACGTTATTAAATTATATGAAAAATAAATTTATAAGGTATTATGTTCCAAATAAGTAATTAGATTATATGGAAAAAAAATCATGCATTTCAATAGATAGCACGTCCTTCAATATTTTTATAAATGAGAATATTAATCTTTGAAAACAAATCATGTATTCTAATGTTTAGCATGTCTTTCAATATTTTTATAGCCATAAAATAAATATATGTATGTTAACCTTTGAAGAAAATTAATATAACTAAGACAAATATGAATTCAAAAGTTGGAGAATTAAATTTGTATAGTTTAAAATGACCGAACTTATAAAAAAATATTAAAATTAAATTAACTCTTTGGTAAATACAAAAAAAATTGAAAACATTACATAATGTATTTTTTTAGTAACTTTACGGTAAAATTTTTGAAAGAAAAAGAAAAACTAGGCAAAATTTAAAATTCATATAACCTGCTCCCACTAGCACTCGAACTCGGGTCTACTGAGGGGAGGGTAAAATGTGCTCCTGCTAGACTGGGAGGGGCCTTATAATTCTTTCTTAGTCACGTAAGTATATATAAATATTTCGTATAAAATTACACATAGGTTCAAAAATTCTCAGGGGGTCGGGACCCTCCTGAGACCTCACTTAGCTCCGTCCTTGCTTGAGGGCAAGGTTGGTTTTTCAGAGGAGGAGAATGTTAGAAACATGATATTGAGTCGAGAGGGCTCGGTCCTGGGGGTATTTGGCGATTTTCTTGTTATTTGATAGAACAAATTTAAAAAGTTGAGACGTTATTTGTCAAAATTAAGAGAGAACAATATTGAAAACCCATTACTACTCCGTGTATCTTCTTCTTTCTAATCTTCCCCAATTCTCCTAAATATTCATCTACCCAATCGCTAACCCTAATTTCTCTTTTTCAATCCCTCTCATTTCTCTCCAATTATCCTAAATTCTTACAACAAGACTAGTGACCAAAATCAGTAAAAAAATTGAAGAAATTTTGCTTGGTAGGCTAATCTGGGATGGTGCTCTTCGCGCGAGTTTTAGGGGTAAGAAAGCCAAACTAGGATTGCTAATAAAATGTAATAACAAGAATTAATCATCAAAGATAAAGAGCATTAATCAGCCGTTGCTATTAGTAATAAAATAATCCATTTTCATGGCAGTGGAGTGGAGGAACAAATCAAGGATAGTGCGGGCGGGGGCTGAACCGACAAACGACTCTAGCAGCAAAATCCAAACACCATATATATAATAATAAATAAACGTTGTAAAGGGCGTTTGTGCTGCACTGGTATTACGACGATCCGCCGAGACGGTGACGTGAGCCGAGCGTGAAATGTGGACCGTCTAATTGTTCCGACGGGATGAATCGGATGTGGGGCCCACCGTTGTGAGGTGAGCGTGGACAGAGAGAGAGTTTGGTGCGTCGGTGCACATGAGGTGCATGATTGCCATATGGACCCGCAGGCAGGCAAGCAACATGCTGCTGCCAACTGCCAAGCCAAAGCAACACCGCTCATGCGATGCGCTGATATGGTACGGAAGAGTGTCTGTCGTCTGTAATTGTATAGATATAAAAGAATGAGATACGTGATCTCCGAATCTGGGTCTGCTCGGGGGAAGATCCTGGTCTCCGTTATCGTCGGTGGGAGGCCTCGCCGTTAGCATGGTCTCTTGGAGAGGAATATTCCGTCACGAGGCTGTTACGTGGCCGATGCGAGAGCGAGAGACCTTTGCGCCATGAGTATCTAATCTTTGGTTGGATCCTTTCGTGGGGTAGACATCAAACGTGACGCCACGTGGTCCAACTTTAAATGTCTTTTTAGCTTTTTGTTCAGACTAAAAAAATTAAAAATCTTTCTTTCGCGACTAAATACAACTTATTAACAAAATTTCCAAATAAGTTAGGGACATAGTTGAAAGAAGAAAACAACACAACAATCTCAATCAAACAATCTCAACAATCAAATCAAGCAAACAATGTACGCATAGTTTGTTTAGAAAATTCAACAAAACGATGCATTATGGAAATTGGAAAATGCATGCATTATAACTATCTCAACCAAAAAAACACCAAACCCAAACAACCCCTAAATGTTAAACTTCCTATAAGCAGTTTTGTTAGTAATATTGACTTGTCAACATGATACTAACTTGAAAGAGATACATGGAGGTCAACATTTCAAAATTTTAGTATTTTAAATAAGAAAAAAATTACAAAATTACTGACAGTAACAAACAAATAGCTAATATTCCGATGTGTTGGCTAATATATTTTGTATTTAGAAACATTTGACTAGTAATTGGAAAGTTTAAAAGATTTGACTAATAAATTATATTTATCCATCTTCTATCAATGATAATGACATTCTTGCTCTTATCTCAAACTGACTCATCTGCTTATTAAGAAGTTGATACGATAGTAATATGTAATCTACACACAATGATCTCTTTATCTCCCGTTGATCCGTCTAGTATTTGTGACATTGTAATTTTTGTTTTATTGTTCATACCAACTTTTTAGTTGTGCAGTTTTTTTTTTTGACAAAAGATAATCATATATTGATTGAAAAATAGATACGGTTACATCCTGGAGAACAGCCAGGTCTGGAAATTAAACCCGCGACACATAGGCGGGGACAAAGAAAGGGCCTTTCTAGCCACCGCATGGGCTACCCTATTGTTTCTCCGACCTATAAATCGCAAACTAAACCCCGGCTGATGTCCCATATAATGCCTGATTTCGTCCAGAATCACTCCAACCCTGCTATCATTAGTCTCAGCGTGATTGACCTTATCAATGATGATTTTGGCATCGCCTTCAAAACGCACATCCTGAATCCCATTGGCCACACACCAGAGGAGAGCCTCTCTGAGGACAAGCGCCTCCACCATTAAAGGGTCATCAATAACCTCATACTGCACCCCTTGCGCTCGGAGGATCACCCTATGAGGATCAAGAAGCACAATTCCGCCCGCAGAGTGGGACCCGGCTCTCGTAGCCCCATCCCACCTACACACCAGCGAGGTCCCCCCCAGCACCCTTGGCGAAAGGCCAGCAGGCTTAAGGACCATCTCTGGTCTATCTGCCGGAACTTGGGCCCACTCCTCACACTGCTGATGAAACTGCCGCATCAAGGCCAGGAACCCAAATTGCTTGCCTTCAAAAACCACCCAATTCCGAGACTTCCAAATCCGCCAAAGCACTGCCACCACGGCCATGACCAAACTCGGCTGATGGATTAAGGCAAACAGCCGCTTAAGGAACAAAGGGAAAGTGTGGCGAGGCAAGCCTTGGCCAAGATATTCAAGTCCAGAATGGTCCCATAAAGCCCGAGCCACTGGAAAGTCGAGGAAAAGATGTTCCATAGTCTCCGATGCTTTCCAGCATACCGGGCAGCGCAGAAGAGCAGGGACACTTCTTTCAACGAGTCCCTCAGTGGTAGGTAGAATCCGGTGAAAAATTTGCCAAAGGAACACCTTTAATTTTGGGGGGATATTAGCATCCCAAAGCCAAATCCAACTGGCTCTATCCATCCAACTAGCTGTAGCCTTCCAACAACCCTTCCTTCGTGCCAGGTCAACCGCCAAATGATAAGCAGATTTGACAGTGAACACGCCATCCGATGTACCATGCCAGATCAGTCTATCCACCATATTCTGTCGTGGAAGAGGAATAGCTTGAATCTTACGGCAAGTAGCCGGGTCAAACCATTGGCTTAATTTAGTGGCACACCAACCCCTCTCCCCATTCTGAGCCATAACCTCCGCCACCACCGGGTCACCCCCAGTAGGGAGCACCTGCGGATTATAGGTCGGCTTCTCAGGATGCAAATGAGGGATCCAGTTCGAGAACAACAACGAAGCCGAATCCCCATTACCAATCTGCCAACGTAACCCCTGTTCAAGCAACTGTCTCCCATGAAGAATGCTCTGCCATCCCCAAGAAGGCCGCGAGCGAGCACAAGTTTGGAGAAAGGACCCCGTCGGGAAGTATTTTCCTTTATACACTTGGGCTAGTAATGATTGTGGGTCCTGGAGAATTCGCCACCCAATTTTCGCCAGCAGAGCTTGATTGACATGTTCAAATCGTCTGAACCCCATACCCCCATCATGCTTACTTTTGCACATATTCCGCCAGGAAATCCAGTGGATCCTGGGCTGACCCTCAGTCACACCCCACCAGAACCGGGCGACGTGCTTATCCAGTAGTCTACAGAGGGACAGAGGCATCTTAAAGCAGCCCATGGCATGTAGCGGTAAAGCAAGGGCTACGGACTTAATCAGCGTTTCTTTCGCTGCCGAAGACAAAGTACGTTGCTTCCACCCTTGTAACTTCTCCAGCAGCTTTTCCTCCAAGTATCGGAAGGTAGCCATATTCGATCGGGCTATGAGGGTCGGGAGTCCCAAGTATTTATCCTGGACCCCTACCGCACCCACCCCCAGTATCGCAGCTAGAAACTCCTCAGGAATAAGTAAGAATCATCAGCAAATAATAAATGAGCGATACGAGGAGCTCTAGGTGCAACCTTCACTCCACCCAATCTCTTCTCAGCAATAGCCTTCCGAAGAAGCACCGCAAAGCCTTCTGTACAAAGCACAAACAGAAGGGGAGAAAGAGGATCCCCTTGGCGAAGTCCACGAGTGGGCCTGAAATACCCTGAAGGGGTTCCATTCATTAAGACCGAGAAAGACGTCGAGCGCAGACACTCCTGGATCCATCCTATCCAGACGGAATTGAAACCCATTTTTTCAAGGACGGCAAGTAAGAAGGGCCACTCAACTCTATCATAGGCCTTTTCCATATCAACCTTTAGAGCCATGTACCCTTGCTTACCTCGCGTCTTGATTTTCAAATAGTGCATCAATTCATGCCCAATCAGGATGTTCTCAATAATTTGTCTTTCCCGAATGAACGCATTTTGTCCTTCAGAAACAATGCCTGGGAGGATATCAGCTAGCCGAGCAGGCATGATTTTAGTAATTATTTTGTATACAAATTGGCACAGGCTAATAGGCCGCAATTGCCGGATGCTTTCCACACTATCCACCTTTGGAATCAAATTTATCCACGTGTGATTGAAGCTGCCAAGCATTCTACTTGTACCTAGGGGTGTGCAACGGTTCGGTTCGGTCCGGACCGGACCAAACTCATGAGAACCGCGGTCCATTAGTGAAAGACATGTTAGGACCAAGGACCGGACCATTCTTGCATTCGGTCCATTTGGTCCGGTTCGGTCCGGTCCAAATATGAGCTCGGTCCACCATTTCTTCAGTAATTATAAAATTCATTAGGACCAAGGACCGGACCGTATTTTACTCGGTCTGGTCCGGTCCGGTCTTAACAACGGTTTGGTCCAGTGTGGTCCGGTACGGACCGGACCATTGCACACCCCTACTTGTACCAAAGAAGGAGCGAACCGCTTCAATCACAGAATCGCCTACAATATCCCAGTAGGATTTGAAAAACTTCCCCGTAAAACCATCAGATCCAGGAGCCTGTTTGGATCCCATGGAGAATACCGTCTTCCGAATCTTTTGAGGTAGGACCTCCGCCGTGAGCATCTCATTCATCTCTTGGGTAACCCTTTGATCAATAGGTAGACCCTCCACTCGCTCTGCCATGTTCATCACCTGATTTTCCAAGGTAAAAAGGTTCTGATAAAAATGGCAGGCGATATCAGCTTCCCTTTCTCTTCAGTAACCCACTCCCCATTATCATTATAAAGACCAGCCACAAAATTCCTTTTTCGCCGCGCTCTAGTGACTGTGTGGAAATAAGAGGTGTTTTTGTCACCTCTTTTAAGCCAATGAACCCTTGATTTCTGTTGCCAGTATATCTCCTCCGGCTCCCATTGACGGTTCAATTCCATTTCAAGGGTTTTGACCTCATTCCAGTCAATGGGGTGGTTAGATTTAACATGTTCAATCTCTACTTGGAGCGTTTTGATGTTACGAAGCGAGTTGGTGGTCCTAGCCCTACTCCAATCATAGAGAAGATGCCTCAGATTCTTAAGTTTTTCCCAGAGTTGATACATCGGAGTCCCAGAAATTTGCTCATCCCACACATACCTGACCATTGCCCTTACTTCCGGATTGGTTGCCCAGCGGGCGTCAAACCTGAACAGGGGTCGACTTTGTCGAACAAAAGGTTTATCAGCCAGGAGCAGCGCCCGGTGATCTGAACCAAGGTCAGTGCAATGTTTAACAAGGGTATCAGGGAAACGATCTATCCACTGCTGGGAGCAAAGAGCCCTATCCAGCCGTTCACGAATACAAGCATTGCCAAGGTGCTTATTCGTCCAAGTGAACGTGTCTCCCTGGTAGCCAGGGTCATGGAGACCAAGATCAACAATGAAGTCCCGAAGACTAATCGAATGGGTACTATTCCAGGCATTGCCTCCATCTTTTTCATGACCGTGAAGGGTGGTATTGAAGTCACCAATAACCACAAATGGGAGATGGATATCGGCACAGACATCCCGAAGATGCAGCAACTGGCTAGCTCTTTTAGCAGGGTTACAGCTAATATAAACACAAAGAACAACGTAAGAAAACGCTATTTCATTAACTTCAATACCAATACAAAAATCCGACTGGAAAAACACCGAAGCCGCAACTTCGGGGGACCACGCAACAACTATACCACCTGATGCATCAATTGCATCTACAAAGAAAGTGTGCAAAAACTCAAAACCTAACCCACGAAGACGACGAGAGACTAATTTCCGGCGAGCTCTTGTTTCTGAAAAGAACACAATGTCCGGTTTATTTGACTGAAACTAAACTTAAAGCAAAACGGAATGTGAGGGTTGGTCCAAGGCCTCTCACATTCCAAGCCAGTATCTTCATTTATCCTGCTGGGACCACTTTAGGCTGGTTTCCTCCACCGTAGCAGCAAAATCTCTGTCTTCCACAAATTGGCGTTTCGGCGTAGGGAGCTCACAATCATCCCCATCCACCTTCTGAAACGCCCTCTTCTTCTCACTGTTATGAAGAGCCTCATAGTTAGATCCATACTCATTCAACCCAGTCAAATCCCCGGTCATATTCAAGGAATGATCCCCCAAAAGCTCGCCACCAAGCACCCTCGGCGCATCAATTAGCGGCTGAGGGGAGAGAGGATCTTCAAAATTGAGGCCAGCCTCAAAAGCTCGGACAACTTGTTGGACATGACCACCATTCTGCGGCTGCCTCCTACTTTTAACTTCAAATTGATTCTCATCTTCCGCCGGGCTCGACTCGGTTGAGGCATTCCCCAACTCGTCCTCCGGTACCGGATCAGCAAAAGCCGGAGAGAGCGCCGCCACTTCCTTCACTGGGACGTCCACCCAATTACCAGCCTCAATGGACTCCTGTTTTGAGGAACCCCGATCTGCCTTCTGACCCTTCTTCCCAATCCGATAATCTTTTTGTTTTTTATCCTCAGATTTGTCGGGGCCTGATCGATGGCTGGAAGCTTTGGTCAACTTCCTCGTGGCAGCCGGTTTTTGTGGCTTCAAATGATCTGGCGCACCACTCTCCACGTTCAAATCATGGGGCTTCATGGTCGCCCGCCCTCTGTCCCTCGGTTCCCGTTCCATCTCCCGGGCTGCACCACCTAGCGAGGCAAACAAAGGAGGCAGCTCGTCCTCCGACTCGTCCTGGAGCAGGAGCCTTCTCCGACGAGTCTCCTCCACAACCTGGTTAACCCCATCATCATCGGGACAGAGAGGAGAAGCCGGCTCCCCCCCATGGTCAGCAACTTTACCAGGACGTCGCCCGACCACACCCGACCGACCCGCCGCCTGATCCATCATAGTCGGTTTGCGCACTCCCTTGGGGTCCCTAGGGGTAGTGCCAGCTCCTTGCTTCTGCCCAGCACCTTGCTTCTCCTTTCCTTTGTTCCGATGATACATGCTTGGCATCCGACCCACTCTAGGAGATCGCGGGATCGAGAATCCCTTGCTTAGCCTTTTAGGCTTCATCTATTTCTCTTTTCCCCGTGGATCAGGGCCTTTATGCCTCTCAGCCATTTTACCATTCATTGTATCTGGCTGAGCATCACCATCCACCTCCATCTTGTCAAGCCTTGGTTCGTCTATATTCATCGAGAGAGATGAGTTCCGCTGGCCATTGATGGCTTTATTCACCCAAACAGACTTAGACTGTCCTTGGAAGGGAATCATGATGTCACCCGCATCATAAACTCTTGTTCCCAGCATTTTTGTCATCATATGCGGCCCAAAACGCTCCCTGCGAGTTGGAGGGTCGAACGTACACTCTCTTTGGAAGTGCCCCACTCGGCCGCAATGGAAGCAAAAAGATGGGAGGTGCTTGTATTTCAGCCGCACCCAGAAGCCTCCCGTCTCCTCACTAGACGCCATTACTTGTGATCGCAGAGGCCGAGAAAAATCGATCAATGCTTTCACCTTAATGAAATATCGCCCGGTGTCATTGCAAGCGTAAATCCCAGATTCGAGCACTTGTCCGATCGTTGGACCAGCCACCTTCATGCCAAACTTTGCTGTGCAGCAGTCATCTTTTACGTCCCAGAGTTGTACTCGGAATGGGGCCACCGCCAGCTCCTCGTACGTCAGCCTGGTTACCTCCGGTGTCCATGATCGAAGGTGGATGATTTTATCATTAACCACCCATGGAGTTCTTTTTAGAACCCAAATTTTGGATTCTTCCGAGGGTAGGACGATCTCAAAGAGGCCATGTTTGGCTTGAAGCACTTTGATCCTCCCCTTGCATTGCCATGGTGAATTCACCGAATCACGAACTTCAGCAGTCGAGACTCTCGCCGTGGTGAATATCCGACCAAGCAGCGTATGGGATCGACGCGCATGAACAGATTGAACTTCATCTAGGTCAAATTGCACCACTTGGTCCTCACTCACACGCATCGCCATAGTATGCTGCACAGGGGAGGAGGGTATATTGTTATTAATCGTAAGCATTGATGGCTGCCAATGAGATTGTAGCAAATCCCACGGTTTGGCAGCGGAAGCAGGTTTATGTCCTTCTTCCAAAATGAAGCAATTATTAGTAGCAGGGGGATGCACCATACCTGGGGTAAGCGGGGATCATGAATTGGGAGGATTTCCAGCAGAGCTCTCGACACACGCTATCCCTAGCTGCTGTTCGCTATGTTGCCAAGGTAAAGAGACGAGCCTCTGTCTCGGGTTTAAATAGCATGTGTTTAGCGAGAGTTCTTTACCAACTAGGCCACTTACTTCCAGGACGTTTATCTTATTTCGCTTCTGGGGAGAAAAATAAGGGCGTCTCCACATCCCCTCTTTATCTCCATCCAACAGAAACAACGGATAAGCATTTTTAAAAATACAATCGCCAATACTATCACGTCAGCGGATTCTACGGGGGATAATCCCCTCTACCGCACGCGCAAAATCAGTTATACGAATCCAGCAGATTTCCAAACTATTCCGCCTCCAGCTTGCGTGGACCGGCCGGACCTGGCAGCGTCACCGTGATCGTTCCGGCCAGCCGGGGCCGATTACTTGGTCTGGGCGGCAGCACATTTTGCCCGATCCGGCATTGCTCCGACTTTGCTTCTGGAGCCCTGCTACGTGATAGGAGATGCACTCGGAGGTCGGGATCTCCGAAGGGTTCGATAGAGCTGTCTTCCTGGGAATATCATGGAAAGATTCGTACGAGGGGACATAATCGCCGACCATGTCGTCCGACGAAGGGAGTTTAAATCTCCACATCACTTTACGAGGAGCACTTCGGCTCTTCTTCCTTACAGATGGGTTTATATCCCACTCCACCAACAACCATCTGCTCTTCCGTTTCCACGCCCTACTCTGGGACCAGACGTTACCTCGTTGGCCGGCACCCCAAAATCCTTTTTCCGGAGGACGTCGGCCGGGATTAGAAGCCAGAAATGTTTCCTGATCTGGCAGCGATCCCGGTTTACACCACTGCGATTGATTGTGCAAGCTCGCACGCAAGACTTCCTGCATAGCCACCGTGAGAAAACGGCCGAGCATTCGGCAAGCGCAGAGGAGAGAGGCGAGAGACGAGATGTTCCTAGAGACCAAAACTCTTTACGTGTATGTGGATTTTAGATACTTGAAAAGATATTAATCTATTCGTTACTCTATTAACCAATTGTGTTGGCAAAATTGAAACTTGTTATGACTTTGATATAACTAACGGTTCATAAATGAACATTACAGAACATAGTAATTAATAGTAGTTCAAAAATATTATTTAGTTTATGCCTTTAGAAGTCGATGATCACTATGTGGCGCTGTTAGGAAACATGATGAATATTCGATAGTATAAACAAGAAAAAATTCATACCCATGTGAAAGTAGGATGCAGGTCATTTGGGTCTTGCAATCCAACCACCCGAATAAGTGTGGGTAGAAAATTTTTGATCCACGATCCACTCACATCAATCACTAATCACTAGGTTAAGCCAGCCGCGAACCCACAGGAGAAGCAGACCGCGGCGAGCAACAACCAAGCCAAGCCGAGTTGCGGCGGTGGTGGCGGAGCAAGCCCGGACGACGGCGGAGCTGGTCTAGGCAACGGGGGCAGCAGAGTAGGCGTGGGCGGTGGCGATGGTGCCGACGGGGGTTGACGTTGGTAGTGAGATCCGCGAGAACCCTAGTCATGCAGGCAACAGTTTTAGCAAACTGGGTAGCGAGCCGAGCTTTCTATCCACTCCTCCTGGACCAGATATGATGGAGGCCCGAGGAAATTGGAAGGCAACGGGCTTCGAAGGGGAGCCCATGTTCGGGGACCCTCGACGTGGAGGAACGGGCCCGTTGGATCTAACCCGCGCAAGGGAAGAAAAGGAGCTCAACTTTGTGGGTAAGGATGGGACTTGGGTCGACCCTGGACCACTCGGAGCGGACCGAGGGTCGATTTCGAACCCAAGTCAGGCCAGATGGGTTGGACCGAAGCTGGCCAAACTGGATTTGGTCTAATCAGAGTCGACCCAAACCCGACTAAGGCGGACATCAACATGGGGGTGGGGAGGACACAACCGACCTCCCAACCCAAGGTATCCGCATTTGGTCACTCCTAGTGTTGAGCAGGGCAAGGTCGAGCGAATGATGGAGCCTAGAAAGGGGTCTGGAGCTAGGATGGGAAACACTGGAGGGTACATGGAGGAGAGAGACGAGATGACTACTCTTTTCCTCAGCCATTCCAGTATGAGCACGAGTAGGGATAGGGAGGAGGCGCAAATTAGTTGCACTAGGAAATGAACATGTATGAAGGACACCGCCCTCTGTATGGCATGATTGGTAACCTAGTGTTCAGAGTTAATCCGCCTGTCATAGAGTTCCCTAAGTTTGATGGTCAAGGTGATGTGGGATTGTGGATGTATCCGGGGGAGAGGTGGCTTAGAAACCACCCAACTATGGAGGAAAGGAAGGCGCAACTAGCGTCTTTCTACCTAGAGAGGGATGTGTGGCAGTGATGGGAGTGGATGGAGTGGTCTTATGCATCAGTAGAGACCGTGATTACCTGACAGATGTTTCAGGAAGAGCTCAAGTACCAGTTTGGTAAGTCAGAGGGATAGGCGCCAGAGCAGTTGGCAAAATTGAAGCAGACTGGGACTATTGAGGAGTACAAGACAAAGTTTCTGAGGTTGGTAACTAGTGTAGAGGGTGGCAGATGAGACCCTCATTGGGTTATGTATGGCAGGGCTGAAGTCGGAGTTGGCGACCTCGGTTCATGTTTTTAGCCTAACTTTTTGCGAGTTGCTTTTAGCCTTGTAGGTCTTATGGAGGAGGAAATGGCTAGCTGGAAGGGGAGAATGGGGCGCTTCTCGAGGAGTACAAGAGGATCAGGAGGGGGGCGCATTTCCCAGCAGCCTCGAGAGGATAGATCGCACCGGAACCGGGAACTGCAAGCCTGGTAGCCACTAGAGTCACGCTTGGAGGATGCATCCCAGCTCGCCTATCACTGAAGGGATTTGTGAAGATGACGCTAGTGGAGATGGTGCAGTAGCGCAGGGAGGGACGTTGTTTTAACTATGAAGAGAGGTACACCATGGGGCACCGATGTGCCAAGCCACATCTCATGTTGCTAGTGGGTGACTGGGAGGACGAAGGCGAGGAGATGGCGGCCACAGAAGTCAAGGAACCAAAGAAGGGAGAGGACCAACCTTGAGGGCAAGGTTGGTCTCAAGGAGGGTGGATTGTTAGAAACATGGTTTCTAACACATTTACTGTTTTGGACTTATTTGTTGTTTTATGATTATTTGGATATTCGGTTGTTATTTTTTTGGATTATTAGTTAGGAGGTATTACTCTGGGTAGTTATAGGGAATTTATCGGCTTATCTTCCTTCTTTCCACAATTCTCATCTCTTCTCTTCCCTAAATCCATAATTCTCATCCTCAATTCACAATTCTCTATCAAATCCCCAATCCATGAACCCAGGCGTACATGCCTAGATATGTGCTTCTTACAAACACTCGCCTAGTGGGTCGAGACTATAATGTATGCAAAATATGCATAGGCGGAGGCAGGGGCAGGGGATGTGTCCCGGGACACATGTAACTTTTAGGTAAAATAAAATGCCATATATATATATATATATATATATATATATATATACATATATGGTGCCTTCTACGGTACCTCGGGTGAAATCCGGGGTACCGCATACCTTGAGTATAAAAACGCTATCTAGACCTCGAATTAGCAGGATTTTTGGGCATGATACTATACCCTAACCCTTAATGAGTGAACCCTAGGTCCTAATTATCTAAATCATAAACTATAAACACTAAGATGGTGCATTGATTTTTTTGTCTATATTTGGATGAATCATAACCGTCGATTATTGTTTCTAATTAAATTGATCTTCGGGTATAAGATTTAGAGAATTAAGACCTAGATGTTGATCTTTAAGGGTTAGAGTATTGTATCATGTCCGAAAGATGAGTCAATACAAATTCTGGATAGCGTTTTCTTACTCAAGGCATGCGGTACCCCGGATTTCACCCTGTGTACCGTAGAACTCCCTACATGTTATTTTAAGTTTAAAAACTAACATGAATCAATTCATCATATTATAAAAAATTTCATAACACCTAAACATCGATCTTTCTGTTTGCTGAAGTTAATTTTGACTCTACTCGTTTCAACTTCAAGTGTAGAAAGAACATTTTCAACTTTGAGATATATTAAAACCAAGTTTCAAAATCGAATAGCGACCAATTTTCTAATTATTGCTTAGTTTGATACATTGAGAATATGAAAATACGTCGTGATTATTTATGAAAATAATAATTGTATTAGTCTAATATTTATTTATTATTTGTCAATGAATTATTTGGATATTATTAGTTTAATTATATTTATTAAATAAATAATTATTTATTTATATTATAGAAAGAAGACACAGATACTTTCGATTGCTGGCTCCGCCACTGAAAAAGATGTGCATGTCAAAAATTTCAATCCTATCATCTCTTTACCCTGAAGTTATCCTCTAAAAGTTGTGCAATATGATCCATTCTCCATAAATGGGTTGCCACTAACTGTCCTAAGAGCTTTTGATTGGGTTATAACGTGGTTAAGGTCTAAGATATTGGGAATAAAGTCTTTTATGGTGGTGGAAATATTAACTGTTTTGCTCAATGTTTAACATATTCCAAACCGAAGCAACATGCAACACATCTTTCTTTACTTTTTTTGCATTGATACACTTTAAGCACATGATAAAATTTTCAAACAGTAATAAGTGAAACTTAGCCATTGGGCAATAAAACAACTCCTTTTTAAATGTATCAAACTTGTGGCTAATCTCATTATTTCTCTTTTTTCACTTTTTATTTTGTAAAGAGCGAAAGATCAAGCAAGCCACATTTTCAAAGATTTCATAAGGAGAAAATTTTGTAGAAACCAACCATGTGGAACCTTGAAAAGGGTTCAGACAAATGTAGGATTGAAAGAACATGAATTGGCTTTAAACAAGGCGGTAGTAACAGAGAAACATGTCAATGATCAACAATGATTGACTAATGAACATATGATCAGGCTAGTCAATTCGATCATGGGCTAAACGTATGCCTCCATCTTCCTAATTAGTAGTGTTACAATTCGGTCTCATGAAAATGCCAAGTTGAGTCATCCCTCATCATGCAAAGAGGGAACTAACGCACATGAAACAAAAGAAACATTCACAAATCTCATATGGCTACTTAGATGTTCAGCCTCTCATGCAGATTTCTCACTATCTATGCCTAAACAATCGGGGGGTGGTGATTGACCAAGCAAATTCATTTGCAATTTTCCATAAAATGAAGAAGGACACTAGATACAATCTTAATACACCCTCACTCATCATCATTGGCTGCTAATGATATCAATCATATTAATCATGCATAAACTCTGATGGGCCACAAAATTCAAAGCAATAGTTCAATAGGACAATTGTGTTTGGAGCCCTAAAATTTGAACAGTTGGCTAGGCTCTAAGAATTCACAATCATTCATTCACACCAATAATAATTAGACACCACACACTTAAGCATAGCATTGCCCTCAATGGAGAAAAGATAAGGACAAGTTGGAAGGAAGGTACCGGAGTTATGATGAATGTTGGAAGGAACTCGAGAAATTTCCATAGATGAAAGCGTACCTTGGACGAAAAAACACCAAAAAAACTCAAAAGGGTTGGGCTATTAACTCGAAACTCACACAAAACACACCCTACAACTCAAAACAAAGGGAAAAGGAAAATAAAAATGCAAACTAATGGGTGGATTGCCTCCCAATGAGCACTTATTTTACGTATTGAGCTAGATGCTTGCTCCTAAGTTTCACTCCATCCCAAAAATTCAAGTAAATGGAGGTTCTCGTTGGTGATATGGCACTTCAAGTCCCAAGCATTTGGTGTGAAAATTGGTGAGGGTCGTGGACTTGATTAAGCTTGATACTCCAACTTCGAGACCTCTTCTTTCCTTCTTCTCATTTCCCCAAATGATAGTATGACATCAATTTGGCAAAGAGAACCCACAAAGAGTCCTTCTCAAGAAGCACTTCAAGGTTGGATGGGGATATTTGATATAACCCTTGGCTTGTAAAAGTCTCAACCACCACGACCTCTCCCTTTTCTTAGATACCAATGACTTCTTCCACCTTCCTTCTTTCTTCAGAAATAGGTTCATCCCTTGGTTGAAAATCAAGAACTTACTCTTCTTTGCTCTCATATTTCTCTATAAATCCGTCTCCCACCTTTCCATCCTCTTTTTCAAATATGAGATGGAGAGCAAGTCGCTGCACAATATCGTCAACAAGATCAACTTGCTCTTCCACCTTTGTTACCACCTCCCCAAAGCTTGATTGGGGATGTGGAAGAGTGTGTTTGGAAAAAATGGGACATGCTTGATCATTTTCATCACCGTAGAGCTCCATCACAAGGTCCATTTTCTCCACAATGTCCTTATGGCTAAAAGGCGAGCATGAGTTAGTTGTAAACACGCTTGCTCAACAATCTCTTCTAGCTTCTCTAAGTTCTTGAGAGTCTCCTCCATTTCACATAAAGCATTTGGATCGAGAGGGATGTTGGGTTAGAAGAACACATTGGAGCTGCTCTTTCGCAATAACAATTTAAGTACACCCACAATATCAGTACCACTACATCGATAACATCACAACTACACTGATTATATTACTACTATACAGACAACATTACCACTACATGTACTGCTACACCGATAACATTACAAATAGATAAAAAAAAAAAAAAACAATATCAGTATACCCACAATATCAATACCACTACACTGATAACATTACCACTCCATAAAAAATGTACCACTACACCAAAAAAAAGTATCACTGTGCAAAATAGTACCACTATTGAATAAAACAAGTACCACTATGAAAAAATTGTATCACTTTAGTAGAACTCATATCTGAGTTTTCAAAATGGCGAAAGAGGACGACCAGAGCGAACTAATCGCAATAGTGAAGAGGAAGGACACCAACGAGCTAGTGGATAATGGTGCGATGAGCACATCGAGCAAAGGCAGCATCAGTAACGTTGTCGTGCCGAAGGAGAAAGGAAAAGTATGTTGTCTTATCCACCTCAAAGAGAGAGGAAGATTCTCTTCGCCTTCTCCACGTCAGAATGAGAGGAAGATTTCATCGAAGAGAGTCATCATTGTGGGACAGGCCACGAGCGACGACGAGCAACGGTGTCGAAAGCGGCGACTTTGTCGCTGTGGGAGAGGAAGGAGGTGACGAGTAGGGTTCTTTATTCGGTGTAGGCGAGAAGAGAGAGGAAGAAGGGAAGAGAGAGAGGATAATCTGATTTTTTTTGTAACGAAGAGATAATATACAAAATGAGTGAGAGACATCACATGTTGTAAGGTTCTTACACTCCAAAATTTCCCTAGACTAACCTATACTATTAATTTAAAATTAGGAAGGAAAAAAAAGGATAATAGAAGGTGGTTATGTGAGTTGTCCTACTCCAAGCCCACTAATTGGTTGCCACCAAGCAGAGCTGGCCCAGTGCTGGTAGGTCCTCCAGCACAGTGCCTCTAAATTTTGAGGGCCTCCATAATCCACTCTACTAACTAGAACATAAACGTTGTGGGTTGTATTAATATGCTCAGCCCATCAAAGATATTGTTATGGGAATAATCTTAAGACAACAAAGGTCAATTGAAGGGTCCAATACCAGCTGCCTATACATTATTAGAAGGTCTAATAATGAATAAAATTAGGCGAGCTTAAAGAAAAATAATGAGGCCCAAACAGATAGAATTTAATAAATAAACTTCTATTTAACGCTCTAACTTTTTTAAAAAAATTCCCTAACCTTACCTAACAGACGATACTACTCGAATCACTAAAACGATATCAACTGCCCCCAATCTCAAATTTTTCTCTACTTCGCCCATCGCCCTAACCCTTGCTCTGCTCCGCCTATCGAAGGAGAAAAGAAAGAATTCCCCGCCGGCCACTACCCCGACCACTACAGCTGCCGCAAACTCGAGGACAAAGAAGGAATTCGATGCCGCCCATCTCCTCTACCTCCCACCTCTTTATCTCCCTCCAACTTCAATCCAACCTCTGGCACCACAATCCCGAAATTGGGACGGGGAAGCAACGGAAGAAGGAAGAATGTGAGTGGAAGACCCAATTCTCTAATCCGCTTTGCGAAAGTAATCCTTCCATGGTTGAACCCACGAGAACTCGCCAGTGCAGCTTTCATCGCCCTAACCATTGCTCTACTAATCCCCTTGAGTTCGGGCGAACACGATCCATTTCAAGCACCACAAACACGTTTTAACTGGTAGGTCGATTAAGATTTGCTTTTTCAAACCTTAAACATTTATTTGAGCAAAGTTGTTTTAACCCGGACAAAATGTGGTGTCTACAGATGATATTATTACTTTTGTAATCATTTCTAAACTTATGTATTTTTTATTATCTATAAATATGCGGGATTTTTTTTTAAGATCACATTTTAAATTTTCGAATAGGGCCTCCGAATGTGATGGGTCGGCCCTGCCACAAAAGTTGTTAACCCAGTTTAGCTCGTTGGCTAGGTCGAGCAAGTGGGTTGAGTGTTAATGGTCTGGTCGCTTTAGTATGGACATATGAAAAAAGTCATTATATTGTTCATCATTTATAAATTATATCAATCAAATCTCATCTAACATATGGGTAATAACATATAACATTACACCAAAATAACAATTCGTACTTGGATCCAACATATGATGAAAATTTAAACACACTCATATAACATAAACATTCAAAATGGCGAACTTAGGAGACCAAAGATCGGATTAGACAAAAGAAAAAAAATAAGAAAACATGCGCATTTCGCAAACCAAATGAAAAATTAACGTTATGTGATCTACAATTCGAGAACCTTATTGTGGGTTGACTCGAAAGTGTGTGACGCCAGTTTTCCTCCTCCGTTAACTCATCCCGTGATTCTGATTCCATTTTGACCGGTTGACATTCCTGAATGGAGATTTGAGACCGCAGCATTATTAAATCAGAAAACCATATCCGGGAAAAGTGCGCTATGTGTGTGTCTCTCTTGTCAAAGTAACATTCGACTAACTGCAATATGTATGCAGAGTGGCCCAAAAAGGGATTAAAGCAACCAATTGACTTGTTGGTAACCAACTCCACTAACGTTAATCAACAAGATGATAGGGTAAATGAATCCCAAAGCCTAACGGTATTATGAGTAATATCATAGTCTCGCCATTAAATTACTAGGCAGTCGTTACTGCCATGTGTCTGGGAAAGAACACAATGATTAGCAATCACATGCACCAAAAGGCAAAACAAAATCACAATTAACGGGCAAATTGACAAAAAGGCACACCATTAATTATGTTATATGTTTGGATTACGGCCATCAAGCCTATCAACAATAATATACACAAAACTCAAGTGGCAGGCAATAAATAAGGGCAGCAAGCAAGTTCCTATTAATCCCACTGGCTATCCTCATCTTTCTCTTCTTGGGGTTCATCGATCAATCACCATGAATTTTCAATTGTCCCGTTCTTCCTTCGTTTACACGACATCACTCATCCATTATTTATGCCACTTGCGAGCTATAGAGTGGTATCATTGCTTGCTATACTTATGTCGTAGTAATTAATGAAATGTGGGACTCTAAATGTGGTTATAGTGTTGGTCCTACTCAACTTAGTTAATTAGGGTGTTATTAAAGCAAATAGACAAATAATTAAACCTACCTTGGATTGAGGATGGATGAAAAGAAAAAGCGTGATTAAATGAGCGAGATGTAAAGAAATATGTTCGCTAAGTTGAAAATTGATTCCTTCAAAATCAAAGTTAAGACATTCATTGAAGTTCAAAGTCTTTGCTACATAAGTCATCAAACCCACCAGGGCCATTTGGTTCACTTGTAATGGTTGTTACTTGTTAGGTAGTAGCGATTTGATGCTTTTTCAATTGTGGTATATCATTCTTGTAATAGTGATTGTGTCTATAGGAGTGTTAGTTCGTAGTGATATGGGATGGTTACTAGTGATTTACTACTACTTTATCGGTTTTGATATGCACATTAGTTAGTACGACCTGGAGGTTTGTGACTAATGATTCACATACTATATATTTTGTAGTGATATCATGCCTTATCGTTAATCATATAAAAACTTCATAGAAAATTTAATGCATGCATTGATCATGATTCATTACACTTGTACGACTACTGACCTCCTTGCTAGTAATAATCAACTTACCCTATAAGAAAATGATCAAGATTCGTACATGAATCTCCTAGATCATGTATCTTTTGATGGTGGTGAGGATTTCCGAGAAAAATATTTGAGGTATCGTTATCATGCAATATGAAAGAGTAGACAACGACCTCAATCTGTGACTGTAGGAGTTGGAAGCAAGAGATACCAAATGATCTTGTGAGGTGGTCAGCTAGTTGGGATGTAACTCAATGAGATGTGGTTGCCATAGTGACGAAGGAAAGACCATGCCATGAAATTGAAGCAAACAGAGCACTGAGAAGCAAATTGGCTTGACAAATCCAGAGACGCCAGATGAGATTGGGAGTGAATCCACCATCCCAATAGGGAAGGTAATTAACATGCTATGAAATTGAGGCAAACATGACATTAAGAAGCAACTTGTCTTGACGAATCCAGTAGCAAATTTATTACTAGTAATCTTAACCATTTCCTTATACTCTTTTCCCCAAACGAGTTCGGCAACGAATCTAGCATTCCCCATGACCGTACAAAACGAAATGCAACATGCTCTGAAATTGAAATAAACAAAGAATTGATTTTAACCACTTCCTTACCGAGAGGAGCAAATTTATTACTAGTAATCTTAACCATTTCCTTATACTCTTTTCCCGATCGCGCTCATTTCAAAATTGACACCTTTAATACTAAACTAGTTTTATGCTCGGCCTCGGCCAATAGGCGATACGCTTCTTTAGTTTATATTTTATTGGATATTATTTTCAATGGTGTCAGTCTAATATGTATGAAGTAATTAAATCATGGTTTAAACTCAAAATACCCTACCAGTGACTTATGTACAACCTCTGGTACGGTTTTACAATATCTAGTATTCGTTTTACTTATAATTTTATGATTTGTTTTGAAACATCGGTAAATAATTATCAAACTTATTGTGAAGTGGGAACTAAAATAAATTATTATAGCTATTAATGATTTCTTACGAATAAAACAAAATAGGCCAATTCATCCACGACATTAATTAGTGTAACTAATGTAGAATTGGAGCGAATTTAAACTCATGTAATAACATGGGTATTAATTTTGTTGTGCTTAGTAACATCAACCTGCAAGTTCAAGTTCAACTCTTAGTTACAACACATATATATTTATTTAGTTTTTAGGTTAGTGAAATTTGATAAATTATTATAAAAAGTTAAAATTAAAATATGACATGAAAATTTGTGAATTTTACTCAATTCTACTTGGCAAAATTTTAATCAAGCTTGACACGAGGGATAACCGGTTGGGTGATGTGCTAGAGAAGATATGTCATTATCTTCATGCCCATCCGGGGTCTAATGTGCGATTTGTAGGTCGAGAGAACAATAGGGTAGCTCACTCGGTAGATAGAAAAGCCCTCTCTTTGTATCCGACTGTAGGTCACTTCTTTGATTTCTAGGCCTGGATGGTATCCAGGATGTAATTATCTATTTGTTTGGATCAATATATGATATCTTTTGACACAAAAAAAAAAGATGACAAATTAAGCTCTTAACCCTCTATTATTGTTTGTTACCCATTAGTTGTAACCGACAATTTACCCTTTTTCTGATGAATCGATTTATGTTATTTCATATAAAAAGGATTGTTGACAACAACCCTTGCCAACTAGCATCTATACAATATGATCAAAACTGTATGCTAACCCCTATTCAAGAGCAAGACAAAACATCACCAATATCGCCCTACTAATTGTTCATCAATCAGAACTCGAACCTCATCCTAAGAACTTTGTTTAACACTTAAACTTCTATCTTCTCTCCTACCTAGATACGCCTGCAGCGCTCTTTACAGAGATGGCTAAGGATGGAACTCTATATCAATTTCCCTGCATCTGTGAGAGGTGTACATTTAGCAAACACCTGTTTCGCCCAATAGACTTCTTGCCTCCAAGAAGAACAAAATTGTCGAGGGAAGAGAGGACCCAACAACTGTAGATAAAGCTCCTGATAATATTGCTTTTTGGAAAGAAAACTTGCGTTGAATTGAGATAAATTGCACCTTTGACATCTTTGGAGAACGATTACTAAGACACGGCTCACAGCTCTTCAAACAATGTTCGAACGAGGGTGTTTGATTGATAGTGAAAGGAGACTACAACTTATAAGTTAATTAAGTTACTCCTACTCCTATGGAGGTTCATCGAGAGCTCCAAACTATGAACTAAGTCTATGGCTAAATGATAGAGAAAAGGTAAAAGATAAACTTGACATGCGTGTTAGAGTGTTGGGTTTGAGTACCTTTGTCTCTGTCGACCTCCTCTCCTCTATATAGGCATGTGTTGGTAACCTCCTTGAAGAACCGTCTTCTTGAGAGTAACTTCAAAAAAGAACTGCTTCCCTTCTTCCTTGGACATGGCTGACACGTGCTTGAACGTGAAAAATTGGCAGTTGCTTGTGAACCGCCCAAGTGCCTCTTTCTTCTGGAACTAAAGTCTTGGTGTTTGCCTCCTCTCCACCATGATCATTGACCAGGACTGTTAGATATCAGACTGAGGAAATCTAGATCTTGTGACCAACGAGATCTATCGAACTCCACGTGACAATGCCCACTCGCGACCATCGTGGCCTGATCTCTTTCTCGCAATTGACACTCTAGATCTAGATTTTCGCGACCAACGCGATCTAGATCACTTGAGACGAGGAATGTATAGATCTCACAACCAATGTGGCACTTAAATCCCTCGTGACCAACGTGTTCTAGCTCTCAGACTTAGTATATTTCGTGGATTCCTTCTCCCCACGTAGCTTTCCTTCTCACGTCCAAATCGTTGGTTTAGATCTCGGTCATAGTCTAGATGTCACGACGAAGGCCATCTAAATATCACGACCAACATGGCCTAAGAGACTCGCGGCAAATGAGATCTAGTTCTCGAGACCAACACGATCTAGCAGACTCGCAACGAGCGCGATCTAGATCTCGCGACCAACGTGATCTACTACACTCGCGACGAACGTTGTCTAGCGGATAGCGGTCTACCAAACTCGCGACGAAGGCCGTCTAGCGGACTCGCGACGAAGGCCATCCAACGGACCCACGACGAATGCGGTCTACTAGACTTAGCTTCCTCGCGATGAAAATAGTGCCCTCTTAGAGACTTGGTCATTTGGACTTAAAAATCTAGTACCATAAGACCCAGTTTAAACAACCTTACTTGTTATTTTTAATTTGGCTTTATAAAGATAATAAATGTCATGTGAACAATCAATGTGGTATAAGATTTTTTTGTGTAAAAAAAATCATACAAGTTGCAAAGATATGATCAATAGACTCAACATCTTGATCACAAAAGACACAGTTCATTGGACCATCATATCCCCATGTAACCAATCTATCTCATGTAAGGATTCTTTCATTCACAAACAGCCACAATAGGAACTTATTGCGAGGAATCCAAGGTCCTTTCCATACCAAATCATCTCATGTCGGTTTAGGTAGTCTAGGTCTAATGGAGCTCCATACCTTTCTAAAATAGTAATTCTACATCACTTCACCTTGCCATAACACTTGATCCCCATGACTGAGAAAAAATGTTGCACTTTCCCTCTAAGCTTCAACAATCTTCGCCAACACCAAGAACCTGAGTTTCCAAAGAACTTCCAGAGAGAGTGACTCTGAGTTTATATTTTTGATGCCACGCAATCCAAAGGGAACCTTGCTGCAACAGGATAGCCCAAATATGTCGAGAAATACAAGCAATGTTCCAAGAAAATAGATCCTGAAAGCCCAACGTCTCAACCCTCCCTCATACTCAGGAAAAGTCAGCTAGTTCCAAGTAACTGTAGCTCTAACCTTACCACCAGCTCCAACCCCGATGAAAATCACTACACAATCCCTCCACCTCATCAATGACTGCTTCGGGTAACAGAAAAACCAACATCCAATACTGTGTTAACTCAGCAAAACATAATTCACTAATTCCACTCTCCCAGCATAACTTAGAGACTTAACTTTCCAACTTTTTATCCTTGCAACAATTCTGTAAACCAGGGATCTACAAGTATTGTTTCAAAGTTTCCCTGCCACTAGAGGGACGCCAAGATAACGTACATGAAGCTTCCCCAACTTAAAACCCGGCCACTCAGCCATAGTATTCATTTGCTTCAACGTCAGACCTGCACAGAAGAGTCACATTTTCCAGGATTAGAACCAAGACCAGACAACATCTTAAACCTTCCAAGCACCCTCTTCACACAATGCAACCCCATATTAGACCCATCAGTAAACACAAGAACATCATCCACAAAACACAGACGGGTCAACAGAACTTGTTTACACATAGGGCGGTAATTGAATTGACCAACAGAAACATCTTCATGAAGCAGACAAGTAAACACTTCCATCGAAATAGGAAATAAATAGAGGGAGAGTAGGCCACCCTAACAAAATCTCTTTCTAACTGGAAACTACCTCGTTAAACCACCATTGAATACAACACTCAGCATCGGAGTAGTGACACACATTTTAATCCATTCAATGAAAAGACTAGGAAACTTCATAGCAGCCAAAACACGAAGAATGAACCCCCAATCAACTTAATCAAAAGCCTTTGCAAGATCAATTTTCAGAGTACTCTGAGGAGAAACATTCTTAAGGGAATATTTGGCTACCAGTTCATGCGCCATAAGTATGTTATCTCTGATTACCCTTCCCTTAATAAAAGTAGTTTGGTTATCGCTAATGAGACTAGGTAGAGTTAGACTTAGTCTTGTTGCAAGAATCTTGGATATACATTTGTAAAGTATGTTGCAACTGGATATAGGTCTAAAGTCCTTCATTAATTCAGGGTTCTGAATCTTAGGTATTAGAGTGAAAGCAGTAGCATTTACCTCTCGTGGCAGGCGACACTCTACGAAGCAAAATTGCACCGCAAAAACTAGATTAGCTCTAATAGTTTCCCAAGCATATTGGGAAAAAAACATGTTGAAAAACCATCAGGGCTCGAAGCATTTTCCCCTTCATACCAAACACAACATTTCTAACTTATTCACTTGAGATAGGAGCATAGAGACCCCTCTCTCAACTCAACTGAAAGCTTCCTTTTTAGAAACTTGGAGTAAAATTCCAGGGATGCATGTCAAGCATCAAGGTCAGTTTCACACAGACCCAACAACCTTTTGTAGAAAGAAACTGCTACTTCACACATACCATCCAGCTCTGTAATCTTCCTCCCACAAGTATCCACAAGAGAACTGATAGTATTGCTCTTAGTACGAGTTCCCACATTGCGGTGAAAATAGTTAGAGTTTGAGTCACCACACTTGAGCTAGATCTCGCGGGATTTCTTCCTAAAAAATTATTTCTCAGCTTGTCTCATAGTAAAAACTTATTTCAAAACCAGCTGCTCAGCCTCAAACGTGTATGAAGATGGATTTCCCAAAGCAAGCGTTTTAGCCAAGAAATTATGCCTTCCACTTTACGTAATCACTCCCTCAACTTGGAGAATTCTTCATTATTCAACTTTTTTAGAAACTCCTTTATCACACGAATCCACTTACATAATTGAATAATAGGAGATCCTACTACCATTGTGTCCCAAGCTTTCTTCAATAGTTCCTCATAGTTTGGATGAGCAATCCAAAACTTGAAAAACTTAAACGACTTCGAAAGTGATTTCAAAACCTCAAAAGTCTATATAAGTATAGAGCAATGATCCAAGACATTCGGCTCCAATAAGCTAACTCTGCTACGAGGCAACTTATCTAACCTTGACAGATTAATAAAACTCATGTCCAGCCTCCTCGCTATATAATTACTTTTTTGTTTGTTTAATTATGAATACCAAGGCCCCGCAAACTTCTGCTCCTCCAACGGCATATTATGAATCCATGTATGGAAATAAGACATACTGCTTGTGTAACCAGAGATGTTTGATACTTCATAAGTGTCCCTGATAGTATTAAAATCCCCTAGTATAATCCATAGTATAGAGATCACCTTACTTCTTCGAAGGTCATTATAAAGCCTCACTTTATCGGGGTTGTTTCAATGACGTTGCTGCAGAATTTATTTTAATTATGTGTCCTCAATCAACTAATTTAGCTATGGGTTTTGGTGTTGATAACAAGCAATCTGGAATGAACCACAACAAACTAACCTTGTTACTACTTTTATTGATGTTTGAGTTAAGTCTATTTGTAAGCCACTATAATAATAACTATGTGGATTGGGGAAAGTTAATAATTCAAGTTCCCATCCCCTCGCCATTATAACAGAAAAACTACCGTAAGAACAAGTTAATATATATAAAGCAAAATGCAAGTTACTGTTGCCTAAAAACTTGCATGTTGCTCCTATTTATTTTTTGAACTCACCATTTGAGACATACTTTTTTTAACTTGACCTAAGTGTGGCTATTTCTATTGTATTTTTGTGCACTCATCTGTTTTTCCGCAATAAAATTATTTTTGGAACCGTTATTGCATATTTTTTTCTAAGTGCTTAGCAATTAGAAGATGTAGATTACTCCAACTATATAGTCATCTTTCTTTGCACATGTTTCGATACTTATTACATATGTTTTCGTGATGTATTTTCCAATTTGAGGATGATGATTGAACAATACCATTATTTTCGTGGTGACATTATCTTCGACATTTAAAAGTCGCATTATCTAGAAAACATGGTTTGCTTGCCAAAAAGTCTCATTGTAAGTCCCTGCCTTCTATTGCATATATTTTCTTTCATTGCTCCGCAATTGTAAATGGCGATGATCTTGACATATTTTTGGGGTTTCTTAACATTGTTCTATTTAATAATCACAGTGGATCCTGAACTTAAACTATTTATCTTCACAATAGACAAAATAAGTCTTCTCCCCATTACTTCCTACTCTTCCATGAAAAACCATGCCTAGGCTGTTTACATGCATTCTCCCCACGCACTTCTCGAATTGAAAACGACAATAGATCTCAACTCAAAGAAATGGTTTATGTGTACTCGCATTGCTCGCTCATCTCAGTTTTTCTTTAGCAAAAAATGTTTTCAACGCACTTCGTCTACTTTTTGAAAAGAACTTCTCTACTTAAGAACGATGATGGATCTCGACAGAAGAATGTTTATTTTCGCAGTGTAGTTCACAGTCTTCATCATTGGGATACCTTCCTCTTTTCGAAGAAAATGTCTATTTATATGTATTTGCTAACATGCTACTTAATCTGTGAACAACTATGAATCCTAATATAAATACTAAATGCGTCATTTTCCCTATTTTATGTGGTTTGATTTACTATTTATTTTTCAATTTCATCAATAACATATAACTTAAAACTTTGACACAACAAATTAACAAACGGGCCTTTAATCGTTGATATAAAAGTCTTTCACAGTGATCGCGGCTTGACGCGATATTCACTTTCTAGTATCATATATAAATGATAACAATGTAGCAAATGTTTTTACGGTTAGAGAAACAAACATCCAACAATTATAACTTGATTAACTTCACCTTGTTTTGTTATGATGAATCATGTCAGGCCTAGCTAGGAGTGTCCTCGCCAAAATGATTTTGCATCCACGACGAATGTATTCATCATTACAAACTCCCAAAATTTTAGGTTGCTTGCAAATATAAATGCAACTCCTTGAAGGCGTATGATGTTGTTGCAGCTTGGCCAATGGCCATTGAAAAGTTAACCATTATTACGGAAATTTATATAAATAAATAAACAAATTATTATATGTACATTTAAAATACGACAAATCTCAATTGCAAGCAAGAGGAGAAACAACATCATTCTTCTTTTGTTGTATATATGTCTGCGTGCTCCGTGGCGCATCAAGAGCTAGTGCTTTGGACCACAACACTCTAGATTAGGGTGTCTGGGGATGTCCCCAACCGGAAGCAAGGGCAATTTTTAGTTAAAAGAACGAAGAAGTGATACTAGTCAACAACTCATGCTTCAGACATTGGTCAATAGAGGTGGCAATTTCAATCCAATCCACCAATCCAATCCATCAATCTATTAAAAATATCCACCTAATCCAATCCATTTAAATCCAATCTATTTTATCCAAATCCAATTGGATTGGTGGATTCATGGATTGGATCCATGGATCATTGGCAAATTACGGTTTAGTACCTATAATTTTTATTTTTACATTTTGGTTCCTAAAATTTAATTTTTTATACGAAAAATATCATTGGAAAATTACGTTTTGGTACCTAAAATTTTTCATTATGACATTTTAGTACCTAAACTTTTTACATTTTACATATTGGTCCTTGGTTGAGGATGTCATTTGGATTCATGGATAATCCACCAATCCACTTGATCCAATCCATGAATCCACCAATCCATTAGATCCAATCCATTTGATCCAATCCATTTGATCCATGGATCCACCAATCCAATCCACCAATCCACCAATCCAATCCATTTGCCACCTCTATTGGTCAATATTACAAAACTGGATCTTCGTTTTTCATATTTTTGATAAATTGCTCGAAATTATCGAGTAGAGTCTTTTCTTAATGGCGAGCACAATCCACTACTAAAATACTTTTTATAAAATCAACTTAACCATATTAATTAAAGTTATCTAAGTTGGGTCTAAGTGATGTGCTTTAGGGCTACTCATACTATCATGTGAAGTAGACCAATATACACCCCATCGCCGCCGCCTTTCCAAGCATGACATCACCCTTGGGGTCTGTACATGCATCAAAACTGGAGGTGGCAATTAGATTGGATTGGTGGATCCATGGATCAAATGGATTGGTGGATTCATGGATTGGTGGATTATCCACGAATCCAAATGACATCCTCAACCAAGGACCAATATGTAAAATGTGAAAAGTTTAGGTACTAAAATGTCATAATGAAATTTTTTAGGTACCAAAATGTAATTTTCCAATGTATTTTTTCGTATAAAAAATTAAATTTTAGGTACCAAAATGTAAAAAATAAAAATTATAGGTATTAAACCGTAATTTGCCAATGATCCATGGATCCAATCCATTAATCCACCAATCCAATTGGATTTGGATCAAATGGATTGGATTTATATCGATTGGATTATTTGGATATTTTTAATGGATTGATGGATTGGATTGAGAATTGCCACCTCTAATCAAAACTCATCAAGCACTTGGGTTTCAAGCATGATATCACCTTAGAGGGTTGTGTTGATCTACCAAACACTTAGGTATCGAGCATGACATCATCCAATGGGATATACACCTTCATCGCCAAGAAGTCATGCACAATATGTGTCATGGGTATCAAACATGATACCCACCCAAGAAGGCCATGAAGACGTGTTAGGCATGCACGACCCCACATGTTAGACCACCTAGGTGTCAAGGAATGTGAGTATCTATGTGTCAAGCATGAGACACCTAGCTAAGTAACCATCGCATCACATCAAGCCTGCAAGACACAAGCACATATAGTAGCGTGTTGCGTATAAATTTCCGCAACCATGACAAAAATAGCTAAATTAAGTCTACTCCTAAGATACGAAAGATAAAAGTTACGATAAACTAAATATTCTTCTTCTTCGATAATCATAACGGAACCACAAAGTACATATTTATAGTAAAGACAAACCCTAAACCCAATAACCAACCCTAACCCATTCGCCCAAGTATGGCCGCCAACTACCCTTTTCCTACTACAACTCTACTAATTGCTACTTGTGGACTAAGAAACCAATAATAATAATGGTAATAAACATATACGCAACATTCCTTCCCTCTTCGAAAGAACCTTGTCCCCAAAGTTCGAGTTAAATAGCGAACTAACTCAAACCATACTCAACCTGGATCAATGTAGAAGAACCTCTCCCATGTATTGGCGGTAGCGAAGAGAGTGGATGTGATCTTCCACAAGGTACCGTGTTGGAGCCTGGAGGAGCAAGTGACCGGCGGTGATGTAGGCCAAGTCGGATAAACCTCAAGCAGCCTTGGAAGAGTAGCAGGGCGCTTAGACGAGCCCTCCTCAGTGCATCCATCCTCTATTACGATTCTTCAGAGGAGTGCTCTCATCCTCTTCTTTCAAGACAAATTCGATGCTCTCCTTTAAAGGAAGTGACCCTTTTGTCTTGGCCTTATTGTTGTTAATACATGCCTATTAAAAATATTGCATTTACTTTTTATCTCATGCAAATAGCCGAATTTTTTCGCAATGGACGACCAACTCAAATGGTGCAGGTATAGCCTGATTTCTTTCATAATGGACGACAAGCTCAAGTTGTGCAAGTATTGCCTGATTTTTCCATGCTTGCCTCATGTTATCTACTATCCTTGAGTTTCCTCATTTTTCTTTCACTTTTTTGTTATATACTTGATATTTATGGCATTCTTTTCTTTAATGATCTAAAATTAGGGATGGCAAATTACCCACCTATGGGTAATTATACCCAAACCCAAGTAGACCCATTGATAATGGGTTGGGTATGGGTGAACATAGTTAGTAAAATACGGTACGGGAAAGTTACGTAAAAAATACGTACGGGTATTATACTTTGTCTTTAAGCTAAAGTACGTTTAATAGTACGTTAATAGTCATAAATATATAAAATTAATCATTTTAAAAATAAATAAAAATATAAATAATACTAAAGTTAACAATTTAATTAATAAAATACGGATAATAAACGTGTTATACGGGTTTTATACGTGTTTAGTACGGACATCATCAAATGAACGGGGGAAAATGAAACAGCTTGACAATAATACGGATACGGAAGTTTTAAACGGATAAAGTACGTACGGGTACATATACGTGTATTAAACGGAGTATTTACTAACTATGGGGTGAAGTGCATATGGATTTGGGAGTTTATAGATAGGTTTGGGTAAGGTATGAATATTGCTTCCATAATCTAAATGGGTATGGGTTGGATATGGATATCCATTTACTTGATGGTGTTTTAACTACACTTGCAAAAATTGGACCTATTTGTAAAACTTGAAAATTTTAGGTACCAAAATGTAAGACAAAAAAATTTAGGTACCAAAACATAATTTTCCATCGATAATTTGAGGACTTATATGCAAAAAAATTAAATTTAGGTACTAAATATGCATATCTATTAAGTTTGGGTATCAAATTGTAATTTGTATTTGGGCATGGGTACAAACCCAAATCCATTTGATATAAACCCAACTCAACCCAAAGTAAATAGGTATGGGGACAAACCCATCAAACTCTACCCATATCCATCTATTTGGATTTCATACCCAACCCAATTGGGTTGGATAGTAAGAAACCCATGGGTATGGGCAAAGTTGTCATCCCTACGTAGAATCCTCCACCTTGATTGTTGTTAATACATGCCTACTAAAAATATTGCGTTTACCTTTTTTCAAATACATTTCCGGTTTTATATCTTTTAATATTTTATCGTTTGACACAATTATTTCCCCCGAGTGTATGAGGATTGATAAACTTAAATCAAATTCGAAACACATAACTGAAAAATTAGGTAAAATTTATAACCACTCTCGAGACCTTGCATTTACCCTCTATTTTTGAAGGAAGGAAGGAAGGATGAATGGATGGAAGAAATGAAGGAAATTTTAGAGGAAAGAGAAAAATGTTTGTTTATGGAGGAAAGTGAAGGAAAAGTGAGAGGGAAAAAATATATTGAAAACTGTGATAGATATGTTATTTTATTATTTATGTAATAGTAAGATACTTAATTATGTGTTGATAATATTTTCATTATTTATGAATAGTGGATCAAATTTAATTTTATATTTTGTGCTAATTTTGTTTGGTATAAAAAACATTCTTGATTTTAAATCTCGTGCATTTTAATTTGATTTAAAAAAATTTTCACAAATATTTAATTACCTCTACTGTATAATATGACATCAATTCTATAAAAATTTCACACTCTAATATCATTTTCACTAGGAACGTAGTACACTTTTACATATCACATAACAATATTATGTATCGCGTAGAAATATGCTATACATGAGGTAAATAAAATTGCTTGTCATAAAATCAATTGTTTATGTAGGGGCCGTGTTGAGTTGGATTCTAAGTGTGCCGTTCAGCTTCTTCACAACCCGAACAACGACCACCATCATGCTGCTATTACTGATCGTTTCCAGGAGTTATGTTCACGGAACTGGGAAGTCTCGTGTTACCATATTTATAGAGAGGGTAATAAGTGTGCCGACTATCTTGCTAGTAGAGGGCATTCCCTCCCGTTGGGTTCTCATTTTGTCCCTATTTCTGATCCTGGTTTATACCACCTTCTCATGTACGACTGTCAAGGCCTTTCCGAGCCACGTTGTGTTATGAATGAAAGTTGAGATGCGTCGCATCCATTTATAAAAAAACACCTATGAAAATAAATAAAAAACAAGAACTAGATAAATTGACAGAATATGATAATAATTAATTATTATACTCTCATCTTTCCATCAGACCATTTAAAAAAAATAGATCTCCGTTTATGATTGATAAATTTAGTTAAATTTCCAATTTCTTATTTATTAATATACATATTAATATTAAGATTTTTCTGAACTGGCTACCAAAAAGAAGCAAGAAAATGAATAAGCAAGAAAATAAACGATAAAAAAAGGTAAAGAGTTGGTTTTCCCTCCAATTTGAAGGGATACCTTCTAAAGTAAAAAAAAAAACTGCATCTTTCCTTTTCCTATCATTGTTCCAATTCTTAAAAAAACAAAGGAAAATGTCTTGAAAATTGCATTTTTATTTTATTTTTGAGTGATATCAATAGAGAATAAGAGTTATACAAGCAAAATTACCCAGAAACCCCACTAGAAGCGACGCCCTAGTGAAGCCACCCAATAAAGTCGAAAGACTCTAACTCTAGGAGAGACAATAGCAGTGCTTTAAGCGCCACTCTATGGGTAGCACTGTTGGCGGCTCTCGGAACCGCCATAAACCATATACAAACTGACAAAGAATCTTGGATCTAACGACACTATGGAATCACCAGACCTTTAAAGAAATCTTCTTCAAAATTGTGTTTACATCCTCAATTTTCCTTCCGTTCCTTTCTCTCATTATTAAACAGGGGATAAACACATTATTGGGGACCTAAATGACTTTTATAATACATTATTTTTTAAATGGGATATTGTGTATTCTTATTTTTAGACCAGACTTAAAAAATAAATTAGTTTTGACATACAAAATAATATATGTTTTGATACATTTCGGCTAAAATTTTATGCAATCATGGATATTATGCACCTTGGTGTATTTTTTGTACCAATATAGTATATTTTTCATACCACGTCTATAAATATATTTTTCATTCCAAAATAAATTAAAGTGAATGTTATTTTGTGGATAATAATTAATTCAATTTTATATGCATACAAATTATAGAAACCTCCATGAACACTTATTAAAACGATATTTTACCTTTTTCACTAATGCAATTCAAATTTCTTTCCTTTTTCTGAGTATATGAAGATGAACACCCATGAACCAGTTATAGATGCATAACCTTGAAATTATGAAGGCTTTATAATCAAATCTCAAACTTTTGGATCGCTCTAACGGTTGATATTGAAATGACATTTTTAATCACATATGTTATATGACTAACCAACATAGTATATTTAGTACCACCATGATCTATTTTTATACTATAAGTTACATGTCATCTCGATTAGCGTGTTTTATTCTAAAATATATTAAAGGAGATGTCATTTTATAAAACATAAAACTTTGAAGTTCAAGTCAAAGTGAATGAGATATAATTTATTAAAATTAAATAAAAAGTAGTTATACACAAAATTTGAATCATACACTTAATTTGCTATCACCCAAATTCACAACAATTGCTTTGTGTTACCCAAAAGATTTGAAAAATATTTTCTTACATGTTTCGTATTTGGACTCCTTTCGTTTTCCTTTAAAACCTCATTTCTCTGTAAAAACACTACCTACAAGTATATGTATTTTGACTTCGATCAAGCCGAAGTCATACGCAAATTCGCTAACATTTTGTTTGCCACCTCTATTTTGTTTCCACTTCATTGTTAGGGTGGAACTCATATGAACAACCTAGACCGCCACGTTTTACGTATATGCCTATATGTAAAATTGCTCAAATAGTTGTCCCAAATTTATTTGGATAGCTGATTGAGTTGGGTATTCACAATCTCTCCTCTTCATTCAATTATAAATTGCAAAGGGTAAATTGCAAGTTTGGACACTGAAAGTGCTAAAAAATTCACGTTTGGTCACTTAAAGTGGTTAAATGTTTCACGTTTGGTCACTCTCCGTTAGTTTCCGCTAAGTTTATCTCATGTTATGGTCAACTCTAATAGTTGACCGTTAAATCAGTGACATGACAATTAAAATATATAAAAAATTATTTTTCACCTCATCACTACATTTATTAAAAATAGAAAGATATAATTCTTTTAATTTTCCTCCACCCACGTTTCGGCATCATTATCTCATCCTCCCCTGTCCACCTCTGCCGCCTCTCACCGGGACCACCCATCAAGCGTTTGCAGCTCCGACGAAGGCTGGGCGAGGCCGAGCAAAATATAATTAGTTGCAGGTCCCGTACCCCATCAACAGTGGTGGGGGATGCTTCAGTTCAGCTCCATTGTTGGATTCTCCACCGGCCCATGGTCGAATCGTCAATTAAGAGGAGGGTGCAGACCATGTAGATGTGAGGGGAGAGGGAAGAGCGGCTAAATTAGGGGTTTTAAGGTAAAAATTGGGGATTTTAAATTTTCTGGTAGCGATGACCCAAAAACAAACAACTTTGGTAAACATGTATTCTTCTTCTTTTTCAACGTCCTCCTCATCCATTTGTCTGCACTCGAAGCTCCAGCTCCTCGCCGCGTCTGCCGCTTCTTTTCTCGGTCGCGTTGAATCCATGGGCAGTTTCTCAGCGTTCTTCCACCCATGAGCTGGAAATCAGGTAAGTAGGACATGGTGGCAGAGGAGGATGGAGATGGAGGCGGCCGACGCAAAGGTTCATGAATCGGGATCGACGAGTTTGTGATGGGGGCGAAGAAGAAATACTCGGGTTCTTCGTGGCCGCCGCATTGGACGAAAAGCTTTTGGGCGAGAACGAAGTAGAGCGGGATGGTGGAGTTTGGAGGAAGAGGAGGCGAGGGCTGCGAACTCCAATTCCAGTTTTTGAATCGAAGGGAAATTCCAAAGACCTAGTGACACGACGGCGACAATGCTAGGTCATTGATAATTGGTGGGTGGTGGAGACAAATTTCAAAAATTATGTCCTTCTATTTTTTATAATTGTATTGATGAGATGGAAAACTAAAATTAATTTTTATTATATTTTAATCGCCATGTCACGTAATTTAACGGTCAACTATCAGAGTTGACTGCCACATCAGATAAATTTAACGGTGACTAACGGAGAGAGTGACCAAACGTGAATGTTTAACCACTCCTAGTGACCACGAATGGAATAAAATACTTTTAGTGACTAAACGTGAATTTTTTAGCACTTCTAGTGACCAACCTTGCAGTTTACCCAAATTGTAAAGTTTCTCATTTTCCAATTAGAGTTCATCAATTATTCTATATTTACCTCTAAGTTAAGCCAAAGTATATTGTAAGATGTTATTAGAATATCTATGAAGCAACTATTTGCATGATGTGATGAGAAAACTCGAGCCTCTGTAGCTCTGTTGATAATTGGTAGTGTAGCTATAAGGAGTATATGTTGTTTGTGTTGGCTACAAGTTGACCCAAGAATTTTATATAGGGGTGGCTTCTTTCAAAAAATAAAGTAAAATAAAAATTAATTAATTGATAAAAATTAAATAATTATTAAATAAGACAATACCCTACTCGTACAAGTTAAAAAAAATTCAATGATGTATTTTCCATTCTAAAAAAAATATAAAATACACTCGGTGTCTACACTGCTCAACAAATTTGTCTCGGTATATCCTACTAGACAATCATTCATGAACTGATGCATATTTGACTTCTAAATTTGTTCTTGATGTAACTCAAAGCCGAAAAGACACTTTCAACACATGTCGTACAATCATAAAATCAATACAAATTAAGGGTAGCTTGTAATTAGATTAATTATTAGGTTTTGAAAATAATTAAGATAGAGAATAGGGTTTGCTATTACACAGTGTTTAGAATAGAACAACAAAAAAGTTGTAGCCAATGGAAATTATATTTATTAATAATAGTAGTGTCCCGGGTTTGAATTACCCAAACAACCACTTATATTCCCATACGCTACAAACGAGAGTAGGATAATCGTTCTTTCAAATTTCAGGGTGTCCCGGACTATTAATTATAATTTTTTTGTCCATACATAAATTACCACCGAGGGTTGGATAATCGATTTTTCCAAAATTTAGAGGTGTCCCGGGACACCCCTAAATACCCATGGGTCCGCCCCTGGCTACAATACTATGACAACTTGACCTATAAATTGAGTCAAATTGATGCCTACTTTACAATGGTGGTTATATATTGTAGTGCAATTACTCACTAAGTTAGGTTTGGTTAGTGGTAATTAGTGAATGAAATTTTATACATTTGATTGAGTATTATGAGACATCATTCCAATACTTAAGTTTCCTTATTACAATTCCTTTCATTTTAAGATACAATAGTGTCTACTATGTAATTCCGAAGCTTTTAGGTGAAGCCACGAGCTAGCTATTGTACTACTCATATGACACATATCTTTATCGTTAGTGTTTACTGTAATCTCAAGTATATTTTGATATTTATATGGAGAACTATCTTCTCGGAAATGTATTATTCTCAGTTCAATGTTGCTCTCCCATAGAAATGAGCAAGTGAAAAGTGATCTAGTATATGTCGTTTCGTGCACTTCCAAAATTGTCAAAACAATTGATACATTGCACAATATTTGTGAGATCTAGGTAACACAATCTATATTTTTGTAAGTTTACATACTTTTTCCATACCATATATAAATTTTCTTTTATTGTTTGTGTCTGAGTGATTGGTGTATGCTCTTTGTAGTGAAATCTAAATTTTGGAGAGGATAATGAAGAAGGCAGCCATCGACAAAAGAAGGGAAGAAAATTTATCATTTGTAATCCATTCAATGCGTGCAATCTCTTTTCTGTCAAGATGCCCCCCAATTTGTATTCGAATTCCTTTTGTATTCTTTGGACAGTGGTTCTGAGTACGATTTGGAAGGAAAGATGTAGGAGGTGTTATGGTGTTGAGTAAGAATGCCAGCTCATTTAATAGCCCAAATACGTTCAGAAGTTAGATGGTATACGGATAGTAAAGTACAGTTACAAGGCGTGCTTAGTTGATAGTTCTGTTTTTCATTTCATATTGTTAAACGGTCTATGTAAGTACTTTCTGAGAGGACCTTAGTTTAAAAGGGAGTCTGGATCTTAATGATACTTTTGATTAACCATAAAAAAATTCCTTTTGTATTTGTATGTTCAGTTAATTCAATAACTTTTTTCATTGCTTTGAGAAATGAAACTTTATTTGTTAATTGTTCCGCTATAAATTCTGCAAGAATATTAGGGTGCCTTTAAGGATTTTCGGTTCTTGTAATAGGAATGTTGATCTTTTGGTTAATTTTTGAATCTCTATACGTGAAATTTCCTCAAACTATAAAAAATTTCATATATTTTGTACATAATTCTTGATACAGTTTCTTATATTTTGATCTTCCTGTAGACTTCCAGAATAATTTTTTGGTTGTGCAAACTAAAGAGAATGATGACCTTGAGTTGTGCCAAGTCTAAATCCAAGTGGATTTATTTTTTGTCCCATAATCCTCACTATATATAAAAATCACGAAATGTTTTTTTTTACCTACCTGCTTTGTTAAGCATAAATTTTTATGTTGTTTTTTCATTATGATAAGATTATAATAGATTTCTAACTATCTCCTTTTATATATTTCATAGAAAGATTTGTTTATCAGTCCAATACGTATATGAAAACTTAGCCTTTTTATAGCAAAACTCCATCCTCGAGCTCGAGCTTTTAATTTTTTTTTTATAGTACTACCCTCATTAACTTCGACTTTAGTAATAACTAAATCGTCTTCCTTAAAATCCTTATTGATTACCATTGGGTGCGACAGTATTTTTGGGAAGATGTTCAACAGTTCTTAGGGGGAAGCTCACGTACGTGCGGCGTTCCAGACTGGTGGTTGTCCTGCCCAACAGCACGCCCAGTTCCCTTTTTTCCAGGAATAGCCAAAAGCGTTCCCAAATTTGCCAATGCTTTTGTCGATGCTTCCCCAAAATTGGAGCTGGTCGGCGGTCGCCATTTAATCCACCCCGCTGGTAGTGATGTCAATTTGAACCCGCCCGCGGGTATTACCCGACCTGATCCGCGATGAGGCGGGTATTACCCGACACGCACTAGCGTGGTGCGGAGCATGGTTATCTACTTCCGACCCGTCCTGCCCTTCTTGTCCCATTCTTGACCAATTCTGTCTCAATTGCTTATCGTATCTATTCATATTTCTCCCATTTTGACTATTCTTCAACTTGTTAGACTCGGTCTTTCAACTAGTTAGACTTAATTACTCATTATATTATGATTATCATTATTTTTCTTTCATAAGTGTATTCCACTTCGTTTTATTATAAACAGTAACAATTTACGTGTACTTTTCAAATAACATATAAAAATGGATCGACCCGTCAGCCCCGTACCTGCGCGGATATTACCCGTTCTGACCCGCAGTAATACATGACGGGATATAGGTATTGAGATACCCGCCCCATCACCATCACTACAGGCGGAGATGGCAATTCCCCAATTTTGCCTGACTTCCCCAATTTTGTCCAACCCATTGGAGTCAGCCTAACAGAGAACAAGGCCCAATTCAGAAAAGCTCTCTCCCGTGTAGCCGTAGCCCGTAGGGTTTATGTCATGGCTTCTTCATTCGTCACTCCACCATGAATACGAGGGCTTAGTTCTCTCTACCATCTGCGCTTTTCCATTGACATCCCATCTCAAATCTCCAAAGTTTCCGACTGCAAGTGTAAGTGATCCTACGGAAAACCCACCAGTTAAATAATGGGCAATATGCGATTAATTTCGCGGCATTTGTGGCGGATCCGGAGAATCCTGGATCAAAGCCCTGCTTCCCCTCTGCAATCAAATCTCCGCTGTCCTACACGCCAATTCGGGTCGGCAGCAGAGCAATCAGTCCCGTCGGCGCCGTCGGAAAGGGTTTCAGGCATCGTGAACGAACTCTCGGGTTTAACTCTTCTGGAAATTTCGGACCTAACCGAGGTTTTGAGGAATAAGTTGGATATGAAAGAGATGCCGGTGATGGCCATGATGATGCCAGGAATGGGGTTCAGTGGCATGCCGGGAGCTGGAAGGGCAGCCGGTGTTGGTGCGGCTGCAGGAAAAGGTGAGGAGAAAGCGGAGAAGACGGTGTTTGATGTGAAGTTGGATGGGTACGAGGCGGCAGCCAAGATCAAGGTGATTAAGGAAGTGAGAGGGTTTACTGATCTGGGGCTGAAGGAAGCCAAGGAATTGGTGGAGAAATCTCCTACGCTGTTGAAGAAAGGAGTAACGAAAGAGGAAGCTGAGAAGATCATTGCCAAAATGAAGGAAGTTGGGGCTAAAGTTAGCATGGAGTAACCAATGTGAGTTCCCTTCGTTCTAGAATTTAATTAGTTTGAGCTTCTACTTCAACACTGGTATCCATTTCCATAGTTAGTTACTTAGTCCTTCTGACCTGTTATGCGTAGTTAGTGCTGTCAGGCAACTATCTCCAAGATATGAGAAACCCCTGTCCAAGTTTAGGGGCAACGTTATCTGATCCATAGATGAATGCCTTGTTGCAGAATGAAAAGAATTAACCTGGTCCTGGGCGAATGTGGTTGATACTTGATCCCTGATTTTCTGTGTTTCTGATTTTGAAGTCTATGTTGCTCAATCCTTTAGAAGTTGCTTTCTCTAGAATTGCAACCATTTGTTCAAGCAAACCTGTGATGTAATGATAAAAGATGAATGGGAGCACAAGAGAATAAGACTAGATATTAGAAAATAGAAAGACTGCCTGATACTGGATGGTAGCGGATCTTGCAACTGATGCTAGATTCTGGCTTGATTCGACATGTTTGTGTTGTCCCTTTTCCCTTGTTTTAAATTACTTGTGAATTAATCTCTGGATTATCTAGTTATTTGCTGACTTAAGAAGAAGAGAGGAGGGGAACAGTGAGTTTTTGTTATGGTGAGTTGTGATGGAGATTAGATTGTTAGGTTATGGTGCGTGTGATATCTATAACTGGCTTAAGGAGTCATTTAGTTGTAGGTGAGCTAGTTTCGCCGAGAAAGATGACTGTTTGTATTGTATCATCGTGTTGGGGAGAAATTAAAACTTACTTTGAATTTTGTTTAGGCTTCTGACTTCTGAATGATGTGGGAAGAACAACTCACTAATTCATTTTTCATGATCAGACTTACATTGACGCCATGAGCTCGACCGAAAGAAACTGGGTGCAACAGTTGAATTGCAGGTCATGGGGTGGGATGTGAGAAAAGGGAAGAGACCGGTGCAACAAGCTGTCGTTGCTGGGTGGCACAATACCAGAAGTTCAGATTTTTCTTGATAATACCAGAAGAAGAACCATCTTCTGTGACAAGGAACTTGCTCATATGCTCTTTTAGTTGGAAGAAGCAAGTCTTAGAGAAACTACCAGTTTTCTGTTACCATTTTTTGGAAACTCCGGGCAAGGGATAGTGAGCGACGCCCCCCCTGTTGTAGAATTGAGTCGAGCGTAGCAATTCGATTGTATCCATCCATCTATCTAGCTCTGCAGTTTTGCAGTCTTGCATAGTACAATCATTCGCTTTTGGTTTGCTCCCTCTCATATGTACATGATTTTGCTTCTCCATCTAACAGAATGCTTTATTCAAATAAACCCACCGTGTTCCAAAATTTCTGATCAGTTCTTCGACTAAAATGCCTGAAACAGTGTCGCAACTAAGTTCGTTCGGCTTCAACATTTAAATTATTTAGTTAAGTCGAACTCATTTCGACCTATGTATGAGTGATCCGGAGAACAGGCATCAGAAAGAATCAATCTTAAGATTGCCACAAATGATCAACCACGTACTCTGTGTACCTGCGACATTGAATCAAGGCCGTCGCTATAGCATAATTTCGAAGGAGAGAACTTTGTTCATAACAATGCGGTTGTGGCGTTCCTACCAAAAACAGAACAATGCGTTGTGGCAATAGGAAAACTTTGGACCGGGCCGCAACGCGCAAGTGGAGGAGGAATCAACCTGACGATAAAGACGGCACCGTTTTAGGCACTGGTTGGTTGAGAGCTTGTGAAAGTTTACGCCTTTACGGCAATGTCTCATTTGCTCTGAAGTTGGAACTGTGAACTAAACGATCGATTCGCCGGGTACAAACTTTCACGGATTGTACCTTGGCGGTCGCCGGGACGCCGCCACCTCTTCCCACCCACTATTGACTGTAGAACTTCGCGTTCGCTTTTCTTCTTAGAAGACAAGATGGAGCTGCCACGGTTCTAGCTTTTACACTTCAATCAATCCTCTTTTATCAAAGAGAATGGGAGAAGAAAGGGAAATGACAGCGGAAGAATCATCACAGAAACAGTACAACCAGGAGGCAAGTTCGCAATGGCAGAACGCAACCGCCGGAGCTGTGGCGGGGTTCGCCACCGTCGCTGCTATGCATCCCCTCGACGTCGTCCGGACTAGGTTTCAAGGTAACCACTTCTTGGGTTCCGAACATATGCAAGCTCCTTCGCGTCGTCTCTCTTTCTTCTTTGTGATTGATCTTAGTTGCTTGTGATTCGTGTATTTTGGGTTCAGTAAACGACGGCCGAGTAACCGGTCTCCCGACTTACAGGAACACTGGCCACGCTGTATTAACCATTGCTCGCATGGAGGTTTGTCTTCCCACAAAACTTCTATGCCATCACTTTCGTTTCATGGATGGTGTTCAATCTGTTGGAACCATTTGTTTTGCGCCCGAACCCAATACATACGACTTCCTTTGTGTTGTGAGAAATAGAATATTTATGCAAGAAATTCGACTGTTGCAGGGCATCAGAGGGCTTTATGCAGGATTCTCCCCAGCGGTTCTTGGTTCCACCGTAGCATGGGGTCTATATTTCTTCTTGTGAGTTTCTGTTAGATTACTGTGCTGATTTCAGAAGGGGTCAAAAAGTTACTTGAATGAATGTGTGTTTTAGGAGTTCCCGTAGATCATGTTAGAGCCGCGTCCTCCTCTTGATGATGCTGGTAGATGATACATCTTGCTAGTTAGGTCTGATTAAGAAGTAGGGCAGAAGCCATATGTATGCCTCCTCTTTAGTTGATGTAGTCTTAAGTGACTAGGAGATAGTCTTACTTGAACCAGGTTTTCATGCGTATCTTTTCGCTTTAATGCTTACTTATGCTTTTGATTGGTCACTTGGCTGAAAGACAATGATTGACACGAGGTTTTTCTCTTTCAAAAACATGTTGCAGCTACAGCAGAGCTAAACAAAGGTATTCAAAGGGCAAGAATCAAAGTCTGAGTCCTCTTCTTCATCTTGCATCTGCTGCAGAAGCTGGAGGTTTGGTGAGTGCAACTTGAGATCAGAAAACCTTGGTGCATACTCTGTGCAATTAGCAGAACATGCACCCTTATTCAAGTAGTGGAAATTCTTAAGGCACCAAGATAAAAAGAAGGCCTCAAGCATTTTTGGTGAAGAGTGGTATTGATATTGACATTTGTTCCTTACCCCATCAGGTTTCCCTGTGCACAAATCCCATCTGGCTGGTAAAGACAAGGTTTCAGTTGCAGGCCCATCATCAATCTTCCCGACCCTATTCTGGACTTTATGGTTTGTTTAGTTTCTTTGACTATCACAAGCTGTCCATGTTGCCTCTTCGTTATTTTTCTTCCTCTCATTTTATTCCAAATTTAGTGCCAAAGTTCGTAATTGTTAACTTCCTAATATTTATTGTCCACAACATCACCCCCTGGTGTTGATTCCTGCTCATTTAATACAGACACAGTGATCTGACCTATGGTTTTGTTTGAGGTCCTGATTGTGAAAATCTGACTTAGTGACTTCAAGTCTAGATCATTCTGTCAGCTGCCCCATGTTTTTCAGTTTTGGTAATCAATGGTATTACTAATGACGTTGTCGAGGTCCTGTTTGGAAGATTAGACTTCAAGTTCATTTTTATGATGCTCGGTTTGCATTAATGATGCTTGTGAGAATTTTCTTGCTTTCTGATAAAGTAAGATCAATGTTACTGTTAATAGTTTGTTTATCCTGTTAGGTGTTCAATGTGAACAACCTTAGTACTTCTCATGGATTTTACTTGTGATCAATCTCAGATGCTTTTAAAACAATCATGAGAGAGGAAGGATGGAAGGCACTATATAAAGGACTTGGTCCTGGGCTTATTTTGGTGAGTGTATTTAGGTTGGGGGCACCTCCCAGTTGCTTCCCTCTCTTCTTATTAGATTGAATGCTCCTCACACTTGTGTCTCTATTGATGAGTTTTCCTCCTAGATTCATTACTTGCCCTTTGTGTGTTATGACTAAATGCATCTCTTTGTTGCTTTAGCAGGTTTCTCATGGTGCCATCCAGTTCACTGTATATGAGGAACTCCGCAAACTTCTCCTTCACCACAGATCCAATGGGACAAAAGGACACCATGATAATGCTGATAGTAATTTGCTGGTGAGAGTCTTAACTTTTACCAACTAACTTTCACAATTCCAACCAGCAAATCTTCAATTGGTATTAGTCCATCGACAGGCATACTGTCCTGTGCCTTAGAATATGATCTCATGACTTGAAATTCTACATGTTCTGTAATCTGCCCGATGCCTCACATCTTAGGGAAGATCCTTTTCTCAGTACAGGAGGTAATACTAATCGTACTTCCTGCACTGAATAATAGTACTTAAATAAGTTCAAGATAAAAATTATTGCTGATATAGCTATTGTAGAAATATAAATCCTAAATAAGACAGGAATTGAGTTATAGACTACTGCTCAATCAATGCTCCTACTCATGCCTATGAGGATAATGAGTAGGCCACAACACACACTACTTGCAAGCCAACTCCTCTTACAATTATGTAAACAGGGGCCTCCTTGAGGATCTGGACATGTGTTTTCAATTTTCGCTTCTCCCATGTTCCTATAATGTCTGTTTTCAATTCTCTCATGCAGAATACAGTTGATTATGCTGTTCTAGGGGGTTCTTCGAAACTTTCGGCCATTCTTTTGACCCATCCATTTCAGGTGGACATTCTATTTGGTTGATGAAACAAACTCTACATGGAACTATTTTGGTCATTGGATATAATGCTGTAATTATCTTATCTTTCAGGTTGTTCGAGCTCGTATGCAGGTAACAACTTTTGTATCCATTTCCCCCCTTGTCTTTCTTCAATTATTTCACATGGAGAAGAATGGTCATGTTCTTGTAGGGCCTATGGTCCAGCAAGATCATTTTTCTGTTTCTGTTTTTTCATTTGACCATGTGCCCCACATTGAAGTGAGCCATTGAAGCGTGTGATTATATGTTGCCTGCTACCGTGTATCAAGTAACTGTTGCGTTTTTTGGGTGTGGTTTCCTACCCATCGCTGCAGCAACGGCCAGGTGCTGATGGGACTCCGAGATATTTGGATAGCTGGCATGTGGTAAAGGAGAGTTTCCGGTGAGGATTTGGCAGTTAATTCATTAGCCATTCCTGTTACATAGTTTCCAGGTTTATGATTTGGACAGAGACTTGGATATTTAATGGATGGACTTTAGAACTGCGTAATCATTTCGTTCTGCAACTGACCACTCTCTAGTGGGCATTTGAAATACTATGTTGGGTTCCTACTACCGCATTAGCTTTGTTGTTCCAGTGATTCAGATTTTAGTCCTGATCACTATCTAATCCAAATTTTCCATTCTGCCCATGTTGGGAATCACAGGTATGAAGGATTTCGGGCTTTCTATAAGGGTATTACGCCAACTATTTTAAAAAGTGTCCCGACTTCCTCAATCACCTTTCTTGTGTACGAGAATGTCCTCAAGTTGCTGAAATTGGCAAGCAGGGACTGAACTTTCAGAGGGGCGTTTCGAGTTTTCCATTGCCATCCTGCTACTTCTGACCAGCAGAATCCAGTATCTACTCTACTGATGGGAGGACAGGCTAACCACTGGGTGTTTCCTACTCTGCTACACATTTCTGGATCGAGATACATCAAGTGACGCAAATTTACTCAATGCGTTGCACCCCTCTGTATAGATTCATTTGCTATGTCCAAGGATGCAAAAGGAATTTGTTCTCGATGGGAAACCTGATGCAATTTTGTCAACAATTTTCCTAACATTCTAACTTACTGATGATTTTGTTTATTTCATTGGTGATTCTTACAAAATTATTGTGTAATTGTAGCTTCTGATATCTTATTTGGACTTGTAACTGTACAATACTTACCGAGACAATATGGTCAGACTCTTGGTCGATGCCAAGTTTAACGAAACTTCAAATATCGAACATGATTAGCTCGCTCAGCCAGGTCCAGTTTCAGTAGTATACAAGGCAGCATGTTATTTCCTTAAAAAAAGAAAAAAACCCTTGACTGTTCTCTATTCTCATCATTTTGAGGAATGCTTATGAAGAAAGGCAGCAATTTCTTCTGACACCTCTTGAGCTCTCTCTTGATGAATGAAGTGGTGACCATTTAAAACTACAACTTCAAGGTCAGGAACAAAGCTCCTGAAGACCCCTCCTTCAATATACTGCTTAGTGCCAGAGGTCTCGAACCCAATATCTTGATTGCCGATGATGAACTTTGCCGGTACTGTAACTTTCGATCCTTGCCAGGGTGCAGAAATCTCCCAGTTCCTGTTTCCAGAAACCCCAAGGAAACAAACAACAGGGCAATTAAGGTGCGTGATTTGGCATTAATGCTTCAGTATGATTTTTTTACTTTAGACAATCTGATGTTGTGGTTGTGGTGACCACCTATGCACTTACAGGTCCATGGCACGGTAATAGTTGAGAGGACCAGTGAAGCCAGATTGCTGGAACTTGTCAGCATAGACTTGCAGTTCCTCCTGAGTGATCCAAGCCGGGAGAACAGCTGGTGTCTCCAAGTCGTCGATTATCTCGATTCCCGGAGGTGCCACCATGTTGTCTGTCCTGTTCAACAGCAAGAACTTCTTCATCACTGTCAGGCAATCGTATCTCGCGAATGCCTGCTCTGCTCTCCCAGGCTCCTGGAACTGACATATGTAAAACCCATCTCCAAACACCCTGTCGAAAATTTCAGTGAATCTAGCTTCAGGATTCCTGTTGTAGAACGGGACTGAGAGTGCTACCAGCCCCTTCACTCTGTCAGGCCTCAGTAGACTCAGATACCACCCAGCCAGAGCTCCCCAGTCATGTCCTATCACAAACGCCTTTGTCGAAGACCAACCAAAATCAGTACTGCTATTCGTAGTAAAATACGGTACAGGTAAGTTACATTCTATTAAGTAAAGGGCGAACAGCGGGAGAGACCTGGTGTTGACCGAAATGGTCGAGGAGGGCGACGATGTCGCCTACGATGTGCAGAAGAGTGTAGGAAGAAGGGTTGGCAGGGGAGTCGGAGTCGCCGTAACCCCTGAGATCAGGAGCGACAACATGGTAGCCACGGTCGGCCAAGTAGGTGATTTGGTGGCGCCAAGAATACCAGAAATCTGGGAAGCCATGGAGGAGAAGGACCAGTTGGCCTGTCCCTTTCTGGGCTACATGTAGCCATATCCCATTTGCTTTGATTCTCTGGTGATCTGTACCTTCCATATCTTGGCTGGGTTCTCTTGCCTTTCTGCAGATTCACAGCAAAGAGGGAAGAGGCAAGTTGAATAATTCTATGTAGTGGTTCCTTCCACCAGCAAATTGCAGAGGGAGTGGCTAAATGAATGAATGCCATTGTCAAAGTCAAACACGGGTGATTGAAGTCAGAGCTTTGGAACTTTCCACTTCCGAATAAGATAAAAGTTTTTTAATAGGAAAATAAGGTATAATAATTTTAAAATAGTCCCACTTCCGCAGATGATCATCGCTTGGCTCGAGATGGTCTGATCTTGATTCGTAACATGAGCTTCCATGGAGTCACACTGGAAAGGGATTCTCAAGTCGTCACTTGCCAGCTTCTCAGAGGGTAGAATCAGATACAATTGGAGGATTGATGCTTAAAGACTGCCCATAGACGATAGCTAGACATGGCTTAGAGTTATGTGGTTCCTAGGACTGCCAATTGGGTTGCCTCATAGTGTGGTAAAAAATAGTTCTCTCTGTCTAGTTTAGAGTTGCCCCAAAGATAAATAACTAAGACCCAACGTGCTGGTTTTATAAATTCCATAAGCAAAGAAGTTAAGAACAAACAGTAACTTCCCAATATGTTCCCCCTAAGAAGACGACAATGCTCCTCTTCCTTTACACAACCAGGCATTGCCAATTTACACAGGAGATGCATCGAGAATTCAGAGAAATGCTTTGGTTTCTGAATGCTTCTCATTCTCCATTTTTCTCATCCTCTAGCAAAAGGTGGACACCACAAAACTACAATTATTTCAAACAACGGGACAATGGTGGCAGCTTTGTTCCCGATTGTTTGTCACACCTTGTCGTCGTGGAACCACCACCTGGTCTCCTTTGGAGATCTGCCATTCCGACAGTTCTTTACATATCGATCGTTGTCTTCAGGGCGTTGCTGCAGGCACAGGGGAAACAGTATCACATGAGCTCAGAACAACATAAACCCTCTTCTCAGCTTAAACCGAGACAGAAAGGAAGTAGAGACAGTAGTGAGCTACAGATCAAACCTTAACAGTTGAGCTTGACAGCATTGAGAGGATGCTTATACAAACTGAACTAACAGTCATGGCAGGTGACCAAGAATCATATAATATATCTGCAAAGTAGAATCATAGTTTGTTGTAAGCCTCTCCGTGACAAAACTACCCACTTCACTGCATTTAAAAAGGGGAGGTAATAAAATGATGAGCTTGATAAAAACGGCAAAGCACGTGGAGATATATATATATATATATATATAGTCAGTCCCCTTTGGACGCATAAGAGTCTCCTATGTAGAAGCTGAACTACTTTAGCTAGAGTTGATGAACCGATCATCTTTCGTTTGGTAAATGTGACACACGTTCAAGAGTCGCATCAATTGTCCACATGCAAAAGCATGAGTACCACCAAAATAAAATTACACCCCGAGGGAATCCATCCAGCTTATGCAGCCATTCAAATGTAGGAAGGGATAAATGAATCATTAAGACCCCAAATTATGAAGTGTCTAGTCCCTGACATCAGCACAAAAGTTCTCTGAATCATTATCAAGATATTCATTTCACAAGATGCAGATCACGTCCGTGGTGAACTGTGAGACATTTGGCCTTGTATTGCATACAAAGCCAAAGAGAGATCAAAGGAACTCTCAGCATTTTCAAGTGATTAGCCAAGATTACAAACTAAGTTGAACACAATTTTGATCGTGCAGGTCTCAGTTATCTTAAGAGGATAAAGTCACAGTGATTCCGGTAGAAAGAAGATCACTAATATATCTACAAAGGGGAACAGAGACCATGCACTCAAAAGGGATCGAAATCCAGTGGACACTCAAAGCAGAGATAGCATGCATCAACCGCAATATCCAGGGGCAAATCCATCACTTTCAACAAGTGGGGAGGAAAAAATTATCTCGGGCATGAGAAAAAGAAAATCTTGATGTAAACCCAAAGCCAAGAAGAATAAAACACCTATGGTGAAGATACTGAAAGAGAAAGTGGTCCAGGAAACTGGAGTTGGAATCATTTTAAGGAAAAAATAATAATAGATGCTTACTGGTACAACACAAACACATTCCATTATGAGGAGAAAGGATGAAGGTTTTGGTCGTTGGTTTTACCTAAACATATATGGCCGTTGCTATAAATGTGAGGGTGCAATGGAGCTGGATGGAGGAATATCACCTGCTCACAGTCCAAAAATCCGAACAAAATGAACATCACAAACACATAATAAACAACAACTTACACAGGAAGAAAGAAATGATGATCCAGAATCATACCTGGGGAGCTTCCATTGGGTAATGCTCAGGGAAATCAACTTGAAGTTGGTAAGTTTCGTTAGCATAGAGGGTTCCAGGAGCTCCAATTGCTTCAACCACCCACCTTCCATTTCCATAACCCACAAATTTTTAAAAACTAAGGAACAAATTACTACCAACCAAAACTAGAATTGCCATAATTTGAAACAAACACAAAAACTACAGAGACAAACTTTCTTCCGTAAAGCAGTAAAGGTGGACAGCTTAGAGCTGAAAGTTCAATGTTTTTCATGCAACGGAAAGATGGGTAAAAGAAAAAGAGGAAACCTTTGGAGATTATCGGTGACTATGTGTTTGAAACCAGTGGGGGGATTGATCTGCCACTCTACCAGCTCCTTCTGAAGCCGATTGCAGGCAATCTTACTCAGTGTCTGAAAGTAATCGTCCAACATCGTCGAAGAGAGAAATCCGTAGAAAGCAAAATTAATTTCTAGAATGAAGAAGAAGATTGACAATTCATCGAGTAAGGGGATGGAAACAGTAAGAGTCAAAAGTGAGGGAAAGACCTTCCGAGCGGTGGCGGAGGAGCTGGTCATGGCGGAGAGCGCTGCGGGGAGGAGAGAGAGGGGATTTCAGGGCTGAAAATTTTGGAAGGAGAAGAAACAAATAGAAGCAGCGAAGGTTTTGATGGTACGACCTATACGTGGGAACTGGACCGTGCCGCTCAATGACTAGTAAGTAGTACGGCAAGGCACGAGAACCGGCATGAAATAAATAGGCCAACCCAACACGAACACGAATAATTTATTAGCTGTGTCGGGTCTAAATTTTCATGGGCACGGGGACATCACGGTATATAAGTGGCCGTATTGGGCCTAATATTTTTGAGATTTTATTGAGTATAAGAACGGACATGGCACAAAAATAGCATTTATTTGATAGAAAATAAATATAGAAAGAATTATAGGTTCAAATATTACAAAACACAAGTAGAAAAATAATTATTTGTTGTTGTTAGAAGTGTCATAAAGATATATACGTAATTACTAACATAAGTAAAAATGGACAAAGAATTAAACAAAGCCAAATCACACTTGAAATACTCCCAATTTTCTTTTCCCCCTTATTTGTTACTTTTCTCAAACATTATCGGTTAATACTATCTTCCCCCATCCAATTTTCACCTTCTTTTTCATTCTCTCTTTTGTTTTCGTCCTTTTCATTAAACACGAATACGAGCATGGCACGAGCACGTATAGGCACGACACGATTCGAACCGTGCCCGGGCCTGGGCCGGGCCTAGCAAGGTTGACAAATGGGCTTGCATGGCACGACACGAAAACTGACGGGTCGTGCCAAACACGGCACTAAATAAATGGGCCCGAAGCGTGCCTGTGCCGTGCCGGCCCAAGCACGGCCCAACTCCCATGTACAGGTCCAAGTATAAACTTTAATTGGATGCAATATAGGATAAGAATGTTTAAATATCAACCCGGGCCAGTCCATGTACCCCTACTTCGATTGTTTGAAACATTATCTAGCGATTAGTTGTTTGTTGAAAATTACGATCTACAATCAAAGCGATTGTAAATGTAATTGGTTTTGACTCTAAATGAGAAGGATTCACCCGGGTGTAGCTCCCCCTAACTAGCTACCATGACTTGTCGAAATGAATGAAAACATGTGGTGGAGGTGGTTGTGAACCGTAAGGGAAGTGCAACTAGTGATGAAACATCACTCTCTCGGTCTCTAGGCCAAGGAATTCGGATTAAGCTACTGATGTAGCTCTCTTGGCCTAATCGACTAAGGACTATCTAACCTTCTCTCTCGAATCAGGTTTCGGACGACCAAAACACAACCAACCTAGATGCTAATACGAACAAGGAGGGTTGGCCTACGTTAACCTAGACAGGAGACAAGATTTGCCTAAGAAAATCCAGCTTTACAAGCCTCTTTCATAAAAAGGCGGGTTTCTCTCTACCTAGGTTAGAATGACAAAATAGATTGATAGGCAAACACACAACACAATCTTCCATGAAAATACCTTCAAATTCATATTAAAACACACCCACACATAAACAATCATTCCATACAATCAACCACATGGTAAAAGTCAGGGTTCACAAACACCCAAGTGGAATGGGACACTACTCCATGCTAGGAGAGGGAAAAACACAAGGAGAAGGGAGAGAAACCATAATGGAGATGCTTGAGTCCTTCCTTGTGTAGTGGAGATCTTCCTTTATGGAAAAATTTCCCAAATCCTTGCATTGAAGTGAAACCCTAGAATCTTCGTCCTTCTTGCTCGTCACTTTCTCACTCTAGAATGTTGAAGAAGAAGGTTTTCTTACTCAAGGTCTCCTCCTCTCTTTAGTTTCAGCTTAACCCTTCTTTTATACACAGGTCGCGGTCAGTTCACGGTCCCAGTTCACGACCGTGAACATTCCTCCTAGACCATGATGTCGAGCTGATACACACTGTCTCATTTAGTCTATTCAAGGTCTAGGGCTTTGGTTCACGGTCTTACGATCGTGAACTGACTGGGAGCTCGCGAGGTGTGCAAAAAGCTCATGCACCCTCGGCGCTTCACGGTCTGGGAAACCTTTTCACGATCTTAAGACCGTGAAAAATCATCATTGGCCGTGATCCTTAGCTGCTTCCACCCTTTGACTCATTCTCGCTCCTTTTCGTCTCACTTTCGATTCTGGGGTCAGTTCCTCCTTCTAGGATATGAAACATACTAAAACAAGGTGCAACCTAGCGTAAAACCAAACCTCACGGAGCACAAATGCATAAAACGTCTAAGGAAAATGGGGATAAAATGTGTACAATTGGACCTGAATCAGTTGCCATGTTAGCTTCTCTGGGTGAAAATGCCCACGAGATCGAGCCAACCTTTGGAGTGTTAATTTTGAATACTTTAGTGGTTGGTGGTTTGTATTGTTTCTGGGCCGGTGGGGCGGGGATTAACTCCTCTTTTTCTTGGTGAAGAAGATAGTCCTCTAGATTGTAACATGTGTGCAACACAATATTAGTCACATTCTGTTTTGCTCCATTGAACATATGGGCATTAAGTTCTTTCTAAAAGAACCAGAGAAGCACACACCATGCTAGTAAAGTCTGCTCGTCCCAATTCTACATCACTATTTGTTTCCATGTGTAGCAATTCGCCTCCCCCTACTTCGAAGGCCAACTCCGATTGCTTCCAAAGCCTCGACGCCCATTGGCACTCACTAAAGATATGTTCCTAGGTTTCCCTAATGTCGCAAAACGGGCATTTGTTGCCCCACTTCTTACTTTGAACACTACCCAATCTTCTGTAGGTAACACACCCCGAGCAAATCGCCATATAAAGTGCTTGATCTTATGCAGGATCCTCAATTTCCACAGCTTCCGCCATAGCTCAGCTTTCCCTATCAGATGAACATAATGTCTGGCATTGTAATCTCTTAGCCACCACTAGAAACCCTCCTTCACTATGTACTCTCCTCTAATGTTTGCCGACTAGATCACTCCCTCATAAAGGAATATGGTATATCTGCTGTGTCGTTGCCGCATCAAAGCAAGGTTCCACCACTAAAGATCCCCAGCTTCTGTGTCCGGGTTGATTAAGTCACGAACCACAACGTCTACTTCCAAACCCTGCGGAGGAGTGGAGATGAAGTGTGGTTCCTATGGTAGTAATTGTCTCCCAAGACCCTGATATTCGACTCGTCCCCAACTCACCACCTCGGTCCATTTCAGAGGAGAGGCTGAGCACACATGAGACTACGCCAAATATAGCTTGGATCATTACCCTATAGTAGCCTCAAGAATGGACGATCCCTTCTGATACTTGGCTTGAAAGATCCGAGCTATAAGGGAGTGTTGCTGCTGGAGGAGGCACCACAATTGCTTAGCTAACAAAGCCAAATTAAACCCTCGAAGGTCCCTGAAGCCAAGCTCACCCTCTTTGTTCACACACACCAGTTCCTCTCTGTTGGCATAGTAAATCCTCTACTCATATCCTCTTTGTCCCTAGTAAAAATTCGTGATAAGACTGTGACTCTCATCTAAAGTCCCATCTACCACTTTAAACACTGGCATGGCATAGGTGAGTTGTGCTTGAGCAACATATTTAATTAAAGCTTCCCTCCTCGCCACGGATATAAATCTCTCTTTCACTCCCTTCAGCTTCTTGCGAATTCATTCCTTCATCCCAACGAAAATATCCCTATTGGATTGACCAACGATAGTTGGCAAGCCCAAGTATTTTTCATGCTTGTCCACAACCTTCTTCTCCAAAGTACCAATAACAATCTAGCGCTAATGCGGTTTCACATTGTTGTTGAAGCTCACTGCCGACTTCTGGAAATTTATTAGTCATCCTGACTCCTTTAAATAGGACTTCAGGATGCCCTTCTGCGCAACAATTTCCAATAGAGAGGCCCTGCCAAAAAGATACAATCGTCAACGAAAAAAATGTGGGTGATGGTTGACACACCCTGAGATGACGACAACCTATGAACCTTCTTGTTCTCCACTGCATGCCTCGTGATCCCTGATAGCCCCTCTGCACATATACAAAAATAATAGGGCAATAAAGGATCTCCCTGGAGAATGCCTCATCCTGGCAGGAAAATCTCATACTAGTGGTCACTAAACAAAACCGAATAGGATACCGTACGAACACACATCATCATCAGTTGCACCCATCGTTCGGCGAATCCCGTTCGTCTTATCGTTGCTTCCAAAAAGTGTCATTCAACGTAATCATATGCCTTAGCTATGTCAATCTTGGCTTCAAAGAACCCCTCTCTTCCTTTTTTCTTTCTCTTCATCGTATGAAAACATTCAAAAGTCGTTATGATGTTGTCTGTGATATATCGAACAAGAACATAGGCGCTTTGTTAAGGAGATATAATATGATCCAGTACCAGTTTCAGGCGATTAGCCAGAACCTTTGCTGTGAGCTTATACATAATATTGCATAGGCTTAATGGCTTATACTCTTGGGGTGAGATTGGGCCTTTGACCTTGGCGATTAAAGCGATAAGTATATGGTTAAGCCCCTCCCGGTAACTCTCCCTACTCTAAAATCTCGATGAACGTGTTCACCACGTCTCCCCCTACTAGCTCCTAATGTCGCCAGAAAAAGAAAACAGAGAAACCATCCACACCAGGTGGCTTGCAAGCCCCCATATGCTTAAGAGCAGCCACAATCTCTTCACGCAAGAACGACTACAACATCATTTCATTTTGGGCTTGCATTACCTTCGGTGAGATGGAGTTAAGAATTGGGGTTTCGTCCAGAGCAGTTGTCGCCGTGAAAAGCTTTGAGAAATATTCCACAAAGCATTGCAAAATCTACTCCTGGTGTCCACAGCTCATGCCTTGGTCATCTCTAATGCGGCGGATAGAGTTCCGTTTTCTTGTTGTAATTAATTCATCTAGCTAAGAACTTGATCAGTCTTCCCTTCCCCGCTCATGTTTCTCCATGCATTCACTATTACTTGCCACTTTCTACGTGTTTGCCCACATGGGTTCAAACCAAAAGCTCCAGCCCCATCTCGATTCACTATCCTCATCCTCTCCTAGGCTGAAACTAAGAATTAGTTGGTGATCAGACCTCGCTTTATCAAGATGAAGAACATGAGATTGTTGGAACTCTCTAGACCAGCTCTTAGTAGTGAGTAAACAGTCCAGTCTCTCCTCAGTATACCCCTTGATTGACCTTCTATTTTTCTACGTGTATTCATAGCATGCAAAACGAAGATTACGAAGGTTAATTTCAGCTAAACAATACAGAAAAGCCTCTAACTCCGACTCCTGAGGAGGTCAATCACCCTTCTCCTTCTCCGTAGTAAGTAGCGATGGCAATGGGGCGGGTTTGGAGCGGATTTGCCTAAACCACCCACATCCCCATCCCCATATTCAAATATTTTAACCCATACACGCCCCATACCCATGCGGGGAAGATTTGCAACCCGTTGTCATACCAGTGGTTTTCATGTAGCCGTGGGTAATACCAGCCGCGTATCCAACATTATTATACCTAAAATTTTACATGTAAACTTTCAATTATAACACTAAACGAACCGACTATATCATGAAGTCAACAAAGACAATCATTCTTATTACAGTTCAAAGTACCTTACCCTAAAACATCAGTTAATCCATAAGATACAGTGCAACATTTTCCAAATCATCATTCTCTAAATCTTAAGCTTCTACTAAGTAATAAGTAACTCAACTGATCTTCTTCACAAGGGGAAAAAAGTGAAAGAGTGAAGGGAGAATTGAGAGAAAGGAATTATATTTGGTTTTGGTGATCAGTCAATTGCATTTCTACTATTTATTTTCTTGAGTTATCCTCACTATCATTCATATGCTGCAATTTGATCAATGTATTTTTATATGTGAAGGAATGTTGTTGGTGGGGTGGATATGAGAATGAGTATAGGGCGGGAGAGGCTAAAACCATACCTGACCCATACCTATCAAACATTTTGCGGGTTTAGCCCATAGCCACCCCATACCTAGTCAATGCGGGGATTCCCCGCGTTGACTGGGTAGGGAGCGGTTGGGTACCCACGGCCATGAGTTTGATTATCATCCCTAGTATTAAGTATCTAGCTGAAATCCCCACTGCACAACCAAGGGACATTCCACTGATTTGCTAACTAGCATAGACGATCCCGAGTTAGTGTCTTGTCCTTACTCTCTGCCATGCATAGATACCAGAAAACCTCCAATTAAACATAACCGCCATAAGAGAAACATTTCCCTTATATCTTCACCACACATTCAAACCCCCTAATCTTCCTCTACAATTACCAATCATCGGGAAACTTTCACCCTTCTCGAAGCCTAGTTCTGTTCAAGTAACTTCATTCTCCTCAAATGTCTGTTTTAGACCCACCTTCTTTTTATGTTCATTACCTGACCTTCTCTGCTTTCCCTTAAGATTATTTTTCTTTTTATCTCATTTGTTAAAGAATATAATTCTGGAATAAACTATCTCGTCAAGTTATCTAAGGAAATCTGATTAAGAGAACGTTTGGTACCACATAAATTGGGAATTTATTTTATTTTAAAATAAATTACTGTGTATAATTCATTGTCAAATGAATTCCGTTGTTTGATATATCATATTCAAATCTCTAGAAATAAAATGAATGCCCAAATAACATTTGACATACAGTCATTATTCAATTAAATTAAAAGTTTCCAACAACACCTTTATTGATTTTCGGCAAAAACAATATTTATGAAAATTCATCTTCTAAAACACGCAAGTCAGAAAGTTATTATCCAACCATTCTCCATCAAAGTAACTGCAAAAGGAACGCATACATATACATAAGCGAACCTATCATGATGATGTTGCTGGATGTGTAGTTTGGAAATAAAAGGAGAGTTGTTTCTATTGCCAAATAGCAGGTTGCCGCTTAACTCTCTGGATGGAATTTGGAGTCGCGCGAAATGCAGGGTTTAGGAGAACTATATATATTTGGTTAAACTGCCAAAAAGAGGAGGGTTAGGCGCTAAAAATCCGTTTATTTCTGTCAAAGAGTATATGCAGAAGTAATTTAGTTAATAAATGAGGATAATTATATCATTTTGTTATAATTGGTAAAATACTTGTGAAGTTTACTTCGAAATTCCTTCGGAATTGCTATAAATAGTTCCAATTATGTAGAATTCAAAATTTAGACTTGAAAATGAATTTCTTTAAATACCAAACACAAAAAAATTTCATTTAAAAATGAATTCCTCAAAGCCTACGAATTCATTTGTGCCAAAAGGTATGTAAAACGATTATTTGAATAGGAATTGATATCTAGTCATTATAACTATTCTACACCACCATCCTTCGATTAGTCGAGTAATCTCTTATTCATTGTCATTAATATTATGTAAATATTGATATATGGATGACTATTGATCATTACCACATTAAATGCTCACTTGGGAGTTACATGTAACCCATATTCCTACATTTGAAATCTCCTTTATGTTTTTTTTATGAATCGAATTATGTTATATCATAAAAAAGGATTGTTGGCAACAATCCAAGCCAACTAGGAGCTATACAAGTGACACAAAACTACTACAAAACCCCAGGCTAGAGCCAAACAAAAGGAGGAATTAAACTACCAAAACTTCCCCCTAACTTGGTCCACAAGCAGCACACTAGTTTCATTCTTGATCAACCTACAAAGAACGCAACATCCATCCTCTCCCCAACATAAATCCGCCGACATCGCTCGCACCATAGATTGCTCACTAGAGAACTCCAAATGAGCTTTCATGTCTCCTTCAATGAAGATGACCCTGCAAAAGCTTTGACAATCTACTCCATCTCTTGGCGCCAAGTAGAACAGGGAAGGCATGGAAATGCCTTGCCGAGCAGTAACTGAAAAAGACTTCGGTACACATCACAATTCGCAAACACATGATCAATGGACTCTACATCCTGGTCACAAAACACACAGTTCAGAGCAGCCTAATAACCCCAGGCTACCATCTTAGCTCTAGTATTGACTCATCCCTTTGCAATCAACCAAACCAGAAATCTATTCTGAGGTATCCCAAGCCCTTTCCAAACAACATTCACCCAAACAGGTGGAGAGTGCTTTGGCCGAATCGACTTCCACACTTTCTTCATAGAGTAACTGGACATTTCCTCCCCTTGCTAGCGAACCTTGCCATTCCGCAAGGAAAAATGATGCTGGACCTTTAATATGAGCTTAAGAAGCCGCTTCCACCACCAAGACCCCGAGGAAGACGCTTGATACTGCCAAAACGAACGGCTTTTAAGCTTTCTTTATGGTTAATCAAAAATTGTATTTGATGCCCGAGGAGGTGCAACTCGCATCCTCCCTCTCAAAAGTGTACTTGTTCTGCTACAATGTGTAAACTAAACCAGAAAAACAATTATAAAAACCATCATTCTATACTATAATTCTGAGGAGCTTCTGCACCTTCAACTGGAACGTGATCTGGCTGCTGGCAAATATTGAGAATTCCTTCTTAACCTTCTTCACAACTTGAGCTGGAGAAATTGCCACCGTTTCACCATGCACTCTTGCACATCGCTCCTTCCAAAGCGTGCTGATGCCCATGATCCACAAGACTCTCTCTCAACTGCTGGTGCAGCAGTAGAGAGATTCCAAGCTGTCTCTACCCATGTAAGCCGAGCACCCCAATCTACAAAATAATGGAAACACCACACCCCTGCAAAAGCTCCTTCAACACAGCCCTACTAAAAGAGAAACCATTAACCAAATGATCATGAGTCTCTATACCCCTAGGACAAAACACACAACCAACATTACAATTAATTCCCCAGCTTTCCAACCTTTTCTTTGTTCTAACTCTGTCCAATATTACCAACCAGAGAATCACACAGTGCTTGGGGAAAATTGGCTTGGTCCATACAATAGAAAACCATGAAAGAGTTGGGCTAGGGATCCGAATGGAAGCTCATGCCTGCTTGACTGAATATCGAGCAAGAACAACCCCATCCCATGCCAATGACTCCCCTGCTCCTATTATATGTTGTTGCGCCAAGACCCTACGCTTCAGGATCTTCCTCCAAACCCAAGTGCTAACTGTGCTAAGAGGAATGGCCCACATACTCCTTCCTTTCACCCTGTACTTCCTCATCCATGCCACCCAAAGAGACCCTGCTTCAGCTCATAGGTTCCACAAATCCCTGATCACGCACGCCCTATTCCATATCTTAAAGTCCTGAATCCCCAATCCACCCTCCTGCCTTAATAAAGCAACCTTAGACCAAGCTACAAGAGCTTTCTTTCTCTTGCTACCATCAACTCCCCACAAGAATCTATTACAAGCATCCTCCACCAGTTTGAGCACCTTTAAAGGAAGCAGAAAGATAGACATCCAATATTGGAATACACTAGTAATAACTGAATCAATTAATTATAGTTTCCTTGCATAACTCGGAGTTCTAGCTTGCTAAGTCTGGATCCGTTTAGTGATCTTATCAACAAGACAATCACAATAAAGTGAAGTCAGTTTTCCATAGAGGATTGGCACGCCCAAATAACGGGCAAGTAGCTCACCTAGAGGGAACCCAAACTGATCAAATAACACTTGTTTTTCTTCCCGAGAAAGCCCAACATAGAATAATTGGCACTTTTGAGGGTTACATTTACGGCCAAAGATGGAATAAAACTGTGAAAGTAACTGTTGTATCCCAGCCAATGCCATGGGTGATCCATTAGAGAATGCTACCAAATCATTCGCAAAACATAGGTGTGTAATTTCCAAACTCTTACAACGAGGGTGAAATGGGATCTGATTACTCCTAACAACTCTATTCAGAAGACATGAAAACACTTCCATAACAATTGTGAAGAGATAGGGGGATAGTGGATCCCCTTGTCTCAATCCCTTAGTTGCAGGGAAATAGCCACATAATCCTCCGTTGAATGAAATATTAAGCATAAGAGACTGCACACACGACTCAACCAGTTTAAAAAAACGGTCTGGCATACCCATAGCCCTCATAACCTAAAACAGAAACAGCCAATCAACCGAGTCAAAGGCTTTCATTAGATCAATTTTGAGTTCACACCTAGGAGAGATTCTACTCCTATGATAGTCCTTTACTAGCTCTGTGGCCATTAGTATATTATCACTGATTAGACGACCCTTGACAAAAGCAGACTGGCTTCTGCTGATTAGTAATGGTAAAACCAATGACAACCTATTATATAATAGCTTAGAGATGCCCTTATAGATCACGTTGCAACAGGATATAGGCCTACAGTCTTTCATTCGTTCAACAATTTGAAGCTTGGGAATAAGAGAGATAACTGTTGAATTTACCTGTCGAGGCATAACTCCAGTTTTAAAGAACTCCAACACTGTATTCTCTACCTCAGTCCCCACAACCTCCCAATCCAGCTTAAAATTTTTTGCAATGTATCCATCTAGCCTTGGTGCTTTGTCATTACTCATCCCAAAGAAGAACTTTTTTAATTTATGCCCTAGTAACTGGAGTGTTCAGTAAAGCAACATCTTCCTCAGTAAGTTTCATACACAACAGATCCTCAAAAAACACACTAGGGAGGTGCTTAACAGAGATGTCTGCACTTCCCAATAGCCCTTTGTAAAAGTCCACTACAACTACACTCATTTTTTTCACATCAGTGACTACTTCCCCAGTCTCAGTTAGCAACTTCTGAATAGTCAATTTGTGATTCCTAGCCTTAACCATACCATGAAAAAACCCAGTATTAACACCCCCTAGTGATCCACTGGACCCTTGACTTTTGCCTATAAAAGACTGCTCAACACTCTGTAGGTCCCTACATATTTTCTCCTGGTCAAGCAACCTGTGAGTTAACTTCCGAGGGATCAAAAAGTAGAACACTCTGCAAAATCTCTAGCACTGCTTTTGCTTCCCTTGTTTGAACTGACAGATCATAATAGACAGTCTTATTCAGACTTTTGAGTCTTCTTTTAAGCTCTCCTAGTTTTCGATATAATATTCGATAAGGCTCCCCAGCAGCCTCCAGTTGCCACGCCTCTTTCAACAACTCTTCATATTGAGGATATTTCCTCCAAAACAAGAAGAATTAAAAAGGCTTTGCCAATAAAGTTAGTCTAGAGTCAATCTGCACAAACAATCCACAATGATCTGACACTCCAGGAGCAATAGTCTGCACCAGACTATTTGGAAACATATCCAACCACTTCTCAGTAACCAGGGCCCTCTCAATCCTCCTTGCAATTGGATTATTAACCTGCTTGTTCCACCAAGTATACCACGAACCCAATGGTTTATGATCTGTCAGCTTCATATCCCGAATCCATCAACGAAAATCTTCCATACTCTCATTAACACCAGGACGATTTGAGGCTTCACTATCTTCAACAATAGCATTAAGGTCCCCTATCCAAACTCCAGGCTCACTAGCCACTCCCAACCGTCTCAACTCAGCATGTAACTTTGCCCTATCCTGCACTTTATTTGGGCTATAAACTGCAGTAACAAGGCATGATTATGTGCCAGACTGAATACGAACACTAATAAAATGTTCCCCCATACCAACTTCACTAACTGCCAAATGAGATTTCCAGAACAGCCAAACCCGACCAGAAGGAGAATATTTACAATTATCTAGCTTCTTCCGACTACTAAAATGTTTATTCCTTATATCATCAGCATTATGCTTTAATACTCTAGTTTCCAAAATAGCAAAAAAGCTCAACTTGTAACTTCGACACCTTTGGCGCCACTAGATGAGAATCTCAACCGTACTCTTCGAAACTTGGCTCATGAGAGGGAACTGGCAGAGGCAAGAAGGAGGATAGAAGAGGAATTTGTAGTTGGGGAAGGGTTTAATTCCGAAGAGGAAGGAAGTGAAGCCGAAATGGCGACTAATCAACCAGCTCAAGAAGGAGCGCTCCCAGAGGAGAAACCAAGAACCATGGGCTACTACATGGCCCCAAGGGCGGCAGATATCCAACCTGCCATTTGACATTCGCCTGTGGCCGCCAGTCAGGCCCGCCTTTGTCACCATGATCCAAAACAATGCCCTATTTCATGGGCTTAGCAACGAGTCTCCAAGGGAGCTTGTTCAGAAGTTCATTAAACTTGCGGGGAGTTTAAAGATCAATGGTGTCCCCAAAGATGCTTTGAAGTTGAGGCTACTCCCCTACTCTCTTGCGGGGAATGTGTCTCGGTGGCTCAACAATAGGTCGGCTCTCTCGATCACTTTGTGGGATGATATGCTCAACAAGTTTATGACTAGGTATTTCCCATCTTCAAAGATGGCGGAGTGGCGCAAGAAGATCACCCACTTTGAGCAAGAGGAAGATGAGATGTTGAGGGATGCTTGGGAAAGTTACTCCGACTACTTCCTCCAATACCTACACCATGGATTTGAGGAGCAATTCCGGATTGAGACCTTCTATGGTGGTCCCACCAAGACGACAAGGTTCTCATTGACTCCTTATGTCAAGGGAAATTGATGAACATGACTCCATCCCAAGTGATCGAGTTGCTTGAAGACATGAAGAGTAAAGGGTATGATTGGGGTATGACAAGAAGTGGAAATAGAAGCACCACAAAGGGAGTGCAAGTAAAGGAGAGAGTCCCCCGCTTGAAGCTAAGAATGATCGATTGATTGATGCACTCCTAGAGAACAAGAACCATGGGAAGAGGCTGGTAATGGCGTGTGATTGGTGTTCAAGTACCAACCACGATTTTGGATTGTCAAATGATTAAGGAATCAAGCACCCCCCCGAGGAGCAAGTGAGTTTCATTGCCAATGCTAGGGGGAACAATCCCTATAGCAACACTTACAAACTGGGGTGGCAAAATAATCCGAATTTCTCTTGGTCTTCTCCGACAAACCCAAGACCCCCTGTTTCCGAGGGCCAACGAGAAATTATCAACCAAGGCCTACTTTCATTCAATAAAGGCTGCCATTCCAAGGCTCCAACTTCCAACAACCGTTTCAAGCTCAAGGAGGTTAAGGGTTCCAACAACCCGATAAGTTTGCAAAACTTGAAGACCTTGTGACCACCTTCGTGAGACAAGCACTCAAAAGTTTGAGAGAGAAATTTATGGATGTGGCAACAACAAAGTTTACCTCTATTGAAGCAGGTTAAGGAGCCATCAAGCAAGCCTTCAAAACTTGGAGTTGCGAATTGGCAATCTTGCATGGATCCTCACCGAGAGTCCAAGGGAAGCCCTACCCTCTCAAACCATTGTCAACCCAATGTCCATGAAACTGTACCGTACCGGCGGTTCAACCACGAAATACCAGTATTGGAGGCTAAACCAATAGGCGCTATTTATCGGTATAACGGTTGAACTACGGTTATACCACGATTTTACCATAAAATACCCTACGGTTGACTTTCCCGATATGGTCTCTGGTACGGTTTCATGGACCATGTGTCAACCCCAAAGATCAAAATTTTGGTTGCAATGTTATTCTTTTGAGGAGTGGGAAGGTTACCCCAGAGGTTGTTCCTAAGGAAGTGAATGAAGAAGAGAAGAACCCCCCCCCCCCCCACAACGACCAATGGTCACGAAGAAGTGGGAGAAACGAAAGAAGAACCTAAGAATGCATTGCCGATGCCACCACAAGTGGCTGATTGCAAGCCTCCTCTTCCTTTCCCCACAAGGGTGTACAAGGACCGATTGGAGGCGGAATGTGGTGGATTCATGGATATACTCAAGAAGCTCTGCATCACCATTCCATTCTTAGAGGCCATGGTGCACATGCCGAGGTATGCCAAATACCTCAAGGGGCTTCTCGCCAAGAAGACGAAATATGAAGACCTCGCCAATGTCACCTTAGGGGAGGAGTGCTCCACCTGTATCCTCAACAAGTTGCCTAAAAAGCAACCAGATACAGGTAGTTTCACTATACCTCTTTGCATCGGAAATCATCATATAGAAAAATCCTTGGCGGACTTAGGAGCAACCATTAATGTGATGCCTTACAAGTTTTTAGAAAGTTGCATTTGGGTGAATTGAAGTCCACTCACTAGGCTTAGTGTCACATTGGCTGATCGTTCTGTCATTAGTCCTAGGGGTATTGTGGAGGACGTCCTAGTGAGAGTTGGCAATTTCTATTATCCGACGGATTTTGTTATCCTTGATATTGGTGAAGATGTGGATATGCCACTCATACTAGGAAGCCCCTTCCTTTCCACCGCCAAGGCCTCAATCGATGTTAATGAGGGAACTCTTATTTTGGGAGATTGAGATGAGCAACTCACTCTTTCAATTGATCCTATGGTTAAGAATGATGTTGTGAATGAAATGGTCTCGAGTGGTATGAATTTGGAGGTGAGCCTCTCAAGGAAAACCCCACTAGTGTGTGTGTTCCATTTGACGATGAGGTGCAGAAAACCCAGGTGGGTACTAAGCCCGTAGGAAAGAAGAAGAGAGCGTGGAGGGATAGTCTTATCCGAGCCTCCTCCCAACCAAAGATAAGGGTAAGGTGAAGGTGTCAGGCCAAGAAGGCAACCCTATGGAGCTAAATGTAGGAGGTGACAAGCCTTGCCCCGAGACCATGATGGATCCACTCTCAGTGGCTTCATGCCCTCAAGCATAATAGATCCGCAATGTCGAGCTAGTGACGTTAAACTAGCGCTTGTTGGGAGGCAACCCAACGACGGTTCATTTTCTTTTCTTATTTTTCTCTTTTTGTGTGTGAAGAGTTCAAGTTTTAGATTTGGGTATCACCGTGCCAAGTGTCTATGGTTTTGCATTTTTGGATGTGTTGTGATCGAATTAGGGACACAATTGAGTAGATCGAGTCAAATATTTTTGGGAGTGCCCTGTTTTTCACTCAGTTCACGGTTTGTGCTTCTAGTTGATGGTCTTAGTGACCATGAGCTGGTGCCTCCATCCGTAAACTGAGGGCAGTCCCCCTGTTTTCAAAACTCATTGTTTAACCCCAATTCACGGGTTGAGCATTATGTTCACGGTCTTAATGACCGTGAACTGGCTCCTCCTTCCGTGAACTGATGGTTCTACCTATAAAAGGGTTGCTGGCTCATTTCACCATTCTAGATTATTTGAAAAAGGTTTAGGTCGTTACTTTAGCCGTATTGTGTTTTATTTTGTGTGTGTTTACCCACTCTTCGCTTTGGAGGGTGGTTTGTGTGTTTGTTTGTTTGATTTTGTTTTTGTGTTTTTGTCATTGTAAGTTGAATCATGGAACCTAATGGCTTCTACAACATGTGGAGGTATCCACAACCACCCTAATGGGGGTACCCCAAAGCTTCATGGAGTGACCAAGAAGGTGGAAGCCAAGGAGTTGGGCTCTATGATCAACCTCCCTTCCTAGAAGAAGAACCATACCGTTGGGGTTATGAAGAGGCTTCCCCATATAAAAAAGATTTCCCTCCACAACTCGAGGAGAATCCAAGTTGGAGTTGGCAATGGAAACTTTCATGGGACAATCCACAAGACCATTTTCCACTCCATCACTAGAGCCAAAGAGCCAATTGGAGCTCATGATGGACCGGTTTGCTCAAGGCACCGCTGAAGGGTGCTCAAACTTGGATCTCCCCCAACCCGAAGTGAAGTCTAAGTTGGAGCATGCCATGGAGAAATTTGAAAGAACAAGCTCCAACATGGATTTCCAACCCCTCCCTCCTTCCGGTTTGACACTAGAAGAGAAGATGGCACGACCTTGTGCAAGCTATCGACTCTCATCATTGGAGATGAAAGAGGAGATTAAAGGAGCTATCAATTAAAACCACGTGGAGCAAGACGAACTCACCCCGAAGAGCTCCCGTGGTGAGGATGAACAAGAATGTTGCATTGACGACTCTCATGTCTTTCCCCTTCCCGTGAACAACTTTGAAGACCAAGTCACGAGGGTGGAGGAGCAAGAGAATCCTTTCTATGATCTTGCATGGCATCTTGCCCTCCAAACCGTACTTGAAGACATGAATGGGAATGAGAAAGAAGAGGGTGAAGTGAGCGTCGAAGAGGAGGAAGAGAGCATTGAAGAAAATGAAGCTCTTGATTGTTCCCAGGGGTGGAATGAATCAAAGAAGAAGGAAGGGAGATTGAGAGTGAAGTAGAAGGAGCAAGTGGCGTTCGAGTAATGGACAAGTCGTGGTGGATGAAGCATCCATGAGTTACAATAGCTATCAAAGCTTTCCACTGGACCTTGATGCGCTACTCGAGAAGGCCCATTTGCGGCTCTTTGCCAAGCCAAGGCTAAACCATAGGGATCACTCTTGGTGGATGCGATGGAAGTCAATCGAGGTGGCATTATATGGTGTGGGGAAAAGAGAAGAAGGAAAGAAGGAGAGGTCTCGTGGGTGGAGCCTCATGCTAACTCAAGTTCACGAGCCCTCAAGCACTGACTCGTCCAATGCTCGTGACTTGAGACATCAACTCACCAACGCGAACCGCAACTTTAAGGAGGTTCTTGGGTGGACTGAAACTTGAGAAGCAACCGCCCGGCTCACAACGTTAAAGAAGCGCTTGGTGGGAGACAACCCAACCATCAACGATTTGCATCTCTTTTCCCTTCAATAAGACGACCATTGGAGAGATTTTGGTGGTGTTTTGCCATCTCCTTACTTCCGGATCTCACCCGCCCTCCGCTCCCGATCACCAACAGTCACAACTTGACCGGTAAAATCATTCTACCTCCTTCTTTTACGCCATTGAGGGAAATGTCAAGCTTAAGTGTGTGTGTGTGTGTGTGTGGGGGGGGGGGGGGGGGTAGTCTATTATGCTTGTGTGTGAATGATTAGTGTGATTTTCAGTGCTTAGAGCTTAGTTGTATGCTCAAAATTTCAAAATTTGAGGCCTCCAATCATAGCAACTTCTACATTGCATGATTGTAGTGGTAATTGTGTTGTTTTGTTTTGAAGCTCTTGGTTATTAACATTTTCTATGGATGATTTGCTTGTGAAGGTGTGCAATCTATTATGATGACTGAGACATGTATTAGGTTTGTGCATAGTTTCAGTTCTCATGTGTTTGTGAACCGGTAGATGTTTTTTAATCGATTACTTGCTTTTCACAGTTGCATATGCATCGAGTTTAGGGAGTTAGAATGAATGATTGAGCACCTAGGTAGCCATGTGAGACTTGTGTCGTTCGTTTTATTCTTGTGCGATAGATCCCTCTTTACGTGATGCGTAGCATTCACGTTGTTGCTAGCGAGGAAGATGGAGGCATAGGTTTAGTCCATGACCCAAAATTTCACTTGTTCCGATTGCATTATCCCCTAGTCAACCCTTTTGAGCCATGTGTCTAAGGTTCGTTCTCGTGTTGGGTAGATTCTGCTACTTGAGCATGATTGATTTAGATAGAATGACCCTTTGTTTTCTTCATGTCTACACCGTTATCGAGTCACCCTTGTGTTTGGAAGCTCCATTCATACCATTTGAGCTTAAATGAGGTTACACATGAGTGATTTGTGTATGGTTTTTATAGGAATGAAAAAAGTGAGTGTTAGAGGTAGTTTTTCAAAGCGAGCATTGTTCTTTAAATTCAAAATTGTGGTATGTGTATATAGCAGAATATCAAACCATGAACGAAAAAAGGCATGAGAGAAAAACATATTGGCTAGTGATTGCGAAGCCCCAATTCTTAATTGGAGGGGCCACCAAAGGCCTCCGCCCTTCCGTCCCTTGGATCGATAGAGAGGGAGGGCAGAGCTTTTGGTTTTTTCATGTTGTCAAAGAATTGAACAATAAAAATAGATGGCGAGTACCTGATCAAATTGATTGGGTCATTTAAGAACAAGGTTCAAGTCTACCGGTCTGTTAGGATGCCCCAGCTTCATGCATCAATGCACTTCCACTTGACACCTATCGTAATGATAAACGACTCGTCTTGTCATGACCTTCTCTTGAATTCTCAAAACTTATGTCGCTCCATCCCCGCAGGGACAGAGAACCCGTTTCTGTCTCGGTTGTGCTACCGGGGGCTCTGGGGAAGTCGGAATAGGAGAAAAGCGAGTGGCCACCAAAAATATAATAAATGTTGGACATGCTCTTAGAAGTGTTTCTTGGCATTTAAGCTATAGAAACACTTACATGTTGTTGACCTCTACACTCCTGTGCTTGAATTGAATAGCAAATGTAGAAAGACAGAATGCGTGACATGGTTTGGTGATTGGTTGTGGTTTGGAATGGAGGGAAGTGTGGTTTTTGGCCAATGCTAGTGGCCATTGCGTGTAGAAGAAGGTTCTAGTATAAACCATAGAACCTTGTTTTGGTTTTAGGTTGAAGATTTGGAACCTCATGTTATGTTTGCCACCATCCAACAAAAATCCTTTTCCCCATGTCCTAGACCCTAGCCAGTCATTTGAACCCGTGTCTAAGACCTCCAGACAAGCTAGCAACGACACCCATCTTGTGAGCTCTAGCATTTAGAGGCTACCGTCATGGTAAAGGGACGTTAGGATTGAGTGTGAATATGCACTTCTTTTGAATCAAATGGTCTTGACCCCACTGGTCGAGTGTGAGTGATTCGTTCTTCATACTTTTATTCGTATCTTGTACCCGGGTGAGGACCCAGGTTGCTCGATCGTTCGTTACTATGATGTGATCTTCATGCATGAGTGACTGTGATTGGTGAGTCGTCGAGTCATGTTGTGTGTTGGTTCGTGAATAATGTGAGAACTCTTCTTTTGCAAAATCTTAATACAGTTGAATGTTGTTTGTGGTGGTTGCCAAGATTACCTTGTTTTTATCCATAAGTTGGTGCCTAAATAACCATTGTGAATCATTCATTTTGTGCCCTACGACATGCCCCAAAATAAAATTTTGTTGAAAAAGAAGTTGTAAGCTTACCTTGTTTTATACTTGGTTTGCTTGGGGACAAGCAAAGGTTCAAGTGTGGGGGTGTGATTCGGGCCCAATTGTACACATTTTACCCCTAATTTCTTGTTCATTTTGCTTAGTAGATCACCGTACCTCGACCTATTTTACGCTAGGTTGTGCTTGTTTTGGTACATTTTTAGATCCTAGCACGTGTGGAGGTCCAGGACGAGTTTCGGGTCATTCGAAAGTCAAAATGAGCAAAAAGTGAAGGTTGAACACTATACAGGGACTGGAGCTTCTGTTCACGGTCTCTAAGACAGTGAATTGAAGCCCCGGAAGTGACCAATTTCCGACATGGTTTGCGGTTTCACTGGACTCAAGTTGGTTCACTGTCTCTAAGACCGTGAACTGAAGCCCCATACCATGAACTCGGCCCTGTCAGGAAAATATAAAGACAGCAGCGGGAGAGAGAAAGAGGAGCTAGTTTATGGAGAGGAATTAGTTTCTTTTTCTAGGGTTTCGAACCAAAACACCAAGGGGTCGTTTGGATTAGTGAATGTGATGAGGGATTTATGAGTGATTTTAAAACAATCTCTCGTTGTGCAGGATTTTAAAACAATTCTGCGTTTGGAAAGGTGAGAGATTGTGGGCATGAGGAAATTCTAAATCTCTCATATGAGAGTTTTTAAAATAGCTGATGGGGATCAGCTATTTCACAATCACTCATTTTTTCTCATTCTTTTCCAAACTCTGCCCCTCCTTTTGTTCTTCCTTTCTTATTCTTCCTTAGGGATTAGGGATGGGTATAATTGTAACTTTAATTTTTAATTAAAATCCTTCATCTATTCCCAAACATGTTATTTGGATCAAATCCCACGTTTAAAATACCTGGGTTTTTAATTGAGAGATTTTAATCCAAATCCCTCATTTACACATTCCCTAATCCAAACGACCCCCAAAGGGGAGTTCTAAAGAGAGAGTGATAGTTTGTTATTAAGTGATCTTGGAGCTTAATTGAAGGCATGGATCGAGCTTGGAAGCAAGGAATCAAGCCTAGAAGAAGAAGAAGATTTTGGGCTCCAATTTGTAATTTCTCTCTTCTCTCTCTAGAAACTCACACTCTTCTCTTAGGTTTAAGAACCCTAGGTCTAGATTTTGTTTCATTATTGATGTATGTGACAAATTCCATGTTTGATTGATGATTTTACTTAATTGATGGAAGGTTTCATGAATGGCATGAGTTTGGTTTCCATTTTCATGCATTAAGCTTTTGACCTAGGAGGGAGAAAATCCTCTTAAACCCCATTCTTGGCATCTTTGGGTCACTCCTCACCCTATATCGTCCGGGTAATCTCCAAAGGAGTCGATTCCATCAATCTCCTACGATATAGGGTTTCCCTAGGTTGAATAGAGCATACCCCATTCATCGATTCGCCGTTCAGGATCATTCCCTAGGGAGTCCATCTCCTAACGGTAGAGTATTCGAGTTGATTGAGCTAGAAGGATACTCAACAATGATATGAAGGACGGAAATAGGGGAATTTAACCCAAGAGAGCTCCCAAACTTGTAAATGGCTAGGCTAGTGGTTAGCTAGGTTAGTTAATTTAATTCTCTTAATCACTTCCTAGGTTGGCTAGATAACGAACCCTAAACTTGAAGTACGGTAAGCCTAGATCCCTGTGGTACGATAGATCATTATTGCTTGCTTGCCCTGTGCTACACCCGGTCGGCGGTTATACTTGGTCGTCGATCGGGATGTTGTAGTTAGAACGAGTCACCACTCAATTAAAAGACCAGGAAAACCCATCGAAGATAGAACACACAAAATAAATCCCCAATCAACTGAATCAAAAGCCTTCATCATGTCAATCTTCAGTGTGCTATGGGAAGAAATATTCTTAAGAGAGTACTTCGAAACCAATTCATGCACCATCAAAATATTATTCCCAATGACCCTCCCTTTCACAAATGCAGATTGATTGTGGCTAATAAGACTAGGAATGGTAAAACTTAGCCGATTTGCAATAATCTTAGAAACATACTTGTAAACAATGTTGCAATAAGAAAGTGACAGAAATCCTTCATGAGCACAAGATTAATATTTTTAGGAACGAGAGTTAAAGCAGTAGCATTTACCTCCCTTGGTACCCTGCACTCCGCAAAACAATATCGTACCGCAGAGACCAGATCTGCTCCTATAGTAGACCAAGCATTTTAATAGAAACAGTCAGACAAACCATCCGGGCCAGGGTCTTTCTCCCCCTTCAAACCAAATATCACCCTTCTAACCTCTTCACCCATGATAGGAGCACATAGATCAGCAGCCAATTCACTATAAAGTTTCCTTTTCAACAATTTCTCATAGAAATCCACCACCTCCCCCACACTGATAGATCAGCTTCATCCAATAATTTCTTGTAGAAAGACACACCCACTTCACACATACCCTTCAAATCAGTACTTTTTCCCCTCATCATGCACTAGAGAACTAATCGTTTTACGCTTAGTGCGGGCTCGGACTGAGCGATGAAAATAACCAGAGTTTGAATCACCCCCATGCAACCAAATCTCCACTGATTTCTGCCTGAGAAAAGACTCATCAGCGCGTCACAATTCATTGACCTCTCTTAAACACCTTCTCAGGAAGGAAAGTATCAGAAGATGGATTTTCCAAAGCCTCCCTCTGCACCAGCCCCAACCTACCTTCTGCTTCTCTTACTCTCTCCCATAATTTTGAGTACTCTTCTGATAACACTGTATTTGAACATATTTTTTCCCATTATTTCTTGATCGTTTGAGCTTTCTTTCTCTCTCTCGTGGCCTATTTTACGCTAGGTTGTGTTGGTTTATGATATTTCAGGTCCTAATACGTGAATGGGTGTGAAGGAGCGAGTTTTGGGACGTTTTGGAGAGAACAAGCAGAGCCTATAAATTTGGAGGAGCGAAGGATAGAGATCCAGAAACACTTTTAAAGTTACGGCCAGACCTTCGAGGTTACGGTCTGGACCGTAACTTCCCCTCAGCACCCGTAACTCTGGGAAGCTATGCCAAAGGTTCGAGGAGCATTTTTGGAGTTACGGCTTGCCCCTCAAAGTTACGGTCTCAACCATAACATCTCTAAAGGATTCGCAACTCTTGGTTTACGGAGCGTAGAGACGACAACATTTTTTTGGATAAGTTATGGGCTAGGAGAGAGAGTTACGGCTGTAACTTTGACCATAACTCGCGAATCTCCAACATATAAAAGGGGCAGCTCATGCAAATTGCAAAGGATTCGGATTTTTGAGTTCTAAAGAGCAAAAAGAGAACCCAAAAGAGAAAGTAACGAAGAACAACCCTTGGGCAAGGATTGGAGAAATATGAAAACCTCAAAGCTCGATTCCTCACTCTCGGAGTACCAATTAGCCGCTTGGAGCAGATTTTCATAGTCCGCATGATTATTTCTCCTCCTAGTTTGATGTTTCCCCTTCTATGATAGAGTAAACTCCCTTTTCATCTGGGTATGAAGAAAATCCCTTTTCATCTGGGTATGAAGAACACTAATTTTGTATGTTAGGAATGGTTGTATGAACCCCGTTTGTGAATGATTGATTCGATATATTCAATTGAGGCACTAATCAGAATTGCATGAGTTTTGATCAAACTTTTGTGATTCCTGCTTTAACCTAGACCGATAGTCTCAACATAGATTAATAGAGCAACCTTAAATTGGAATTGTAAATTGATTGCTTTAGTCGAGAAATCGATTCACTACTCTATACTGGAATTAAAGTCAGTAGAGGAAGTTTGGTGTGTTATTACCTTGGTTAGTTTATGTCGGTATAGGTTAGTCGCCCGCTGGGTATTAGAACTGAGAGGGTCTGGACTATTTTAGTCGAGATTCCAAACTTGTCAAGAAATTTTCGCAGTATATCTATCAATCGGAGTAAATTGGGAACATATAATCTTAACTAGCTACATACTAGGGGGAATCATACCTAGATGACCTTTAGCATACTTGAAAACCCAGAACATTTTCTGCTTTCTGTTTAATTTGCATGAGAACAACTCACTACACTTTAGTTGCTAGATAAAAGAAGTCTACGGAGCAAGCAGTAGATCTAGACCCTGGGTTGATAAGTAAAAGTTAACCACTATTCTGCATTTTCATTCTTCGATTACACTTGGTCGTAGTTTGGTGTTGTGTTTTAGCGAGTCACCCCTTCAGTTTGCAATCTGCGCCTAGCTCAAAGGTGTAAAAGAAAGATTGTTTCATGAGAGGGAGGCAACCCATGTACGGGTGGGGTTTTGGACACTTTTGGTAGTATGAGTTCATATGTTTTGTATCTTTACTAAGTCAATAAATATTCATAACTTGGGTCTATTGTATGCGTGTAGTTGTGCTTAATTTTGGTATTTTTTACAATGTTGCACACTCCCCTATGCATATCCACGCTCAATTTACTTTGAATTGCTAGTCTCTACGTTAATACCTGATCTAGGAAGGCTAGTGTAGTGGCTATGAAAGATGTCCTCATAAGACTAAAGACCACTCGATATGTTTGGATACGGTGATTCTCTCTATTCTCTGTGAGTTTTTCTACTCTTCCAATGAGTCTCCTACTCTTTAAAGTTATTGGGGTCGAACTGTATCCTTATATATATTCGAAAAACCTACCTGATAAAGTGATATAAAAGAAGTTTCATTTACAAATAAAGTGCGGACTGCACAGACGGAATAGGAACGGTTCAACTATGCATCATTTGCGACCATACGATGTTGCTTATCTAGTACAATCCCTCGCCTAGTGAAGTTTTGTTTGAGAATTATGCTTGGAGGGTACAGATAAAACTTCTGACACCCCCTCTATAACATTGCCTTTCAACAACGATCGAGGCAGGAAAGGGAGTTAAACGAAACCTTGTGCAAGTGCTAAGGTGAACATAGCAAAACTCTAGCTACAAAATTTTCTCATTCAAAATTTTCGTTTGGATTACATCCCCGAATCGTTACAAACAATAAGAAGTCCAAAATATAAAAAAGAAAAAAAAACAATATAAGCCTCTTATCATTTAAACTCTCAATTGGTTGGATGATTCAACATTACATTGGAGAGTTACAAAATTGTCCTACTTTGCTACTAGATATACGGTATATGTATGCCCCTTCTTGCTACAGAAACCGGCCTAATACCAAACAAGAAACCAAGCATACGTACGTACGTATGTATGTATAATAACATGGTGGTATCGTGTTCTCTTCTCTAATTAATAAACTAATAATTAGTTAAAGCTATTGGTAATTGGTACCAAGATCATAGAGTGGGTAACAAACACCTTCGTTACCGGTTTCTACAAGAAATGCGAAGTACTTGGACGTGATATCATAGTTGTCGTTTATCTCGATTGCTTCTTGATACTTCTCCTCCGCACCCTCCAAGTCTTTCTTTAACTGCAGAAACTCGGCATACAAAATTCTCACCTCCGCATCCCTTGGCTCCACCACTACTGCCTGCTCGTAAATTTCCTCCACCCTATCACAAAGTTGAGGATTAGGGTTTAAGAAGAGAGCAGAGTTGAGAATACGAAGAAAACATCGCGTGCTCTCACCAAAGCCCAAATGGCCAACCAAGTTCTCACACCTCAAACACTCGGCCACCTTTGACACCATTCTCGCCTCCGTAACCTCATCATCGTCGTCGATATCATCAAAGTTCAACAACCTTCGCTCCGACGCCGCCATGATCCTCGTCAACATTTCACCCCAAAGCTCCTTCTCTTCCAAACTCGCCGCCATCATCATCCTTTCTTCCTCATAGTACGAAACCAAACCGCTACTCGTAACCCTCGGCAGCGCCGCAACCATCTCCGTCGTCCCGGCCATGGAATAAGCCGTGAAATTCGCAAGCAGCAGCATCACCGACACCATGAGGGTCGGCGTCGTGGCGAAAACGCTCTCAAACAGCCAAACGAACGTGTCGTTCATCTCCACTTGCACCCTCTCGATCACCTTCCTCAGATCCTCGCTGTACAAACACTCCCTTATTCTCAGCACGTAGCTCAGCAGCTCGCGGATCATGAACACCGTCAGAGAGAACACTTTCCTTACCGAACAGTAAGAGTAATCACCCGCAACTTGCCAATAATAACACTTCTCCTCCTCCTTCGTGTCCTTGGACGACATTAGTTTCCCTCTTCTCATGCGATCGACTTGGGCGGCAAACTCCATGCTCCTCCTCGTCTCCTCGTCCACGGGCCAGTACTCTGGAGGCGGATCGGGCTTCATCCCGAAGAAGCTCGGCCCGAAAAGCTCCAGCTTTGATGATATCCAACACGACATGGAGCTATAGTAACCGTCGTTGTTGCTCCCGTCGCTATTGATCATGTTCCTCACCGTCGCGAACTCTTGATCACATTCGTCGTTGTCGTTATAGTTGTAGTTGTAGTCGTAGCATTCTTCCTCGTGGTGATGCAAGTGTCGGTGAGAAATATTCGTCAGGAGCTCGGAGTATTCCTCATTGAAATAATCACGATAGTTGAAGGCTCGGTTGGTGCTGCGGCGAGTGCTCACGAGAAGAGAGCTATGTCTGGTTTCGGGGACGATGCTAGGAGGCCTTAGAGTTGATAGAAAGGATCTCGAATAATGAGGGGGAGATTTGTGAGGAAAGTTGGAGACGTGGTAATGGAAGTTTTGAAGGCTTGTTATTGCAGCCATATTCTTTCTCCCCCGCCAACAATAATATATGAGAATACGTACAAATGAGTTGGTTAGATGTTGGAATCAATAGATTTTTTTTGGTGTGTTGTTTTTTACATTTTCTAGAATGGAATGAGATGTGAAAAGGAGAGCAAAATCCTTCTTCGTGGTGTGGGGTTGAAGAAGGACAAGCATTGAGTGATGGAAAGGAAGTTTATTATACACAAGGCGAAGAAATTATGGTAAGAGTAACAAGAAATGCATTTGGAAATGGAAGATCAAGAGGGGGAAACTTCTCTGGTTGAATTGTGATGGTTGAAGCAACATTCAGAAGGAAGGGGAAAAAAGAAGAAGAAGAAGACCCAAATAGAGGTCGTCCCTCTCCCTCTCCTGCTCTCTTTCCTGATTCAGTTGTCTCCAAATATAGCACAAGTATTTTTTTTCTTTCTTCTTTTATATATAAGGCGACAATTTGTGTAGCAAAGCTTCTTCTGGGTGCATGCCACGTGTAACTCACTTTTTTTTCCCTTCTTTCTCCCTGAAACTGAAACTTCTCCGGTTGGAAGTTATGACTTGAGAGTGAATTATTTATTGTTGTTGTAGTGTGATATTTATGCATGGAAGCTAAAAGGGGAGTGGAGCTAATTTTGTGTCGAGTCAAGTGCCGATCGATTGCGATTCCATTTTTTTCGCAGTGGAAATGCGAAATTTTTTGTCAATGAAATTGTCCTCAAATCAGGAAGCCTAACAAGGCAAATGCTTGTTCAACTAAAAAATTGACAAGGTTTTGAAATGTGGCATGTGTCTTGCATACATGACAACACTGAAAGTAATTAAGACCAATATAATTATTGTATTGGTGCTCCATATTTCTATAATTATTATATTCAAGAGATAAATTATGTGAATTATTAAAATGTAACTTATATATGTAAAGACCTTAGCCTTTACAACAACAATAATTATTTCTTTAAATGATAGTAAGACCTTTTAATTTTTTTACTGGTCACTAGTTGCACGTCGCAGCCGTACATCTATCTATCTTTAATATATATTATGGGGATCGGTTAGCATGCTAACCCTTCTAGGGGTTGGAAAAATGATATCCCTATTAATTAAAGTTATTTTTGTATTAAATTCGTGTTGCATTTAATAATTTTTGGAATTTAAAAACTCATCTTAGGGTTGGTTTGGTTTGGTGATAGTTAAATTGATGCATTGTTGTTTTAGTATATTTAATAAGAAACCGAAAAAAATTGTTGAATCCAAATATGAACATTTAGATATGATTTTGATAGTTGGATTTAAGTATAAACGACTGAAGTTGACATAAGATGTTGCATTTAAATACAATAATTTGTCATTTTGTTTGTAATGTGATATTTTAGTTAATTATAGATATATTCATATTATTATGTGATTATTTTAAAATAAATTATGTATATGCACAATTAATTTTTCCCCTAGCTTTCACGTATATTTTTTGAAACTATGTTTTTACTTTTTTCCGATTTTTATATCAAACGGTAGAAAAATAGAAATTTAACATCATTAGAGAAAAATAACAAACAACAAAACAGAAGAGGAAAAACAAACAAACAAATCGCCAATCGAGCGGGCACGACACTAGTATAAAAGAAAAATCAATGGCAGTCAGAACAAAGCGGGAATGGGAATATTAGTGATGACCCGTCCTACCCTGCTCACTAGGGGTGGGCAACGGGTAACGGGTATTTGGGTATACCCGTACCCGTCCCGTTTTTTTAGGGTTACGGGTACCCATAATACCCGTAATATTATTAACGAATGGGACTTGGGATTGTACATTACTACAATGGGTACCCGCGGGTTACCCGCAAATACCCGTTTGGGTAATATGAGTACCCGTTAAACCCGTTCAGTGTACAAATGATGAAATTGAAAGGCACAAAGCTCGTTTCTCAATTATCTTCCTTCAGGTCAGGCCCAGCCCAGCATGAACCCTTTCGATGGCCTTTCCCAGTTTTCCTAATTCCCTTGTCAACAGATCATAGGCGAGTGAGACTCCTCTCCTCGATCGTCTTCGACAGGAAGGCGAACCGCGTCGCCAGCGCCCAACAGCTCGCCCTGACTCCTCTGACCTCTCCTCAGACTATAGTCTCTTCGATTGTCGCCGCAATCAGAATCTATGTACCCTAGCCGTCGATCCACCCAGTCGCGGCAATCAGAATTCTCATCTCGGGACTCGGCTCAACTCTCCAATTGTAGCGGCACTCTGATCATTCCACCTAGCCGTCAGCAGCAATCTGGGTTCAATCGCCGCAGATGAGTTGCTCGTTTATTTGCTGTTGAATTGATTTATTCTAGTTGAACAAGGTTTATATTTATAATACATGTTGAAATACGGGGTAGCTGTTTATTTTTAATTCCAGGAAGAACAGAGTTGAAAGATAATGGATTTGTTGTTTTGCTTGTTATTACATAGATGTTTTGCAGGTCGTAGAATGCAGCGGATAATGCTTGTTAGTTGTTATGGTTTTGGTGTTTTGCTTCCCCCTTTAATTTGTTGATAATGAACTCTATTTTTGCAGGTTACAGCTGCCAGGGGGTCAGCGAAATTGGAATTCAAGAATTGGCAGATTGCAGAACACTCAGCAGCTTCCTAGTGGGAACAAACTGCAACGTGCCAGTTGGAACTAACAGCAACAGTTTCTTACTTTCTTAGTTGTTAATGTTATGGGTGCTTGGAATGCTTTATTCTATGCCTTGTGATTTTTCATGAATTTGTATTAAGAAGGTACAAGTTAAGTTTAAATTTTTAGTAATCCAAACTTTGGGTATTTATTTATGGGTAGTATGGGTACTCGTTATCCATCCCGTACGGGTAATGAATACTCGTTTACTCATATGGGTTTGGGACATGGGATGGACTTTGATCTCCAAACGGGATTGGGTACCCGTTTCAAACGGGACAGGTATCCCATCCCGTTGCCCACCCCTACGTGCTCACTTACCTCCTCCATAGATCAAGATCATCCATTCCTGATTCATCTCGTCTTCAATTCAGCAATCACCACTCACCATTAATTGGCATCATTACACACGCGAAGGAAAGGAAAGAAAGGGGGAATCGTGATCAAAATCGATCTTGAGAAAGCGTATGACAGGCTGAGGTGGGAGTTCATCAGGGACACCTTGATTGAAATTGGCCTTCCTAGTACCTGGATTAGTAGAATCATGATGTGTGTGGAAGGGAACATGATGAAAATCAATTGGAATGGCACGTTGACTGATTGGATTCTTCCTTCCAGGGGTGTGAGGCAGGGAGATCCAATGTCACCTTACCTGTTTGTGCTTTGTATGGAAAGGCTCTCCCACAGGATCAATGTTGCTGTGGAGAATAATCAATGGAAACCCCTTTCCCTTACATCCCTTGGTTTTAAGCTTTCTCGCCTATTTTTTGCAGACGATTTGATTTTGTTTTCAGAATCAGGAACAAATCATATGGAGGTCATCAAGAGGTGCTTAGAGGATTTTTGTGAAAGTTCTGGGCAGAAGGTCAATCTGAACAAGTCCATGATGTTTGTTTCACCAAACATTAGTAGGCAAAAGGCTCAGTAGCTCAATAATCAAGCTGATATCCCTCTTACTAATGACATGGGAAGATATCTGGGCCTGAATGCCATTCATGGAAGAGTTTCTAAAGCTAGATACAAGGAGTTAGTTCTGTGTATTCAGAAAAAACTTGCTTCCTGGAAGACTAACTACTTGTCTCTTGCTTCTCGTCTAACCCTGGTGAGATCTATTGCATCTTCTATGGCTGTCTATACTATGTTTTCAGAATCTCTTCCATCCTCGGTTTGCAATTCTTTGGACAGGGTCAATAGACAATTTATCTGGGAGAAGAGGAGGGAAAGAGCAAATTCCACCCCATCCCGTGGGAGCAGATCACGCTTCCAAAGGATAAGGGAGGAGCTGGAATTCGTACAACCAGACTTGCCAATCAGGCTATGCTAGCTAAGGGCAGCTGGAAATTGGTAACCATGGATAATTGTTTGTGGACTAATCTGTTCCTGAACAAGTATGGAGGAAGTAGAGAGGGTCTCAACATCCTTCAAAAGAAATAGGGAAGCTCTCTCGCCTGGCGAAACTTTTTTTCTTCTGCTAATGTGCTGAGGCAGGGTTTCTCTCTAAATATAAAGAATGGTAGGCGGGCTAATTTTTGGTGTGACTCTTGGGTTACGCGGGTACCTCTAAAGAACCTGGGTATAATTGACGTACCAGAGGAGCAATTAGGGAAGACGGTTGCTGACCTGTGGGAGCCGGATCAAGGGTGGAAGATTGATGAATTTCAACACCTGCTTTCAGAGCATATCATCAACAAGATCAGAGCGACAATAATTGACCCGTTGGATGCTGAAGGTGATCAAGTGTTCTGGAGCCTTAGCACCAACGGACACTTCTCTGCCAACTCTGCTTACAAAGAAATCCAACAACTCCCTGAACAACAACCTAGCCCAATCTAGAAACGAATTTGGAAGCTGCAAGTCCCTGTGAGAGTCAGGGTCTTCATGTGGATGGCTGCCAAGCAAAAGTTGACCACGAACAGCATCAGGAAGGTTCGACACTTAACGCAGGATGACTCTTGTCCTGAATGTAGCAATGTCATCGAAACGAACCTCCACTGTCTGAGAGATTTCAGAAGGGCTAAATCAGTTTGGAATAGAATTTTGGAGCAACAACGAAAATACAATTTCTCCAATACCAGCTGTGATGAATGGCTCAAAGCAAACATCATGGATTATTCTACTGGTAATTGGCCAGGTCAGTGAAACAGCTTCTTCAGCCTAATTCTTTAGTACATTTGGAAGTGCAAGAATGAAGGTATTTTCAAGGGGATTAAGCTTACTACCGCCACGTTATATCATTATGTTCTAGCTAAGGCTTCTGAGTGGGTAAGAACCTGGGAAGTAGCTCAAAAGGCCAGCAATTTGAGCAAGAAGCAGATAACGATGGTGAAGCTTATTGGGTGGCATAAACCGCCGACAGGATGACATAAATTAAACACGGATGGCGCAACTCAAAGTAATCCAGGGATGGTCACAGCAGGAGGAGTGCTTCGTGATCATGATGGATATTGGATAGGTGGCTTTTGCAGCAAACTCGGCTCTGGTACAACCCTCCTTGAAGAGCTCTGGAGAATTTTACAAGGGCTGGAATTAGCTTGGAGAAAGGGATCTCGATTCCTTGTTCTCAAAACAGACTCTAAGCTGGCACTTCAACTCATTGAGAAGAGGAATGGCAGAGTTCACCCCTAAGCAACGATCTTGGGATCTATTAGACGTCTGTTGGCTAAAGAGTGGGTTGTTCGATTAGTTCATACGTATCGTGAAGGGAATAGATTCCCGGACTGGCTCTCGAAGCATAGTCTCGTCTATCCCTTCGGTACGCATGAACTCGTTGATCCCCCTTTGGAAGTGGATCGAATTTTCCGAGAGGATCTAGTTGGGTTCAGCTTCCCCAGGCAAGTTGTTCGTGAAGGAGGCCCTTAATGGATGGTTCTGCTCTATTGCTCCCCTATTCTGGTGTGATTTTCTCTATGGATGTTCTTTTTGTTTTTGGTTCCTTTTCTAGTCATTAGGAATCTGTAATTCTGGCATCTTTGCCTCCCTTTAATATAAAAAAAAATTACACACGCGAAGGAAACTTTTCACCAAAATCCAATCTTAACCCTTATCGATTCATCTTTAATTCTAGATTCTTAATTTCCCATTCACCTTTGTGTTTTCCTCTAATCCTCCTTGGCTCTTCCATTAGCTTGTCCATAAATTAGACATTAAATATAAGATGCCAATTCTCCTCGACTCCTTTATTAGCTTTCCATTCTCCTTACTCCAATCCTCCTCGGCTTAGCTTCATTCCTCTGCGACACATTCCCCACTTCCCTTCCGAGTTCCCTATATCATATTTCATAGTAGATTCCGCATCTCATCTCCATCACACAAATGTTAAGTCGTCTAATCTCGTGCGCCCGTACAGAGCATTAATGAAATATTATCTCATTCACCAAATATAAGATAGGAACAAGGAAGTCGGAGAATGATATACTCCATATCCAAGCAGCCAAAAACCTTCTGAGCATTCCCTCCCATGATCATCTCTAGTCTCTATCTCTTATCCCTTTCCTTTTCAGCTGGCCAACTCGAACTGCCTCGGGCTCAAAATCATTGTAGCGACCACTAACCCTCAAAACAAATCATCAACTCATTCAAACAGGGTTAAACAACATTTTTTATTATTAAGATGCTGTGGTGATATTATTCTATTATTTGAGATTAAAAAAAGCTCCAACAAGAACATAAATTATTTGGATAATAAGAGAATGGAATGGTGATTAAATAAGAGGGCCCTAGTTCGGGTGGCAGTCGGTCGGTTTCAGTTTTCGATTTTCGGTTAAACCGAACCTTCCCATATGTCTGCCGACCACCGACCGTGAGGGAAGTCACGGTTAGCCGACAATCAACCAACCGGTTTTTGGTTTTGGTTCGGTTATAACCGCAATAACTGAATTTATTAAAAAATACAAAATAAAGGAAGGGAAGAAAAAAACCCAATACCCACCCCACCCACGTTACTTCTCTACTCTCTTGTTAGATAAGATTAAAAAATTAAAAGAAAAAAATCGCAGGCCACACTTTCCTTATCTTCATCTTCTTCTCTCCTCTCTCTTTTCCGCAGGAACAAAGAAAAAAAAACAAAACTTATTCTCTCCTCTCTCTGCCTATAGACTGCTACCCTCCAATTCCAAACGGACCAAACCTCTTCTTCTTCTCTCCTCTCTTTACCTATGTGAATGAGAAGGAGCGGCAGTGGCGGCGCTCGGCGGGAAGAGCAAGGCCGGAGGCTGCTCGGAGATGGACGACGGATACGGAGGCGACGATTGTGGTGGCTGGTGGAAGAGTGGAGGCAATGAAGGCGGAGATGATGGAAGCCGACGCGGGATGAGCGCGCCGGCGGAGGAGGACGAGCAACGGCCGACGATCTGGTCCCGGAAGAGGAGCGTTGCTGGGAGATTTGGAGAGGAGAGGCGCATGGAGAATGGAGGAAGGGAAGGTTTTTTATTTTGGGAATTGGGGTTTTTCTAGAATCAGATTGGGGAAAGGGGATGGGGATTTTGGAATGGTGAAGATGAAAGGTTTTTTCGATTTTGGATGGAGGCGGCGGAGGTCTAATGTGGGGTGGGGATTAGGGTTTTTTGGGTGTGGCCTAGTTGGTTGTGGAAAAATTGGGTTTTGGGGGTGGAGGTCGGTTAGCTACGGTTAGTCGGGTAACCGCGGCTAACCGCCTTCGGTTACTCGGCTAACCGCAATCAATTTCTCCCTCTCCAAACACCGACCGTCCACTGTTCTTGTCGGTTTTTGGTTAGTCTCTAACCGGCGGTTTTTTATCAAAATGGCCGGTTAGCCGCTAACCGGAAATCGAACTGTCACCCCTAGCGCTAGTTTATATTACATATAATCCGTCTAAGCGTTGAGCGTTGACCACTAAAATCAAAATTAAGGAAGACGAAATGCCATGTTAGAATTGGCATTTAGAAAATAGTTTTGTGCCCCGACCGATTGGCCAAATAGTCCATAATGTTTTTTTTTTCAAGTAACATACATTTATGTTTTCATTTGTTTATAGCAATGGATGAATATTAAAATCTCTTCATTGTAGTTAGAAAAAAATGTTATAATATTCATAAAATGATGAAATTGTTGTAATTGGACAACGTATGATATGATATAAGAAGCCAACAATCTCCTCATTTTAGTTAGGAGGCTCTATGAACTTCATTTCCAAAGATACTCTATGCATTTGTAAGCAATAGTGAACACCAGAGGGGTCCAATGATCAACATGCATATAAATGCCAAAACAATCTTAAATAGTGGGCTAAAGAAATGGTTTAGGCTCAACATCAAAGGAAAGTTGGCATTAGAAGGGAAATTGAGTCAAAATAAATGGAGACAAAACTATGTATAAAATTAAAATTTCAAGATAAATAGTTTAAACTAGATTTTAGTAACTTGGACTTCCAAATTCATTAATGTATAAATTATGTGTCCATGATATACGCCGCTTTAATGAATAATCCATATTGTGTCACTTCAGTGTTTTTAACGATTTTTCACTCCATTATGTTTTTTTATAAATAAAAAATAGAATCAAAGGCCAATTTCTAAACCTAATTTCTATTAAGTATTAACCTATTGGAAACTTAATTGATATTATCTATTAAGGGTCTAATTTTTAATGAAAATGTCTCATTTCAATAATACACTATAAACATATAATAAATTCATTTTTTATCAATCAAATTGACTAAAACGATATCATTTTACCTAGAGTTCGTAAATCGATCATGCTGGTCATAATGATTGTGTTTAATTATGTCAGTTTCATGAGATTGGAATACGTGCACAGGTGACGCCGTTTCTGATTGGGCCACGTGGTGCTGATGTGGCAGTGATTGGAATACGTGCACGGTTCGAGTGACTAGGTGTGTGGAAACCTTTTGGCGAAGCAGTTGTGTCGTCAAGACGAACATTAGAATGGAAAAGTGTAAACTAGGAATAAACCGCATGCAAAGTAGTGGACTTTCATTGACAGTAAATATATATTCCTGGTCTTTCATTCTATTGATTTAAATTCAAGCACAACAATTTTGCAATGAATTCGGTATTCAAATAGAACTTCCAAAATGGAACTATGAATCCTCAAATCAGCTTGAAGTAACATCACAATGTAAGTAAAATATGGTTGTGGAAACGGTCCATAAGAATCAACAAGTAATCCGGTGAGTTAAGAATGTAAGCTGCATCAACAATAATTCAATTGATTTGTGGCTTAAATGATGGAACTCTCCTATTGATGCTAATCTACAGTTAAGGAATCATAGTCGGTAGAAAGATAAACTTCAAAATCTTTTTCCTGGTTTCAGCCTCTTCAGAATCTGTTTTCCAATTTCATTTTTCAGCCTCTTGCCTGGTTTTGGTTGTCCATCGGAGGGATCTGATTTCGGAAAGTGTGCAACTGCTTTACCAGTTGTGTAACCATGCAGTTATGCTCTTGACGATAAGATGATATTCTTTGTGAAGTTATGCTCTCCGACTCTTAGATGAAAAGCTTTTACTACTCACATTGTCCATTAAACGACGTAAATCGATTGAAGCAAAGCTTTTGGGGACTGCCCCTGGTTTGGCTTGATTTGACCGCCACCATTTAAGCAACCTGCTTTAGCATTGAGCAATCAACAAATGCTTGCTAGATCTCAATGTTCAATTTCCAAATTTTGGGATAAATGGTGCATAGGCTGATTCAAATAAGAGGACAAACCTGGAGGGCACGCCATAACCTCCACGAAATGGTAATCACCTTGTCCCATCTTGACTTTTATTACTACATTTTGCAGGTTTTGGAAACTATAACATAAGGTAAACTTGAAGACAGATTTCCCTTCCACCTGATATAGATCAAAACAGTACATTGACAATCACGTAGCAACAACCTTACACCTCAATTGTCACCAAATTCATAAGCCTCTACAAGGAGCAAGCAAAATGAATTTGCTATACTGTTGATAAACTCAACTCCATGCAAAGCAAACCAGACCATCAGAAATGACTGCAAACAAAAAACTTATAGATAACAATCAACCAGTCAAAAGGGGAAATATGCAATGATCTCACCTTTCTCTCCAAATCCTATCACCAAGATCACACCTTTAAGGCTCGGGTTAGACTTGTCCCCCCTTACCAAATCTCTCATCACAGTTTATATAACGTGGTGCATATCTATACCAGTTGAAATTCAAATGCTAACAACATTATCCACAAGTAAAAACCATAACAATTGACAATAGTTCACAACTTCAAGACAAAATAATAGAAGGAAAGAGTGATCTCGCAGCTCCAATGAACAAATATATCCTCCATGCACTGCAACAGTGTTCTCTATATCCATGTGAAGCTGGTCTCGAAATGAAGTGACTCATCGATGCTTCTCCGTTCGGCAACATCACCCTGCTTTCCTCTAAAAACTTGTTCTACAAGATAACGCAAATGACATTTCTCTGTTACATAGTAATCACAAACCAAGCTAGCAACTGCCCCTAACTTAGTAAGGACTGTAGCACCAACAACCATAGGCGGAGGGAGGTCCATTGGGCCCTGTCCCGAGACAGGGGTAAATTTCGGAGGAACAAAAATATATTATATATATGTATATTGGTGATGGAAAACAACGCTTATAGATAGTATTAGAGTATTTTTGTCACTACAGCACAACTCATTACTTATTCATAAATTGACATAAAATTAATTTATTATACTATAAACGAATTCTAAATTGCAATAAGGACCTCGTCAGATCTCTTTTCTACTTATGCCTATACGATTTTTTTTCCAACAACCCTGAAATTGTCTAGCGACGGCGACAATTCCACTAGTTTTGATTCTACGAATTACAACTGCAAATGTAAAAAGAGCATTTTCAGCTTTGAGTTCTATTAAGAAAAAGTTTCTAAGTCGATTTGGCGACCAATTTGCTAATGCTAATTTAGTGATACATTGAAAAAACTTATTTAATAGTGTAGACGGCGAATGTTTTTGCGTTTCTTTCACAATATGAAATCTCTTCGTGGTTGCTTATAAAAACAATGATTGTATAGTCGGTAATTTTTAATCTATGAATGAATTATGCATATACAATTATTTTTTATAATTTTTTATTAAATAATTTTAATTAAATATTTATATATTTATATTATGAAAAGAGGATAGGGGTGGTTTGAAATGCTGGCTCCGCCACTGCCAACAACTATCCCTAGCAACTAACATTACAGACTTAGCATTAATAGATGGGAATAAAATAAAATCAAAATCTTAGTCACACCTCCATTTCCTAAACCATTACAGTTATCCACTAAGAGGCAAAAACAGGATAGTACACCTAAACCTGTCAAACAAAATGATGTAGCTCAACTGTTGAGGAAGTCTGCATTGTCGTCTTCTTGAAGATTTAGCTCCTGCACATCAGTATCATGGTGAAATATTTTGCTTGCTTTATAAGAAGAAACAAACATATTTAAAAAAAAGGAATCTCAATTGTTATAGTTTCGAACCTGTATTCCCATGATCCTTCTGAGGACAGGTGCGAACATCGTGTCCTTCATTAGTGCAATGACTACAAAGTCTCTTACTTGGTTGAGTTGATGCTTCACTTTTACGTTCTTTTGTTTTCACAACTCAGGATCTTTAATCCTAATTGTTGGTATTCTCTCTGTTGTTTTCTCCATGGGATCCAATCCTCCCTTTTTTTCTCCAAATGTCTTCGGCTAATATAGTTAACCTTTCTATTTCATGTTTCGCCATCTTGTAGCCTTCCTCTGTTTTTTATGCATAATGACACAATCTTGCAAAGCTTCCATTTAGATTACCAGATCTAACAACAACATGTACCTCTTCATTTTGCAGCTCCGGATAGACAACCTGCACCTGACAATCTTCCTTGGCATCCTTGCACCAACGTTTTACAACCAATGCAGATGGTACAACTGAAATATTATGAACTTTGAGCACAAAAAAACAATGGCTACACGGAATGCCTTTGCTCTTGAGAAGATGACAGGAACATTTTCTTCGTCTATTTTCCGGATAGTACACCACAACCCAAGATCTTTTTGTACATGAATCTTTGTTTAGCTTATAAATCTTCTTTTCGCCGTTCAAATTAGTTGACACAGTATACAGCAAAGATTCCTCCTTGATCCTCTTTCGCACTTTGAAAAACATTTTCCGTGTGTAGATTCTAGAAAAATGTTCCTCGATACTGCGAAGATGCATATCACACACAGGGATCATATGGAGACTCGGAAAATATCCTTTTTCTCCTTGTGCAACAAACTCATACAACTTCAATTTCCTTGGCAGGAACTGATTCAGATAGGAGTTCATTCCTTCAACACGCTGTGAGCTCTTCATTCCAGCAGTGAATGTACTAGTGAAAAATGCTTGACCCCATCTGTGTCACTTCTCATACAATTCAGACAACCATTCATTACTGCCTAACTGAAAATCTTCAATAATCTTTCTCTATACCTCCTCAATTTATCAACTGAGTCAATCCGTTTCAACAATTTCTCAGATGCTTTCAAAAACTCCTTTGGACTAACATTCGATTCTGCATTTCTTCTCAAGTTCCAGCAACACATCCTGTGAGCAGCTTCAGGCATCAAATCCTTAATGGCCCTTCTCATTGACTTACACCCATCAGTAATCACAACACTTGGGTGCTAACCCTTCATTGCACTGAGAAAAGTTTTTAGTACCCAATTGTAACTTTCTACTGTCCCGTTCGGCAACAAAGCACACCCAAATATTTTGGTTGCATGATGGTGATTCACCCCAACAAAGACTACAAGAGGCATTTTGTATGCATTGGTTTTATATGTGGAATCAAAAACCAACACATCACCAAAGCACGAGTAATCGAATTGACAAGTGGAGTCAGCCCAAAACAAGTGTCTAAGTATGTTATCATTATCGAGGGTGAATTTACAGTAAAGTTCTAAATCGATTTTGTATTTAGCACGTAAGTATGCTAATGCAGACTCAGCATCACTATGCAGATCAAAATTCTTACCTCCATTGACGAAATTGTACAGATCTTTAAGAGTAAACTGACATTATCATAACCCCCCACTTCATTTACTCTCAAATCCATAATTTGACTTGGTTTCACACCCACTCCTCGCAATGACTCCACTTGTGCCTTATTGGCCTCTTTCAATGGCCGATGTGAGCGTAAGAATTGCACATGTTCAGGCAATGCTCTATCATGATTATGCCCTGGCACAAACTACTCTACCTTATACTTTGCATCTTTTTTATCAAATTTCACTTGGAATGAAGCAAGACATCCCACTCTAGTCACAACCTTTGCTTCCCTCTTCCTATCCTCTTCATTCGCATATTCTGTTCTAACCCCTTCTTCACAACAAACCCATTTTCGTAATGTCCATTTCCCATATTTCTTAACCTTCTTATCTCTTTTTCTAACACCAAACCCCATATACTTGTTGTAATTGTTGTAAAAAATTCCAGCTTCTTCAATGGAATCGAACATTACTTCTCTCAAATCATGCAACCCTCAATCCTCTATTTTTCCAAGAACATTAACGTTCAGAAGCAACATGCCAGAATTTTCCTGGGGATGACCACTACTTTGATTTTGGGTATTTGTATCAACATTCTCATGAGGTATATCATCCTGAAGAACATCTCCACGAGTTAAAAACGTTTCTTCTAATCATGTATAACAACAAAATAAAACTAGATAAGTCATACAGAATTGCATTGTAATTATTATTAGCATAAGTCACGAACCAAACCTTCCATTCGGCAGGGTAAAACTTGTTTTCTATTAATACAGATGAAGCAGAAAGAATTTGAGAGTAAAATGTTGCGCCACCTGCAACATTCACAACCATTTCAATAATATCCTCAACACAAGCAATGACAACTCATAGGCAAAACACACAGTAAGAACAAACAACCTGTGACATCAAAATGATTGGATAATGGTGAAGAATCATACTTTAGTGGGACTTCTCTTATTATTCATGGCCTCCTGGGTGGTTAAATTTGTGCTCGAGGTGCACATTATAGTTCTGCCATTCTTTCTTTGTGCTAATAACTTGAGACTATTTCTTTGGTCGCAATTCCACCCACTAACACATACTCCCCACGTAATCAACGAAAGAATACATAAATTACCATGATACTAGACGATAATGCAATGTGGTTAATGGCATCGAAGCGGAGGAGCATATGGCAAAGCTTTATGCCCCCAAGTAATGAATTGAAAGACTGAACAGGAGTATGAAATAGGTAAGCAGAACATTTCTAATTTGTTCCGAGAATGCTAAAGGTTCGAAACTTATCATATTAGATGCATAACTATTTGAATAGGTTCGTGTTTTTCCTCATGTTCCCTTTACACAACTATGTATGCATTTGGCCTTATCAAGCAGTCGGGTCCTCTACTTCCCATTGCTCTTATCAATTGATTCTTCATTTCACTTCTCTACAGAAAAGCCTCCCATCAACATGGCAACTGTGACATTCAAAGCTAGGTGGTTGATTCCTTATAGGTTCAACGGTGGGAGGTCCAGTTGGGAACCCAACGCCAACCTCACTCTCTAGGTGTCTCAGAAGGAAATCTATGTTGATGATTGATAACTTACAACATACAACTCTATCTAGCTTCTTCCTTCTAATAAACTACTCACGTTGTACCAACCAAAATATAAAGAACAAAGCAGTAGAATAGGGACAGAGCAACCAGTAGCCTGATGCTCGGTAAACACAACACCGTAAAGGAAAATACTCGCATACAAGGCGCAACATCCAAGACATACCAGCTCGGAGGAAAAAATAAGCTAGGCCTAATTCTAAAAAAAAACAAACGAATTGAATTACCAGGATTTGTTAGGCAATGTCGAAACTTCGACTTCCGCTTCGTCAACAAGAAGGGTGCAGACCGAGGGGACAGAGCAGAGTGAGGAACTCTTCTCTTACCCGCGCGAGGGATTGACGGTGTCAGCAGAGCAGTTCGACGCAGACAGAGGGCCTCCCCGTATTAGGGATTCGTCGTTTTTGTTTCACAGAATGAATGGCGGAGGAGGAATACGGTGAAGGAGTTTATTGGAGGAGATGGAGTTCCGATCAGAGTGGGTGGAGTTCGCCGGAGCTGTTTTGATTCTCGCCGGAGCAGTTTCGACCGAGAGAAGGAGATCGACGCCAAACTGCTTCACTTTCCCTTCGTTTCCTTGGGTTTTGGAGAAAAAAAACAAATAAAACTGAACATAATAATATGGGGAAAACGATGGGAAAAAAGGAACTGAAAGAATTCCGTACGGTTGGGTACGGCATTGGTTCGGGCCAATTTCAATAGGTCAGTAGGCTTTGGGCTCAAATTAAATAAATCATTCAGGCCACGTCAGCTCTACATGCTCCAATCAGAAATGGCGTTACTGGTGCCGCACTTTTTAGAGTGGCACCATAGTATTGGCCATCCGAAAAACAAACGATCATATTGTATTTTCATTAGTCCAGCATAAATTCACACAGCCCAGTCCAGGTACAGGCCCAAGGATAAAAGCCCAATAAAACTCTCGGCGAGCCGGGGAGGTGCAAATTTGCGTCTCCAACCTCAACCTTGGGGCATCAGCAGTTTGAGATCGCAGCAAAGTCGAGAACAAAGTCTCCGTTTTAAGCGATGGGATTCGGAGCTCTGAGAAACATAGTTCGGCCGCTGGCCAGAACGCTGATATGCGGCGCTTCCACTTCCAACTCTACATTGTTGGCGGCCAAGGCTCCGTTTCTGAGACCCGAGTGTCGATTTGGTCTCTGTCCACCATTGGCCCAGCCATCGCGTCATTTCAGTTTCTTTTCGGAGACTGGTTACGACAGGTTAACGGACAAGAGATTGCCAAAGCGCCGCCCCCTCGATAAACCTCGCCGGAAAAGGGCCGGCTTGAGACCTGCTGGTAATGTTTCAGTACCATGATGTGTTTTGAATTTGTGGGGTGCTGACGAGGATTTAGGGTTTTGGGGACCTAGCTGAAAGTTTTATCTTTGTCGGGTTCTTATTTGAATTGGATAGAACTTTGATCTGATTCTGCAATGCAGGGGCATTTGCTTGGGTTAAGTATGATGCTGGAGAGCCGATTAAACCCAGTAATCCTAATGAAGGAAGCGTCAAGAGAAGGAACGAGAAGAAGCGTAGAATGTTGCACCGGGCCTTTGTGAAGGTAGGTGCCGTGCCGTGGCAAAGGAACATCAATCGTTTCATTTGAAACTTCATTTGGCTTTAGCTTAGTTGATGGTGGCTGAATTGTGCTGATAGATACTTGATATTCAACATTTGAACAATGGTATTTAAGTTGGTAGGGACTGATTGACGAGAAATCGCATGCTGAACTCTATGTTTCTACTAACACATTGAAAATAGAGAAGACAATGATAGGAAGGCATAGTGCAAAAAGAGCAATAACAATATGTTCGATTGGTCTTATTTATGTGATGTTCTGATAATTCTAAAGATTTAGGGCCAGTTCTGTTGACGTGCTTATCAGTTGCAATGAACTTGTTTGATAATGCTTCTGCCACACAGTCTCCTGTTTTAGGATTCCCTCTATAGGTGTAGGTGAACTGTCCTGTACTAACCTGCTGACTATTATTTCTCGGTATTCTGGATTCGATTGGCGATAGCGTATAGAAAAAGTAGGCTGGCAGCCATCCGGTTTGGTGGCTGTCATGCTACATTGTAGCGAGCTTCTTTGGGTCGTTAATGCTATAAATCAATTGCCCAAGTTCACATTTTCGTCCTCTGGATTCCCAGTAACTGACATAAACATGTGTGTTTGAATTTGAACAGGCTGAGGCAAAGAAGAGGAAAGCTCTGGTGCAGGCAGCTAAACGGAAGAAAATGGCTGCGAGAGTGGATCGTAAAATGGCTTCTGTGGCGAGGGATAGAGCGTGGGCAGAAAGATTGGCAGAACTGCAGAGACTTGAGCAAGAGAAGAAAAGCTCCATGTCCTAGCTTTCTTTCTTTCTTCCGAGATGTATTTGGTTCCAAATGTCTGCTGCTACTGCTTCTGCTTGTTATCAGCAGAACAAGAACACCGAATCACATAAAGACCTTGAATTAATTCTTGTAACTCAGGTTTGTTGTTGCTTTGGCTTTCGCTATGGCTGTAGCTGTGAAGCCTTCCTGTTAAATCTACTGGCATTCTAGTTGGGAAGCTTCCTGCAATTTGTATGCAATTTGTATCTTATGTCACGTTTCAGAAGGTGGGAGCTAGACTAACAAACTAAACGAGAAAGGAAGGCAAGCAATTCACCCTGTGGTTTTGTCCTCCTTAGGGACCTTGCGGTTGGGATGCTTAAGAAGACGCTAGGCACTATTTAGGCGAGGAGGTACCGCCTAGTGCCCATGTTGATTAGTCGTTGCCTAGGCGAGATTAAACGTTGAAAAAAAATGATAGATAAGCCATGTTTCACAAAAATTCAAGTCCCCATATTATTATTCATCCATTCATATACACATCTTACCCTTTTCCACAATCCCAAACATCCTAGGTCGCCAACCATGAAGAGGGATCTCACTGCTGGTCGATGAGGGTGAGCGGTTGGTCGAATGGAAATGAGAAATAGAATAGGGTTTGAGATTTTCACAAAAAGACTATACTTTTTTCCCTTTATTAGTTGTTCTGGGCGTCACCCACCAGGGTGAAAACGCGTCTCCCAGTGCCCAGGTGCCTAGATCAATCACCCAGGGCTAGACGGGGCGATTTCCTTCTGCCTAGCTATTAATCTCGCCTACACGAGAGATTAATCGCGTCTTCTTGAACACTGGAACAGTGGTAGGATTTGCGAAACCTTGGATTAATCGATTTTGACCAAACCTGGACTTTCACCAGATTGTCCTGCTGCTCCCTGCTCAATTGCAGCTATTCTCTATCAACATTGCAGAAACGCATTTGTTTCGCTTAATCCAAATAGTACGGAAGGAGCCTGCATCGGACGAACGAGCGAACTTGAGGCTTAACAAAATCAATACTACTCTGGAAATTTGGAAAATGACCCCGACAGATCATTTTGAATCCATTCTAACTCTATTAATAACATTTTCTAATAGGTTTATAGGTAGTAAGGACAATACGACCTCCCAAGAACAGAACATATGCTTTGCATTCCGCTTTAGCTTATCCAAGTGATGTAGCAACAAACAGCCATTGACAATCCAGATTGCCGACTTACAGCGCCAACTCCCCAGCGGGTTCAAGTTAGCTCCCTCCTTGTGGTTTATGAATTCATTTGTCCAAAAACTTGCTGTCATGACAGCTTCCACAGTGTATCATTCCAAATCCTCTCATGTCACAGCTAGCATACATACCATTTTTCATTTAATGTTGCAGGTTTCGCAATCTCCAAAATGGGTCCAAAAATCTCAGTTCCCGCCCCACCCTTTAGCAGCCTCATCGAAAACATCCAACCAACTGTTACTATCAAACAGGACAAACGAAATTGAGGGCACACAATAATACACAGATTATCATGTGAGCAAAAGCTATCTTCTGATTCTCAGAACCACCCTCCTCCTCCTCCATCTTCTTCCACCACAGCAAACAATCAATGTTGTTCACACAAGGCCACCCAATCCAACCATTTCAGTAAAGACAGCGACACTAGAACTAACCAATGGCCATGCATTCTCTTGAAAACCATATGAAAAGGCATTGGACAGAGATATATTTTTTCTGTCGGTACAAAACAGGTTTACCCAGATAGAGCACGCAATCTATGGTGGTTGGATCTAACTACTTCTCGAGGGTGTAGATTAAGGGTATTAAAGAGGTGTGACAGTGATAGGCAGCTTCCTCTTCATCTTAACTGTTGGAAAGTAGACAATGTCGTCCTCTTCAGCACTCCATCTGTGTTGTTAAATACAGATGGAAGCACATAAAAAAAAGGGAGCCCAAAGTTATGGAGGGAAATTGATTTGGAATTGGAGATGGAATTTTTACCTGTAAGTGGTGACTAGGTGGTGGAGGAAGATTGAGATTTCAAGCCTGGACAGCTCCAAACCAGGACACAGCCGCTGCCCTCCACCAAAGGGTGTGTAGCAGTTGTTGTTCACGCCAACTCCTTTTCCCTGCATTTGCAAAAAAATAAAATTATTGATAATATCATCACAAGTGATTCGGTACTTCCAAATTATCTAGACTCAAATTTCGAACTGGATCGCCTTCATTACCTCCCATCTCCATGGATTGAATTGATAGGGATGCTGGTAGTTCTCTTCATCCATATGAACAGAGATGAAAGATGCCAAAACACACCAGCCTTTTGGGATCAAATGTCCTGCATTCACCCAAGAAAAATGAAAACAACAAACTAAACACACAATTATCATTTTGGTGAATGCAGACACAGATATTAAAGTAAATATGGTTTATCATTCCAATTTACCTTTGATTTCCACATCTTTTAGAGCTTTCCTCCAAACCCCATTGATGATATTTGCCATCCTTAATGTCTCACTGATCACCTGCACAGACACCACCCACAATTATTAAACTATCACCAAATAATCATAACATCAAACACCTGCTATGCACTCCCATTAAGGCCAAAAGGAGAAACCAAAAATACAAAATAAAAAAATAAAACCCATGAAAGGGTAGAATGGAAACGAAAGAAGTGACTCACATTTTGAGTAAATGGCAAGGACATGTAGTCAGTCCAAGAATACTCATCACACAACTCTTCCTTCTGCTTCTTCAGTTCCAAGTTCTCCTCCTACAACACCACCCAACACAAACAAACAAACAAACAGACAGACAGACACAATTAATCTATTTATTTATTAAAATTAACAGAAGCAATTTTCCTTATATTTCTCAACCCCATTTGTCTCTTTTTGAAGCTCTGAGTTGCGATCCAGAGACCCGATTTGTGGACTGGGGGAAGCAATTATTGCAGCAAGCAAAAGTGGTAAAGTTTCGAACTTTGTTGCAGGGAAGTGGTAGTGAGTAGCCAAATCAGAGAGACACCTTTTAAAGAGGGGAAAAGAAAGAAAAACCAGAGAGTTACGTTTGTCTGCAGAATTGGGTTGGGTGGGATGGAGAGTTTTCATTCATGAAAGTGACCACACAAACCAATTGATGTAGATTTGTGTGTATGTGTCTTTTGTACTGTGAAAGTTCTCATCTTCCATACAACCCCCTAGGGGTTTTACCTCTGTTCCTAAACCTCTCCCAACACTCAAAGTACACATAGAAAAACAGAGTTAAGTTGCCAACATCCATGCTATGGTGCTCTTCCATCTCTAACCACGGCCTTACACATCGTAATTAATTTAGCGTCGACGGACACTATTGAGATCAGGGTGGGAAAAAAAAAACAAATAATATCAGCTCGTGTTAAGCGATCACATCGATCACATCAATATGCTAGAACATTCACAATGTTCAGCTACCCTCAATCAGGTTGACAAACAAAAACAACTCCTGTTTTTTTTTTTTTTTAGTAAAAGTTCGAGCATATTAAAAGGAAGTATCTTTTTAACGTGATGTGATGAGGGATGAAAAAAAGAAAAATTAAACTAATTTCAACTTGTCCAAAAGTTTTGCTTAATATATATAGTTAGAGGGTTGGAGGGGATGAAGGAGGTGGCTTGAATTAATGACCTGCACGATGGAGATGTGGTTCTAGATCGTATTACACATGGGCTCTTCCCATTTGATGTTTAACTATTCCAACTAATACCATAGTTAGTGGAACAAATCATTGTGTTTGCTTGTTTAACAATGAAATAATAATGTACATATATATCAAAGCTTAAATATACAACTTTTTTTGTTAACAAAAGTACACAGCTGGCAGTAATCAAAATACTTTTTGTAATAGATATTCAAAAGAAGAAATACCCCATACAATAATTTAACTACCAAGCCAAAATTAAAAAAATAATCAAAATGGAAAGAGTTATTCTTCAATAAAAAGTTAGATTGATGATAAGCGAATTTATTTTACTATAATCTAGACAACCAAGTTATAGCTACGAGACGTGAAATAGAACAAAACGATGAACCCTAATCAAAGTTTTATTAACCTTACTTATTATATTGTTATTAATTACTAATAGTTTTTGTTTGTCATCATTGCAAATTTGCAAGAGTAGCTTAATAAGTTTTGAGGAAATTTACCATGATTTTGGGCCATGGGGACAGCGAAGTTTATGTCCAAGTGGACCACTCGACGCCGGCCGGCCCGACAGCCGTCCAGTGAACGTATCGTACGGCCTAGAAACCCCCCCGGTTTCATTCCCCCTCCCACAAAAAGCCCAAAACCATTTTTTTAAAAAGAGCCCGGGCCCACCGCCAAAACGTACCCACGTGTGCTTAACGAAAACGACCCGTCGGGAAAAAGTCAAACACTTTCCCGGCGTCTCATATAAAATCAGAAAAACAAAATATTCCGCTTTTTTTCCCCACGACAATAATAATTTTGAAAAATAAAAGGAAGACGTCGCTGTTCTCTATTGTAGCGCCAGAAACTATCCTGACCGTTGGATGAAAACCAATATAAAAAAAAAAAGGGTCGAAAGGACAGACGGACAAGATGTGATGTGATGGGATGGGGTGCACGGGTGGAAAACGTACCGTTAGTTGGTTTAAAGCGACGGGGCAGTCGCTGAGGAACTTGACAGCCAGCGTCATGGCCGTCGGCACGGTTTCTTCCCCTGGGATCATCATCTCCAGGATGTTGGCGCTGACGAAATCCAACGGCAGCAGATGCTTCTCGTCGGTTTCCCCTAGGAGGACGTCCACCGCATCCCGTGGAGCCGCCTTCCCGCCGCCGTCCGCCGTCATCTCCATCTCCATCTTCCTTCCATCCACGATTCTCTTCACCATCTTCAGCAACCTCTCTCTTGCCTGCATGACAAAAAAAATGATATATATGTATATTGTCCGCCACTCCATGCATCATTCATTCATTAATGCTCAACATAAAAGAAAAAAAGCAGCCGCGTGACATAGAATACATATATATAGAAGAAACGTAGCTTAGCTAGATCGGCGGGAAAAAGTTACTTTGCAGACTAAGGGACAGTAATTAATACGATTACAAGTCTCAGTTGGATTGAGTCATAATTCTACGACTCCATGATATTACTGATGGTTCCCCTCTATTCCCATTTTCACTAATTCTTTAATCTAGTGGTAACGTGAACATCTATTCATCATCTTTTGGTTTCAACTTTGGGGTTAACAACCAAAAAAGTGAACAAAAAAGATTCATACCATTTCATAGGTCAAACTACACCCCCCATAAAATTGACTTTCTCCTTCCATTTGATTGTAGAGTTTGGAGCCAAAAGCGTACGGTAGTATCAAAAAAATTAACGAAAGAGTATTTTATACTGAGGTCGTGAGTTCATACCGATAGAATATTTTTACTGTTCAACACAATGATTTCAGAAACACCGTTTAAAACAAACTTAAAATTACGTAGCTAGTGAATCATTATTAATAATAGTACCTTTAAGGAGTTGTAGAGAGTGGTTCCAGGGAAATTGATGGGCAAGCAGATCAAGCCTTTGATGAATTCCTGGAATTCGGATTTCATGAATTCCAAATCATCCCCAGGGCCGACGCTCATCAGGGCTTTCACCAGCACTTGAAACGTCATCTGAATATCATCAAACCGTTTGATTATATACACCCTTTAAGCAAATTTGCGATTTTTATATGCTAATATATTGATGAGAGAGAGAGAGAGAGAGAGAGAGAGAGAGACCTTCCTGGTCTCGTCCTGGACGAACAGCCGGTGCATGCCCTTCCACGACTCCAAAGTCAACTTGACGGACTGCTGGATGTCGTTGGTGATGTGGGCTTTGAACTGCGGGGATCTGAGGAAGCCACCGATCAAAGCGTGGACCTTCTTCTGGACGGGGCCGTTGGTCTGGAGAATGGACTGCTCCCCAAAAAGTTCCCTGATGGATTTAGGGTAAGCCGGGATGAAGGAGTTGCTGCCATGGTTCTGCAACACCACTTTGTTCACTTCTGGGTCCGTCGACACGATGATGGGCGTCCCCAGGATGTTCGTTTTGAACACATCCCCATACCTACAATAATAAAAACCATAATTAATTAATTAATAAATACCAACGCACAAGGACAACAAGGGAAGAGAAAATGGGCCGATAATTCATTAATTAAAAAGCTGAAACGGACTTTGAATGCAAAACGCAGTAAATTGTTCTTCCTTTCCTTTCTGTAGCTACTGAGGCTAGGCTAGGGTAGCGTAGTAGTATTGGTATAGAGCTAGGGGAGTTGGGGGGCTCGTTATTAATGCAAAAAAAAAAAAAAAAAAAAAGTGGAGGCCTTTTTTTTTTATGTTTTGGGGATATATTCTTCCTTCCTTTCTTCTTCTCTTTTGCTCGATCATCGTCTTTGGATGGTTCTTCTGCTGTCTGTGGGGTTGTATAATTGTATGAAAGTGAAATTTCTCGACTTGAGTAAGGTGGAGGCTATGGAATCCAACCAACCAACAAAAGGTGCAGTAAACCCTTAACCCAATATCACCCAGATAGAACAAAACAAATAAAAAGGAGGAAATTTTTGGATTTGTATGTATGATATGGAAATTTGGAGAAGCACCCATAAAAAGAACACACAAGAATATGTATGTTCAATTTATACGGAATTTAATAAGAAAGAGTATTAAGGGCTAAAATAAGATAGTGTTTTTTATTGCTATCTTTACATGGGATTATCATAATTCTATATATGTTGAAGGTGAGTGATATGATGTGACATGTTGTTGGGTAGTAACATGCATACATACATAAATTGTTAATGAATTAGTCAAAATTCATAGTTTTCGTTCTCCTCCCTTTGATTTCGGAGGAATTTTCCATCCAAAGAGTAGAAATTAAGGGAAACTTAATCAAATAATTAACAAAGAGGAATCATGATCAGAAATTGGAAAGTGTGAATGTAAAAAAGTGTTGCATATACAAATAATCATTTTGATCAGAAAAAGTTATAGTATCAGGCGGCGCTAGCATGTAGTTTTGGTGGTAACTGATGATAATAATAAAATCCAGGAAATGCATCTGTAAAATAAAAAATAATAAGAAGAAGAAAAGAAATGCATCTGCAACAACCGAAGCAAAAAAAAAAAACCCTACTCAGTAAAGGACGAGAAGGAAAGAAGAATTGATGGGTCGCTTACAGAGATTTGCGGGCGTCCATGAAAGAAACGGGCCGAGAAGTGTATCCGCAGGCAATGAAGTCGAGAGTTTCTCCGATCAAAGGCCAGCCCAGGTTCCCTTTCGGCACCGCCGCCGACGACCCCTTGTGGCCGTCGTTGCATTGCCGCCGACTCCACCACCACAAGAGCGGCAGAGCTCCTCCCAACAAGATGCCGACACTCGCTCCTAACCACCACATCTCTTCCCGTACCCTACTGAATAACTTCCTCTTCTCTTTTCAACTAATAATAATAGAGATTTATTTATTTATAGCCTTACTCCTAATCCTATCCACTATTTTGGAACCAATAATCCAATAATTCCTCCCCCTATTTCTTTTTTTTTTTTTTTTTACGGGGTCACCTCCTCCTTCCTCTCGATTGATTTGAATCTCTGAATCAAGGCTACCTGGCTGATCTCCAATATATATGATATATATAATTATATATGTCTAAAAAATATAAATCGCCATATAAGTTACGTTGCTCTCCTCGATCCTTCTTTTTTCTCTCTACCCAAGAAGGAGGTATGAGGTTTTGTTGATGGGGACTTCGTGAGAAGGAATTGAAGATGAGCGAAATATGGAACTGATGATGAGAGCTACAGAGAGAGAGAGAGAGAAGGGCAGGGAGAGGAGAAAAAGAAAATAGCAAACCAGTAGAGAGAGAGAGAAGAAGTGTATGGAGGAGAGATTGGCAAAGTAACACCAATTTATATTTAATGAAAGGGGGGACCGACCGGCCGGCCGGCCAGGGAGTCGGGTCAGTGTACCCACCCAACCCAAAGCGCCACGCAGATGCATTTTGTCCCCAGACGCAAATCATCATCATCCATATTCCAAATTTATCACTCCCTTCCATAGTTAGTAAAATACGGTTCGGAAAAGTTACGTATAAAAAAAATACATACGAGTATTTTACTTCATTTTTAAGTTAATATTACATTGAATAGTACGTTAATAATCATAAATATAAAAAAATAATTATTTTAAAAATAAATAATAGTCTAGTTAATAATTTAATTCATTAAATACGGATATTAAACGTGTTATACGGATATTATACGTGTTTAGTATGGGAGCCATCAAATGAACGAAGAGAAATGAAACAGCCTGACAATAATACGAAGGCAGAAGTTTTAAATGTATAAAATACGTACGGATACATATAAAATATTTACTTACTAACTATGCTACCTTCCTCCTGCCTAGTTCCACGTCAACGCATACGACTCCCTCAACACACTCTTCTCCACACTTCGATTAAGTTTATCCTAAATGCTTCAACTTGTACTCCGCAGTCATCACTCCAAACCTTAAGCCATTGTTAAATTATATACATAATTCAACCACAAATCATTTCATCCCACAAACTCATTTTTTGTTGAAGTACAATGTAAATTAGAATTAATTTAAGATCAAATGTAATATTTACTTGGTTTATATGAGAAGTCTGAATTTGAGTACCTTAAATCGATGAATTCGAGAGAGACGTCTAAGATGCGTATCACATGGCCTCATTCTCCATAGGAATGAGCTGATTGCCTACATCTCCTGTTCTATAAGCACTTACGTATAGAGTTGACTTTTGTAAATTAACACGCTGACCACTCATATGTTCACATATTCAGCCAATACATGAAGGAAATTAGTGTATTCATAAGTGATTTGAGTCCGATTGTACACATTTTACCCGTCATTTCTTGATAGTTTGACTTTGCATTTCATCATCTCTCAACCTATTTTAAGTTAGGTTGTGTTATTTTTGTTGTGTTTCAGTTCCTAGCACGTGTGGGAAGGTCAAGTATGAGTTCGGGACAAATGGAGGCAAGAATGGCAAGGAAATGAAGAAAACGGAAGTGAACCCGGCCAAGACACGACCGTGTTCCAAGACCGTGTTCAACACCTTCAGCCTGGACACGACAACGTTTCAGGCGCCAGAAGATTCTTGTCATTTAGCGAACACGGCCTAGACACGGTCGTGTTCGTTGGCCGTGTCAGAGGTCGAGTTCCAGGAGATTTTGGGCACATCGTGGGCCTAGATGTTATCACGGTCTCCTCGACAGTGATATTCGATGAAGAGGGCGTGAAGTCGGCCAAAAATGGTGTGTTTTGTCAAGGATTAAAGAACGCGGCCTGAACACGCTCGTGTTCACATGCCATGTTGACTTGAAGTTTCCTCAGCTCACGATCAAAACACCGCACTTGGGATAGAACATGGCCAGATGACACGACCGTGTTCAAGCTGATTTTTGTGGAGTATAAATTCTGGAGCTGAAGAAAGAAGAGGGGGCTAGCTTTTTGGTAGGTTTTCAGGGTGCAGAAAAAAGAGGATTTCTAATGAGAGATTAGGGTTTCTTCTTCAGAGCTAGAGAGAGAAAGTGTCATTCAAAGGAGGAAGAAAGAGATTGGGCTTTATTCAAGCTAGAAGAGTGTAGATTCTTACCTCTCAAGGGAAATTCAAGCAACAAGGAAGGAAAATTGTCATCTCTTCATGGTTCTTTATCTCCTTTTTGTTGTTTTCCCTTGGCTAGCTATGGAATAACCTACCTCTTCACTTGAGTGTTGTGAACCATAGCTTTAAATATGGGGTTAATACCCTAGTTTGACGCGAAGTTTAGCGTTTGTGACAATTCTGACCCCATTTTTCAAATAAGACATTTATGGCTCATTTTTTAAATTATTGGACAAATCTGACCCGAAATTTATGTTGACTGTTAAAACTGACGGTCAAACATTCTCACCGTTAATGACTCAGCATCTAGGGCTGAAGTGGCATCCACGTCGCTTATTAATCAAAAATAAAAAACATTAAATAAAAAATGGACAAAGACTTCTCTCTGCTCCTTTTATTCCAAAAAAAAAAAAAACTCCTAACCTACCCATCTCTTTCTCTCCTTCTTCTTCCTCTCAAAATAGCCACCGCCACTGAGCAAGTATGCCCATCTCCCTCATTCTTTATTCCCACTCATAGCCGACGATACCCACCAGCTTGATGATGGCAATGGTAGGAAATGCTCCTGCCTCGTCAGCTTGGCTCTGCTTCGAACGAGAAGAGCCATTGATGGTTCAAACTCATAAGATCCGGCTGTGGTGGTGACAGATCTTGAGGTAGGGGATTTTACTCCCTACACCTGGATCACCGCCCGTCGATCACTGTGTTGCCTGATGACGTCGGATCTGAGGCGATGAAGAAGGACAGTGATGCGACGAGTTAGGAGAGCGCGTCGAGAATGCGGAAAAGGTCGAGCTTGATGGGGTGACATCGACGGTGATTGCAACGACGAATGGGGAAATGTCGAGTTGATTCAGGGGAACGCCGACCGGAAGTTCCTTCCTCTGTTCTCTCATTCATATGTTCCTTTCTTCCTCATTCAACGCCGAACTTGACAGCGGCGGCAGAGCATTCTCCATGTACGGAAATCGGAGGAGGAGGTAGAGCCTCGTTGCTAGTAGCTTCTCGCAAGACCAGGTTCCTAGGAAGAATAAAATGCTTGTTCTCTATAGTTACACCGCCGTCGGAGAAGAGTGAATCTAGAAGCTCCACTGCCGGAGAAGGGAGAGCGGCTGGTGGTGGTGGAGAGTTCTTGGGCCCTTTGGATTGTCTGCCATGAGTTAAGAGAGATGAGAAGAAAATTAGGGATATTGACCTGGGTCTTTGACTTATTTTTTTTTTATTTGTTGATTTGTTTTATTTTGTTTCTAATTTTCTTCCAAATAATTAAATAAGTTATTATTTGATGATGCGGCAATCATGCATCGGCCACATAAGTAGTTTTTCTCAGTCATTAACGGTGAGAATGTTTGACAGTCAGTTTTAACGGTCAAAAAAAATTTCGGGCCAAATTTGTCCAATAATTTCAAAAGTGAGTCATAAATGTCTTATTTGAAAAATAAGGCCAGAACTGTCACTAACACTAAACTTCGAGCCAAATTAGGGTATTAACCCTTAAATATGTGATATATTGTATATTAATTGAATGCTTTGTGTGTGGGTTTGTGTTTAATGGAAAGTTTGATGTATTTTCATGATGTTTGGGTTGTGTTTTTCATTTCTGATTTCTCATTGCTATGCCAATTTTACATAGGTAGAGGGAAACCACCTTGTTGTTAGGAGACTTTGATAAGCTAAATTCCTTGGCCAATTGAGCCACCTACCTAGGGCAAATTAGGGCAAGCCTCAAACTTTGATTTAACAATTTAACTTGGGTGTTATTTTGCCGTCTGAATGAAGTTCTGAGGGATTGGTTCTTGCAACCCTTAGTTAAGCGGTTAAGAGAGCTAGGACTCTTAGCTTGGAAGATTGGAGAATCGTCGGCCGGAGTGAGCGAGGAAGACTGGAGAATTGTCAGACGGTGTGAGCGAGGAAGATTGGAGAATCGCCAGTGAGAGTGAGCGAGGAACATCGGAGATCCGACGACCTAGTGAGCAAGGAAGATCAAAGAACTAAATTTTCAACCAGAGAGAGCGAGGGAGATCGGAATCGCCCTTCAGTCGGGATGAGTGAGGAGGGAGATCAGAATCATTTTTTCTTTGGATAACCTTGGGTAGGGATGGCAACAAAACCCGAACCCACGGGTACCCACCCGACCCAACCCGGTCAACGTGGGTAAAATCCGTGTTGACGGGTTTTGGGCCGGGTTTGGGTTTAAACCCGTTCACTATTCACCGGGTTGGGTTGGGTTTGGGTTTAGGTAAACCCGACCCATGGGTACCCGCCCACACCCATATAATTAATTTTCTCGATATATTTAATATTCTAAACAACTAATCTTATTTATATTTGTGGAGACATGTCTAATTTTTTCTTTCTAATTGTGTAGAATGAATTTGATGTTATCGAGTGGAGAGTGAAGAAACTTAATTGAAAGGAAGAAGCTTTCAATTAAGTAATCATATTATTTATGGATAATTTGTGATTTGCTTCAATTTTCTTGAGTTTTCTAGATTGGTGTTGAACAATTTGTATAGTTAATTTGTGATTTGCTTGAATTTATAGAATGGTGTTTTATATATGGATATTTTGTATTGAGAGATTAATATTTAACTTTAATTTTGATAGGAACTTGTTATTGCAAATTTTTTACGATCAAAACCCGCGGATACCCAACGGGTTGGGTTGGGTTTGAGTTTTTCAAACCCAGTGGGTTTTACCCCGGGTTTTTTTCACGGATAAACCCATGGGTTTTGGTTTGGGTTTGACAAAACCCGACCCAACCCGACCCATTGCCATCCCTAACTTTGGGCGTCGTTTTTTATATTTTTAATTGCTAAACTAAAAGAGAACCTATATTATTTATAAACAAATATTTCAACTGGAAAAATGGAGGAGCGGATGAAATTTGGTTGTATGTAGCAAGGGTTTTTTAACCCTTGAAACAAAATGTTAGTACAATAAATTCTGAAAACAATAGTAATGGGGTTGAAACCCTCCTGCAGAACCCTTGGGATAAGAGTTTTTTTTTTTTGTAGTGCAACAATGGAAAGAGGGGTGAGCTTAGCTCGGAGGGTTAGGAAATTAAAATGAATTATATTTTTACATTTAATGGCAGTGATAATGAGGTGAAAATTTTAAATTTAGTTTTTTTATAATTTTTTAATTGACACATCATACATTTAACGGTCAACTATAAGAATTGACTGCCAGTGGCGGAGCCAGGTTGTAAAACTAGGTGTGTCCTCTTTTTAAAATATAAACATATAAATAATTATTTAATAATTATAATTAAAATTGAATGGAAACTAGCTCTTGCTTCATACTTCATAATTCTGGACAAAATTGAGTAAGATATTGAGAAAAAAAAAAGAATCCAAATAGAGATTTATTTCAATGGAAGATTTCATTTATAGCGTATAAATTAATTTCATATCAATCAAATAACAAAAATTGAGCTTCATTGTAATAGTAAAATACTTTTTAGGCAAAATACATTTCAATAGCCATAATTATTCGTGTTGTGACAATAATAGCCACTTTTTGAAAAATACACTGATATAGCCATTCCGTCCATAAAAGTAACGGTTTTTTCATGATTGCTGACTGGACAAACGGATGTTTGCTACGTGGCAGTCCAGGTGGAATGTGTTTCTAATGGGGCAAAAATAAAATAAAATAACTGCAAAATAAAATAGAAAACAAAATAGAAAATAAAATCAAAAGCTCATTCTCTCTAGATTCATCTACCTTCCTTTCTTCTTCTTCTCCCTACATCTCCGATCAAGCAACAGAGACCCATTTCATCTCGTTAAACCCCTTCCCCAGCCGTACGTCGTCGCCATCGACCATATTTTGCCCCTGTTGAAACCCACAAAACCCACAAACTTGGAGCCACTAGATTCACCGACGACCTAGTGCCGGCAGATCCAGGCGCACTAGGGACTCCGTCGTTTTGCTCTGATTCAGCCCTCGCGTTGACCTTCAATCCACCGCCAGCGTCGTCGCCTCGAGTACCGGTAGATCCAGGCGCACAAGGGCATCTTTAGCGTCAATCGTTGTCGATCTAGATCTCCCAACCCACCGCTGGCGTGAATCCATCTTCGGCTTCAGTGGAATCCATCTCCACGATTGATTTTGAATACCCGTCCCTTCTTCCCAATTTTGGGAGTCAAATTCCAAACTTAGATTTTTTAGTTCTACAAAGAAAAAAAGGCAAAGAAGAAGATGGAAAAAGGCTCTCCCTCTCTGTCTCTCTTCATCTTCTCCGCTGACTCAACACCACTGCCCTTTGCCGCAGACTCCCCTGGGATAGAAGGAGATGGTTCAGAGCTCGAGTTCCTCAATATTCAGGGCTTTGACTTTCCTCCTGAGGACAAACCAATCTGCTTCTTCGCTCTCGGTAACATGATGCAACTGAGCCTTGTTCTCCCACCACCAGATAGCTCCAGATCTGGAGATTTGGAGGACAGATGGTTGGGTCTTGTTCTGGGATGCCCTTATTTTGTCGCTGCCTCTTATGGTTTGATAAAAAAAAAAGATGGAATCAATCGCCTGATTCATCGTCTCTGGGACACCTCAGCTCAACCCTTCCCAAATCTTAGTCAAATTTCGTGACTGACTCTCTGCTTCTAGCTTGCATCGGTTTTCTCCATATTCTCTGCTTTTAGGTTTTGTGTTTGGCGGTCAGTGGGTGGGTAGTGGTGGGAGTTTTAGATGGAATTGGTCCGACAAGAAGGCTTCTTTAATCTCTTGCGGCAGAGTTGTATTTGGCAGCGAGTCAGGGGATGGGGGATTCAGTCTCAGTAAAACAGACGTGAGCGACGACGGTGGTTAAGCAGCGCCGATGTAGGAGAGGCACTGATGTAATGCAAACAGAAATTATATTATGAAAAATTAATATTTTATTTTGATTTAAATATGATGTGGCAGTGAGGTGGCATGTTTTTGTACGTTAGAGCTGGTGTAAGTGCTGAGGTGGCATCCACATCAGCATTTTGTTAACGGTGTTAAAGTTTTTAACGGAAATGGCTAACTTTGTCAATTGAGTTTTCAAAATGTGGCTATATTAGTTTATTTTTCAAAAAGTGGCTATTATTGTCACAACCCAAATAGTTATGGCTATAAAAGTGTATTTTGCCTACTTTTTATACTATATCAATGTGATGAATTTGAATATTTTATCCCTTACATAAATATATATAGGATTGTATTAATTTTTATTTTATCAAAATTTAGTTGTGTCCTGGGAGGCGGGGACACATCCCAAACCCTCTCCTTCCGCCTATATTGACTGCCACATCAGACAAAGTTAACGAAATTGGACGGAGATTGACCAACATGACATGTTTTACTAAACCCGGTGACCACGAATGAAATTAAATATCTTTAGTGACAAACACGAACCTTATTAGTAATTACAGTGACCAACCTTGCAATTTACCCATATTCGATAGTACATATAACCTCTATAAATTAATATATGGGGACCGTAAAAATTATTAATTTATAGTAGTTATTAATTAATTGATAAATTATTAATTTTAAAGAGGCTTTTCTTATAATGTACGTTCATCGTATCTTCCAAACATTTCAAGTTCATACAATAACTTATCGCATTCTACGTATTCATTGTACTAACATTTAATAGAAGAAAATTACGTATTCTTCCAAGATAAATGTATTCGATGTATGCTTATAGATGATCTAGATTCATCTTTTAAATTACTTGCACCCTATATTCATTGATCATACATTCAATATAATTTATCGAATATATGGTGACCCGATCACTATAAATAGTAGTACATAAATATTGTAAAATTACTTGCACCCCTAAATTCATCGAATATATGGTGACCCGATCACTATTTAATTACTTGCACCCCTATATTCATTGATCATACATTCAAAAATACTTGATGCAATTAGAGAAGACAACACCGGAGACTTTGAGTGCAATAAGGAAAGTTCAAGATGAACTTCTATTAGACTTGAACTTCAAGAATAAACAAACAACTATATATTCATATTTTTCTAAATTATCCTAGCTATATTATAAATTTCTAGATGAATTGTATTTTAACAATTATTAATTTATAGAGTTAAAAATACATGTATTTATATAGGTTGGTTCTAAAAAATTATTATCTTATTATTTTATTAAATTTGCTCATTTTTTACACTAGCACAAGTTGGGACCAGAGAAATTATTAATTTATACTACGTTATTAATTTATCAATTATTAATTTGAAGAGGTTATACGGTGTAAGAAATATTTTTCATGTGAAAATATGGTGCGAGTAGAGTGAACCTGCAATCCACCCACCACCATCCACTCACCCACATAATTGCGGGTGAGAGATTTATCACTCTGCAATCCATCTGCCATAAACCAGAGCTTGAAGTTTGTAGAGGCGATCACCATACAATTGTTAATATTGAGAGTTGTGAAGATTCGAACACACGACCACTTGGGCAAACTAGACTCTGATACCATGTCATAAACCAGTTGGTCTCAATAACTTGAGTTGTTGGTTAGTAAATACTCCGTTTAATACACGTATATGTACCTGTACGTATTTTATCCGTAACTTTTGTATCCGTATTATTGTCAAGCTGTTTCATTTCTTCCGGTTCATTTGATGACTCCCGTACTAAATACGTATAAAACCCGTATAACACGTTTAATATCCGTATTTAATATATTTAATTGCTAAATTTACTGATATTTATCTATTTATTTATTTTTAAAACAATTTATTTTTTATATTTATGACTATTAACATACTATTAAACGTAACATTATCTTAGAAACGAAGTAAAATACACGTACATATTTTATACGTAACTTTCCCGTACTGTATTTTACTAACTATGGTTGAGAAAAAGTTATACTGGATCTTATACCATTTTCTTACACCACCCACATCACTCATCCACTATGTGGGATTCGAATTATTTACATATAGATCGATATCAATCCGCGGATTAACCAACCACTCACGGTCCCTTGCTAATTCCTAACTGTAAGTCTGTAACCACATTGGATCAGATGAGGACTCGGTTGAGGGCTCACGCATCTCAAAGTTGGAGTGGGAGGGCAGCGGGGGGGCACGTGAAGGAAGCCCACTGGGCCTTTTGGTGGATGAATTGTCAGCTCACCCTATTCCCCTTCTCTCTATCTGCTCTCTGGGCCCATTTCCTTTTCACTGCTATAAGTTGTGGAGACGCATCCAAAAACACACATCGACTTGTCTTCATCAAACCCAGAACTATCACCATCACCTCTTATTTATCAGCCACCTTCCCATCTCATTCTCTCTCTCTCTTCCACCTCGCTTAGCTGTTTCCTCATGATCCTATCTGCATGAGGAATTATTCAATGGCCTGGCTAGTGGCTACCCAGTTTTTGGACCAAAAATCCGTCCGTCTGAAAAAAAATACACGTAGGATACAGTGTCATATTCTAGGATTCGCCATACAGGTCAAACTGACAATGATCAGGTGCCCCCAGTTAGTATTTCCAAAGCTGGGGTCTTCCGAAACAGATCTCCATTAGACTAGTCTAGTCTCTGAACATAAACAGCTAGTGATAAACAAACAGTATGGCCATATAGCTCAACATAACATTTACAAAAATCCTTCTGAGAGGTGTACAGAATTATTCTTAGAACCTTGAAATCAAGCAAAATGCAAACAAGCCTGTTCTGATAACTTTGCAAGTGCTACAACAATCAGACAGCACAGGCCACAGCCTCGTTCTCCACCGTGTTACTGTAAAACAAGCTCAGCTTAGTGATGGCAAGTGCCTCGCCATAAAGCGAGGCGCGTGAGGATCTCAAGATCCGAACTTCGACATAGTCACCAACAACAGGATTCCTTTGCTGCTGCTGATCAGCAGCGTCTTCGGCGGTCCTGTTTGGAACTGGCACAGTGACGAATGAAACTCGGTGGCCTCTGTCACTCTTGCCCATAAGCTCCGTCTCGGGAGCTCTCTTGTTGGGTCCTTCTACAAGGACAAGTTGGATGCTTCCGATTTGGGAGTCATAGCACTGGCCTGTGCTTTCACGGAATATCTCGATCAGCTCCGTCAGTCTTCTCTGCTTGACTTCTTCAGGGACATCATCTGCATAGTTTCTGTGAGCATGGGTTTTCTCCCTCATGCTGTATGCAAACATGAAAGCCATATCGTAGCCCACCGTACTCACCAGGCTCAGTGTTTCTTTGTGGTCTTCTTCTGTTTCTCCGCAGAAACCTACCAATTACAGAGAAACAGAATCCGAGTATATCATATACACCGAGTAATTGCCATTTCTTTGGCTACCAATTTTAATGCATTCAGCCATTTGAAACAATCTGCTAGCAACTCATAGCAGATTGCCTGGAAGCCGACTCTTGATCTAAGAGAAAGGTCTCCAGGAATGCTAAACCCTAAGCGATTCCCCTCTTCCCTCCCTTCTCGACAATATTATTCAATAAATCCAAACAAACATTTAAAGAACACAAGTGTCAGCTCAAATCAATTTGGCTCCATGGGATTCAACTAGATGCACTTAATCAAAGTTCCAACTTCTTGATCAAATACACTTCAACTTGTAACATCTATCTATCAGATTTATGTGGACCAATTATCTTTTCTATACTAACTTCCAACATCTATATATCAAATTTATGTGGATCGAATTATCGTTATCTTTTCTATACTTCCAATTGTACCGTCTCTTTTCGATAACACTTCAAAAGTTTGTGGTGTTATTTAGTGATTTCACACATAACTCAGATATTTAGATATTTCATCTTATTTCTAAGGGGTCGTTTGCTTCATGGATTTATAAACGAGGGTTTTGTAATTTAAAAACCCAAGGATTTATCAAGGATTTGAGGCATCATGGATTTGTAACGATCCTTTGTTTGTTGGGATGTTTTTATCATGGATTTAAAGGTGTGGGATTTACTACTTGAAGTCAAAAATTACATTACTGCCATTTTCTATATGTTTGACATGTTTATGATATGTACACAAAACAAGGACAAAATTTCAAAATTACCTTACTATCATTTTCTATATGTTTGACATGTTTATATATGTACACAAAACAAGGACAATACATACTAATAAGCATAATGCCACATGGACAATAATAATAAACGAGAAAATTCCGTTTTAACTTTTAACGTAACATAATCAATTACCAATTCTTTGTCATCCTTTTCAAAAGTAACATATAACAACATATATTAGAATCGGGAGAAAAAAGAATTACACGTTCCATGAAAAGGTCAAAGAAAACTAGAATACAAGAAATGATATAAAAAATCTAACTCATGTTTGCACATTAATTGAACGTTTATATTATTCATTTATTTTTAATTATAATGTATAATAGTTAAATTTGAGGGCAACCTTGGAATATTAAAATTGCATTAGGGTATATGGGTAAAATGTCATCAAGGATTTATGCCATACTCCAAATCCCACATCAACATGTGGGATTTATAAGTCCGTGGGGTCCACGTATTTGGACCCTTAAAATCCGTGGGCCCCACGGATTTGGTCTCCAAAAAAGGTGCAAGCAAACAACGGATTGTACCTAAATCCTTGATAGTTGGTTTTTTGGTACCAAATCCATGTACAAAATTCTTGAAGCAAACGACCCCTAAATAATCAACAGATTGTGAGACTACCTAATCATTTCACAATCTTTGCTTTTATTTAAATATTTCCTCAATAGCACCCCCACTTTAGTTGACAACTTCTCACCGTTGACACCAACTAGATGAATCAAATGTAGTCGCCCGAGAAAGCAATCTGCTAGTAACTCAAAGGCAGATTGCCTGGTAGCCCACTCTTAAATCTTAATGCAATAGAAGGGTCACTTAGAAATGCTAAACCTCCTGACATTCTCGACTTCCTTCCCTTCTAAACAATTTATTCACTAAAGCCAAATAACCATTCAAACGAAGGCAAGAATCTGCTTAAATCAAATGGGTTCTTGAAGCTTAAATAGATATATGTTAATCCCATATAGAAAGTGCAAGTGTAGTCACTTTTAAATCAAAAGAGCTCACATACCACATATGAAATCACTGCTTATGCCAACATCCGGAATAGTTCTCCTTATCTTCTCCACCAGTTCCAAGTAAGCCTCTCTAGTGTATCCGCGGCGCATTCTTTCTATCATTCTGCTACTCCCACTTTGCGCTGGTAAATGGATGAAATTACAAACATTATGCCTGTTCCTCATTACATGGAGCAAGTCATCAGGGAAATCTTTGGGGTGCGGCGATGTGTATCTGAACCGCATCTCTGGGAACTCGGTAGAAAGCCGATCCAGGAGATCTGAGAAACGTAAACCCACGTTCTTAACCTTGCACATGCTTGAGAACCCTTCACTGTACTTCCAGTTGGAACCTGCTTCAACTTCTTGTTCAACTCCTGATTCGTCATTATAGCTGTTCACATTCTGGCCAAGAAGTGTAACCTCTTTCACGCCTTCTTCCCATAGCTCTCCAACCTCTTTCACAATCGATTCCACAGGACGTGACCTTTCTCTCCCTCTAGTAAATGGAACTATGCAGAATGAACACATATTGTTACAACCCCTCATCACAGACACAAATGCAGTGACTGAATTCTTCATGATTCTAACTGGGCTGATATCAGCATAGGTCTCTTCAAGTGAAAGAAGAGTATTAATCCCCTTCTGTCCATAGTCAACCTCTTGAAGCAACCTAGGCAAATCTCTATATGCATCTGGTCCACAAACCACATCAACCATTTTATCTGAGTCTAGTATCTTCTCCTTCAGCCGCTCAGCCATACATCCCAATACAACCACCTTTGGAGGATGAATCGACTGTGCCCTTCCTTGGGCAACATTGCGCTTCCATTGTCTCTTTAGAAACCAAAAGTAATTAAGCCTCTGCCACACCTTTTGCTCCGCATTGTCCCGGATAGCACAAGTGTTTATGAATATGATCTCAGCAGCTTCTGGGTTGTCTACAGTTTCTCTATATCCAGCATTCTTCATTACGGACAACACAACTTCCATATCACTGATATTCATTTGGCAACCATATGTCTCGTGATATATACGCCCTTTGGCAGGGGTTTCCGTTTCTTCTGTGATAACTTCATTAGCTGCTACAACACTAGATAGAATCGAACAATGGATGGAAGAAGAAAAAAAAGCCACCGTCACGGTCTAATTGAATCGGTGTTAACATGGTCGAATCAGACTAGTCAGAGCTAAGGGAGATAAAATTTATGGGGATAGTGGGGGAACTCACTCAGGCTGAGTCTGCAAAGCGGAGAGAGATGCTTGGGCAACGAAGTGATGAAGCCCAGGGCCTTCGGATTTGGCTGTAGAAGGAAGGTGCGACTGAGAAAAGCTCCTGCAGAGATTTAGAGCAAAGCTGCTTCCTTTGAGCTGCCGCTGGCTCCAATGGCGGTGAGGATACGCAGCTCGGACGGTTTTGGAGGAGAAGAGTTTCAGGGTAAAGCAGCAGCATCGTCTTTGAATGGCGATGGCACGGTGCGGTTTTTGCAGAATTGCCGAGAGAGAGGAGAGCGATGAAGACGCCATTGAAGCAGAGCCAAAGAAGCTACGCTACGCCTAGGATTAACGATTACCCAGCGGCTGCGGCCAGTGGGAGGCCATTCGAAGCTAGAAGGCAAAAGAGGGACTTGCCAATCCAAAACTAAACAAGGCCTGTCTAAACAATAACCAGTTTGCACAAGCCCAGCCCATGAAGAACTGGTGCGGGCCCAAACGGAGACTGGCCCGAAATATGGTATGAAGGCAAGGCCACTCTCCGTCGTCCACGTGGACAATTGGCCATTTGGTTTTTTGTTACATGAGAAAACTGATAAAGTGGGAATTCCAGCTCGGTATTGCCGGAGAAGAGGAAGAAAAAGAACGACGCGGTGGAGATGACGACGGCGATGGTGGAGAAATACAAAGCATTCCATCGCTTGCTCAATAAAACTTCGAGAACACTTGTTGATCGCCGATTCAGACAGCAGGGGCAGTGCGCTCGCGGCGGCTCTGCTGCTTCAGGTACCAAACCGACTAATTTGATCAATTGATAATTCTTGTCTCGCCATTGGCGGAGCTGCTGAACTTCTAAGCTTCACTTCTAGGTCTTGACCATCGCCCAGACGCAGTTGTAGAGCAACGCGTCTCTTATCTCGGATGTCCAAAGCGAGGTTTATGGACTTCTGCGCGAGCTTCTCTTCCGAGTTTGGTTGATGGAGGCTTCGCGAGGGATTACCCGATGAATCGGTGTAGAAGCTTTGGTTCAGTTGCTGGTGAAATTCAGAGAAGCTCCAAGTTTGCAACGTTGAACTCTGATGACGTGGCGCACTTCAAGGAGATACTAGGTGAGAGAAATGTGGTTCAGGATGAGAGGCTGGAAGCTGCAAATAGTGATTGGATGCACAAATACGTAGGGTCGAGTAGGATTCTTCTGCTTCCAAAGTCCACAGATGAGGTCGTCTTACTATATTGTTTCTTTTCTGCCATTTGGAATCTTGGACGACTGCTAAATTGATCGCATGAAATGGGGTTGCAGGTTTCAAGAATTCTGAAATATTGTAATTCCAGATGCTTGGCTGTTGTTCCACAAGGTGGAAATACTGGACTTGTAGGTGGAAGTGTGCCAGTTTTTGATGAGGTGAAGGAGATATTACCCTCATGAATGACTGTTGCGAAATGTCTTCTTTTACATTCTTCTATTGACCCTATTAATTTTTTTTTAAATGATTTGCAGGTGATCATCAATATGGCTTTAATGAAGCAAGTGATATCTTTTGACAAGGTAGATACACTAAACTGCTTAGCAGACCTCGTGGTTCTCATTAGACTCATATGGGGACATTCTTTCTTTATTTCTTTCTGGTTTATGGGATAGCCTTCTTGGGTGGTGTCATGTTTCAGATCAGTGGTATTCTAGTTTGTGAAGCTGGATGCATACTGGAGGATCTAATCTCCTTTTTGGATAACCAGGGGTTAGTGACTTCTGAACTATGATCCTCTGTGGAAGGTTAATGGATGACCATGGTTGCAGAGCCCATAAATTATTGTAAACTCTGTTAGTTATATTGTTTAGAAAATCTTGTAAGGAGATGGTCCACTAATTTTTTTTGAGGATGTTCACCATGTTGTGTGCTCATAAGTACAGTGCTAGTATGTGTCTCTATTCACGTTGCATTTAAGTGAGTGATGCTTTCATTCAGATTTGTTATGCCACTCGACTTAGGTGCAAAAGGAAGCTGTCAAATTGGTGGAAATGTTGCAACCAATGCTGGGGGTTTGCGCCTTATTCGTTATGGTTCACTTCATGGGAATGTACTTGGTGAGATTCATAGTTCTCCTCATCTAAAATCGGGTCTTTATTGAAATTCCATTTTTCCTTCTCTTAGAACAGTGCTCCTTTAAGGTTTATTTACAGACTTCACACAGCTAGATTAAATAAGCTGGAAGATTGTGTTAATTAAAATATTATAACATCAGTAGGTCCTTGCCTGATTATATATACTCTGATGATTTGGCTAATCTGGTAGGCCTTGAGGTTGTACTGGCAAATGGCGATGTCCTGGATATGCTTGGCACATTACGAAAAGATAATACTGGTTATGACTTGAAACATTTGTTTATAGGTACGTGCTGCTAGTCCTTTTTGCTACTGAATTCAATTTCATTTGTCAATTTTCAAAAGAGTCATGTAGTTCGTCATTCTTACTGCAGGAAGTGAAGGTTCCCTAGGAATTATTACGAAAGTTTCAATACTAACGCCTCCAAAGCTGTCTTCAGTCAATATAGCTTTCCTTGCGTGTCAAGATTATCTGAGTTGTCAGGTATGAATCCAAGAGAGTAGAAAACACGTTTCTTTGCCTGGAGAGATGTTATTTTTCTATGTGATTTTCTTTTATGGTGCGTGCATAACTTGTGCAACACAGCCATACTGATGCTCTAGCATATATCTGAGGTTTGTTTGAGGAACGTTGCGTAAGTTTTTGTAACCTGTTAGGCATGTTCTCTTCCGAGTTGTTGATCATCATGCTGTCTCTGGCAGCATGATTATTGGTGGATAGATAAATCATAGAAGTGAAGCTCTCTTTTTGTTAACTTGTCCCTCGACGAAGTTACTGGGTTGTCCAATGTTACTGCTTATTGTTACTTGTTTGTCATGTTCTATCCTGAGTTATACATCATAAATTTGTCTGGCAGCTTGTTCAATTGGCTTGTCCAATAAACTGCAGCACTCGTTTCTTGATGAAAATAGTGGGATCTGCACAGGATTTCTTCCTTGGACTAGATTTATCTAACATACACAAGGGGTGGATCATATTTTTTATCCAACTACTAAGGACAAGCTTGGATGTATCATGTCATTTCAGATAGATTTATTGATTCAGCTTTAAGTTTTTTTTTTTTTTAATGTGTGATAGTCATCTGTTTGCTTTACTATTAAGAAATAGAGTTCCATAGATACTCATGTTGTTTCTTCTTAACCTTTTCGAAATTTACGTAGAATTGAGAAGCATAACGCATAAGATGCTTGTGGGCATTTATTCAGAAACTTCTGCTGGAAGCAAAGAGGAGTCTTGGAGAGATTCTATCAGCCTTTGAATTTATGGACAGTGTCGCGATGGATGTGGTACGGCTACTCTAACCTTTTTCTTGTTATTGAATTGAATACTTCTTGACTGTTAAGCAAAAGGGCAATTTTTTTGCATTGCTATAGTTCTCAATCTTATCAGACGGCTACTTATTCTACTCTGCATATTAGGTTTTAAACAATCTAGATGGTGTTCGGAACCCACTGGCTCCCACTGCGCACAACTTTTACGTTTTGATTGAGACAACAGGCACCGAAGAGTCCTATGACAAGTATTTTCTTCCTCAATTTTCATATTTGTTTCAGCATAATGTCAGAGGTTCAGTACTAATTTACTTATGCTGCAATTGTTGTCACGGTTGAGAAGTATAAATGGGTGCTCTCCTATAGAATCGCATATCTTGCATACATAATAATAATTTTATGCTTCACTTTGAACCAACAACCATAGAAGCAATTAATATGGATTAAATTTGGGGAAACAGCAAGGAAAAGTAATCAAAACTGGGTACGCAAATGATAGATCCTGTAAGGATGCATGCCATTTCTGGTAATGACAATGCGTTACTACTACTAGTAACACTACCCGGCTTAAGTGCTACCGCTTGGATTTCCCAGAATTCAATATGTGATCTCTTTGTATTTGAATTTTTTTTCAGAAATCTAGCTCAAACCACTTTCCATGGATCAGTTATTCTATAACAATCAGATTATGCGGATAGGAGACTTGCTTTCATAATTTTAGATATTCAATGGACGACAGCTTTTGGCCCAATTTGATAGAATCTGTGATTTGTGCTTATGTCCACGCGTCATTCTCCATGCAAGTTACCTTTTGTTCCATTGTTTGGTTGGTTCTATCCACTATTGTTGGTAGTATGCCTTCTGAGTGTGGTGAGTTTGTGTGATTGGGTGACAGAGAGAAGCTTGAGAAATTCCTAGTCGGATCAATGGAATCTGGTTTAATTTCCGATGGCGTTCTTGCACAAGACATCAACCAGGCTTCTGCATTCTGGCGCTTGCGTGAGGTTCCTGATTCTTACTCTGTTTGTTTTTGGATTACTGGCTATTCTTGTGTGGATGGTATGCATGGAGGGCTTGTCAGTAGCATCCATTAGTTTATATGCTAGTTTCACAGCGTCTAATTTCAGAAATTAAATATGAAGGTGGATTTTGGTTGCAGGGTGTACCTGAATCATTGCAGAGAGCAGGTGCGGTTTACAAATATGATCTGTCCTTGCCTGTTGAAAAGATGTATGATCTTGTTGTGGAAATGAGAGCCAGACTTGGTAAGCAAAAGGTTGTTACAATGATCTGGTTTGAAATGGCTATCCTTCTATATATATAGTGAAACTCGCTGGGTGTGTGCTAGCCTGAACTATATATATATATTATTCAACACTCGAAAAATTGTCATTATGGTTTGCAGGTGAGTCAGTCAAAGTGGTGGGATATGGTCATCTTGGTGACGGAAATTTGCATCTCAACATTTCGGCTCCAAAATACGATGATGCAGTAACTTCCCTACTGTTCCTCATTGAAAAGAAACCGTTTACAAATTCGCTGTAAGCACTTTTCACTGAGAACTGATGGGTGGTGTTGCAGATTTTAGCTCAAATCGAACCTTTTGTCTATGAGTGGACATCGAATCACCGCGGGAGCATAAGCGCAGAGCATGGCGTTGGACTGATGAAGGCCAACAAAATCTTCTACAGCAAATCACCTGAAGCCGTGCGTTACACTGGAAAAATAATAAATCCCTGCTAAGTTACTACAATTTCGCCACAGGTGATAATATCAAGTGATGTTATATATGTTTGTAGGTTCAACTGATGGCTTCCATTAAGAAGTTGGTTGACCCCAAGACCATACTCAACCCCTACAAAGTTCTTCCTCACTCCCTCATGTCCTACAGCTGAAAGGTAACCAACTCAACCTGCTGAAATGTTCATCCTCAAGTACTACCCTGCCCTGGAAAAGCTCGTATTTTGCAGCATTTATCATATAAGTAGGGCTTCGCTTTTCCGCTTCAAACTTGATGTATGTAAATAAGGCCATTTGCAGGGATGGCAGGCCATTATTGGCATCAATCGATAGCCCAAAACCCGAAGGGAATTGAAGATTTGGTGACTAAGGAGGTTCTTAGTCAAGTCCTTTTTAATCCTTAGATCAAGACATGGTGAGATTGTGAGAAGAGATATTTATTAAGTGTTGGAGATAATGGTTGTATACATAATGTTAGAAATACACTAGCCACAATTTAACAATGTAGACCGCCGTTTATCACCAGTTACCAACATATACGGTGGTATACTTGGTTTGAATTTTATTTCTGCATATTTGTAAATCATAATGGATTAAGATGAACTCGTTCATCCTGTGCAGAAATTTTAAAATTATAGTTAAATCGAAGAAGGTACATAGATGACGAGGTGATAAAGAGTGAAAATGGGCGGCATGAATTTTTTTTCACGAAATAAATAAAAAATGGATGTCATTTTATATATCACAATGTACTCCAGATAGAAAAAAAAATCGAGTTGGAACAAAGTAGTTACAACTCAATTAAATAAAGTAGGGAAAAAAGTTTTTTTTTTTCAATTTCACCCCTTATATCTAACCCCATTCAAAATTAAGAGACTAGGATCTAGTTTTGCACAAATGCATAACCCTATTTTAGATTTCTCATCACTCTCTCACTTGTCTTCCACTGAAAAAATAATTTTTATTATTTTCTACCAGAAACGTCATAAAATTGACCAAAAGTTTTTTGAAACTGACCAGAAATTTCATAAAGCAGACCACAAGTTTCCTGAAATAGACCAGAAAGATGAGAGGCGGGGGTGAAGGGCAATTTTTTTTATAAGTAACCTAATGGGACCGCGTGATATTACTACTGTCTTATCATGATATTATGAAATCAATGTCTCTTGCGCAAAAATAAAATTTTATACTCTGTTACCAACTATCACACCGACATCTTACTCAAAAATAAAATTTCATACATTGTTTTTGTTTTCTGGCAGCTTGCTTGTGCTAGAAGGCAGCTTACTTCGTAGCAACTTCGAGCCTTTTGTTTGAAGCCTTCCAGATATCCAATCTTTCATCCAATGCCTTGCCTTGGTAGAAAAACATACATAATTTCATGTGATAGAGGCCTTTGGACTCGGCTGTCATCCATGCTTCTCGAATTGAGCTCCAAAGTAGGCTTCACAAACACGTTCCCAGACTTATCCATTTTCAAGCAGTTTCCCAGTTTTGGCATAGCTTTTTTATCAGGTTAAAATATGGTATTCTAGACTTCCTATCTAGTTCCCAAGCATTTCAATGTGTAGAGGGACACTCCAACTTCAAAACAAGCCATTAATCTCCAATTTCCATCGCGGCAATTGTAAGATATGAATCTCCAAAGTAGGCACCATGAAACTGTTTTTAAACTGAAACAACAGATTAGGTCGACCTAATCCTAACTGAGGTCGATCGAAAAGTGCAAGTTACGATGACTTACAAGGCACCATAGACGCACCCTAACCTTTAAACCATCTTTTTTTTTTGGTAATAGGATTTAAACCATCTTTGTTAATAAGGTTAAATCAATTAAAATTTGACTTTGCTACACTACCATTCTAGTATTAATAGAAACATGGCCATTTTTAATGATAACGCGTCACTTTTCAGCTAGCCGTTTTCTTCAACGATTACTAATGAAAGAATTACACTTAATATATATAATCAGAATTTTCACAAGCAATTCCCTGGATATCATATTGCTAAATCATTAAAGGTTAATAATAGGAATACCTAGATTCTTGTTGGTTGATCGTCTGGGACTTTATGCAAAAAAACACATGACGATTTGCAACCGGACGATACCTCGAGAGCACAATTCGGGAGGTACTGTGACCTTTCTCAATCAAACATGCGTAATCCACTGACGGGAAACCTTACGTATTCATGATGGGACGAATATGTGTGTATGTTGGTCTTGGTGTGTTGGAGACCACAACCTCAAAGATGTCTTTGGGCTCCTTACTTTGGATTAGATCACTTAATTACCTAATAACCAAATAACAAATATAATTGTTATAAACAAATATGTGGCCCACATAATTATTAGGAAATGGAATTTCCTAACAATCTCTCACCTTCATATTTTCTCAAAACAATTATATTATAAAATTCTTTAGGCGCCCAACTGTATGCTATTTGCACTTTGACATATTCTGAAACAATCTGCTCGCGAGCGGCTTGGCGTTCGACTCGGAAAAAGCTCATTCGAAACTCGCCTTGTTTACTAATGAGCCGAGCTTGAGCTTAGCTTTCTGCAGTTAGCAGAGCTCGCGAGCTAACTCGACTCGGTGGCTTGTTGAGCTCAACTCGTGAGCTAGCTCGTTTAGAGCTCATGAGATGTCTCAACTCTCAACATTGTGGCTAGCGAGCCCACTCGATTACTGAGTTATGAGCGAATCGATCTATATGAGTTTGATTTTGATAATTTATAGGATTGTTAAATTATATATCTCACCTACATGAAGTTTAACACGTAGATCATGGGAGCAAACATGTCTTATCTAATTTTAAAAAGCAATTATGTATCATAGATTGCTTCGATACTGTGAAATAACATAATTTTTCACTACTTAAAATTTGATACCTTAAAGTATATGAGATTAGCCAATATTGGACAGTTAACTATTATTATTATTATTATATTATTTTCATCTTGACATTAATCACATGTATTATGTTTGACATACAAAATGAATATATCAAATACTAGTCAAGATTTTACTAAATAAGCTAGCTCAAACTCGACTCGTTAATAAACTAGCCACGCTCAAAATAGGATAAAACTCGGCTCGACTCGGCTCATTTGCAGCCTTAGTTGGGTGGCAGATCACTGGGAAAGGGAAAATAATTCCTTGACCAAGTGTTAATGGTTCAATTATGGTATTTGTGGTTGGAATTCTGTTTGTTATTCATGTTTTTTATCCGGTATTACTCCAAAACGGTATCCTGAAACTATCGGTACAGTTTTCTAACAAAAAATTAATTTTTATTACAAAATGGTATTTTATTGGTACACATTGGTTGAACCATAGTCGTACCACAAAATACCCTACCACATACGAGTTTGATATGACTTTCGATACGAATTCCTAAACCATGATCCCTTGCCACGTCAGCGAACCCGAAATAAAAAAAATTTGAAATTTGAAATTCCTTATTTCCCTCCTTGCCCCTTTACGATGTGGAACATCATATTTCTCCTTTTCTAATTACAGCCATTAGACCGTGTTTTGTAGATCTACATATAAAAGGAGTTTTATATTCGAACCTAGGCTATATAATATTTATAAAAGTTACAAAGTAATATCACGAAGTATAACAAACTTATCAGAATAGTATACAAACTAGAATTACTTAATCTACAGACAATATATTAGAAGTGTACAAACTAATAGTACATGAAATACAAAGTAGATAATACAGTGTACAAACCATATCATAAAACATATAAACTAATATCATAAATTATACAAATTAGATCATAAAAGTATACAAAATATACAAAACAGATGCTAAAAGTATAATAATCAATAATACAAAGTATATAATCAATTATACGAAATACATAAATCAATAATACGAAATTAACATTAAAATGTATACAAACCATATGATAAAAGTATACTAACTATATATATTGTAAAAATATATAACACACCTTAGCTTTGCTTATGATTTGCTAATATTTACTGAAGGCTCTTTGTATGCTTTGGAATGTGTCAAGTTGAGTCCTAAACATATTCTATTAACTATTTGGTCTTTGATTCAATCCAACAAAAATGTGAGATTTTTTAGGAGTTAATGATGCTGCAAATTACTTGGCTCTATCTACTACTGGTTTTCAAGAAGGGCACCTTTCTTATGAAGTATTTGAGATTTCCTCTTATATCCGGGACATTATATAGCAAAGAATGCATTGTATTAGTTTATAAGATAACAAGTAGAATAAGGCCGTGGAGAGCTTATAAGCTTTCCTATACTGGCATATTACAATTCGTATCTTCAATCATGTACTCTCTAATTCAATTTTAAATGTCAATATTTGTCCTTCCAAAGAAGGTAATCCAGCAAATTCAAAAGATGTATTTTGAATTTCCTAGGGTATGTCTCCATCTCATTATAGAATTGTAATGATGTAAATCATCACAACACTCTTACCCACTTTCCTATGAGCCAGAATCCATCCCACAACATTCCTAACGATCATACAGGCCACCTCTCTAGCTAGAAGGAACTCTTGACAAAAAATGCGATGGTTACGTTCCTTACAAACCACCCATCCCACAACATGGAGAAGACAAAAGCTAACCCACCCATCAATGTTAGCAGGTTGAGAGGTCGGACGATGCTTGATGATGTTAACAACATCGTCAGAAGGGATGGTGACATTTCGACAAGCAGTTTAAATTATTCTCCAAATTTCCTTTGTATAATCGCATTCAGCAATAAGATGTTCAATGGATTCCTCTGTACAGCAACACAACTCACACCTATTTGCCAAACTCCAGCCTCACATTTTGATGATGTCAAGAGTGAGCACACTTTTATGGTACACAAGCCACAAGAACCTGCAAACCTTGGTTGGAATGACATCTCTCCACACTACACCAGCATGAAACTCTAGATCGCCTTGAAACCTTCTTTCCGTCAAGCATATGAGGAATCAACAATGTCGAAAAGCCAGGCTCCAGGATTAGTGGCAATTGCAGCAGCACGAGGGAAAGAGTAAGCAAGCACGATCCCTGGAATCCAAATATCATACCAGAATGAAACCCATGCCCCATTTCCCGGTTCCAAATAAGCTAACCTCCAAAAATCACCATGGAACTTAACTATATTAGCCCAAACCGAGCTCGAAACCCCGCCTATTTTCCACGTACAATGCTATTCCGAGAGACTGGTTCCACTACATCCTTATATCAATGCATACAATGAGAGATAATGAATCCCTAAAGAGGTTAAGGAGAAAGGGGCGATTCGTTGGAAAAACAATCTCATCGAGCAATTTGTGGGTGATGTTCCTCGTCTGCCTGATTTACAGAGTTGGGCTACTCGTATGTGGGGAAGAGAAGGTACGATTCGGGTCTCCTGATTTGGGTCGCGACTGTTGGTATTTCTGTTCCCATTGCTGAGCACGAGTGATTGGGTTTTCAAATCGGGTCCCTGGCACTTTCAGGGAAACACTATCTTCATCCGGAAATGGAGTCCTGGGATTCAGCCAATTGAATCGAAGGTGGAGACTGTTCCCATCTGGGTTCATTTTTATGGGATTCCTTTAGATTACAATTTCCTGGAGGGTTTGGAGTGGGTTGTGAGTACATTGGGTGTTCCTCTTCATATGGATAGGTCTACTCGTGTTGGGGCACAACTGGGTATTGCTTGGGCTTGTCTGGAGCTAGATGCCGGTTCGGGGTTTCCTAGTTCTGTTTGTCTGTATCCTGACGAGGAATCGGATTTTGAGTTGGGTGTGGAGTATAGTCATTTGCCTCCTGTTTGTTCGAAGTGTGAGATGTTTGGCCATAATTGCAATAGTAATAGGTATGATGGGAAGGTCTGGGTTAGGAAGGCTAAATCCAGTAAGAATCCAGACTGGGTTGCAACTGAGAAGGAGGTGGTCATGTCAACTATGGATAAAGGGAAGGCAATTGTCATTGAGGATGAGGTTGATGGTTCGCTTTCTGCGATTGGAGGTACCGACAATATGTTTTAGATTCTTAGTGATGGTGAGTAGGATCAGGGTTTGAAAGCTCCTTTGTTTAACGAGGCAGTATAAGATAGCGTAATGCATTCTAGTGGTCATCCAAGGGGGAGTATTATGTAAATATTGATATATGGATGACCAATGACCTATCACATTAGATGCTCACTTGGGAGTTACATGTAACCCCTATTTCTACATCATTATCTCTCATTCATATTAATTGATATAAGGATGTAGTGGTTACCAAAGTGTGCCTATGAATATAGCACACCATTGTATCAAAAGTGAAGAATGAATAAGAAAGCTCACTTCCCCCTCTCTTCTTTCTGTCTTTTCCTCTCTAATCTTCTCTTGTAGTTGTTTATATTTTCATTAGTTTCATAACAAGATTCAAAATTGAATCAATTTACGGGAACTCATTACACTAACCAGCGGGCTATTCATCTGTTACAACTTGCACATGGTATATTTTAAATGCAGTTTAGTTTATACGACAGTTTCTCGAACCTTGGTGGACAAATTAAACAATAAAACCGCCCCTGATAAATTGTGTTATGCATGTCGATTTCAACTGGTCTCACCTAGGGGTGGCAGATCGATTTCCGGTTTGCGGTTATCCGACCGGTTTAACTGGTAACCGATCAGTTAACAGCTAACCGAAAACCGACGGTTAATGACTGCGGTCGGGTGTCTGTAGTGACCGCGCTATTTTTGGATAACCGTGTAACCGAGACTCGGTTACTCGGCTAACCGAAAATAACCGGCCAACCACCCCCTTCTCCAAACGACCCCGTTCCCCCCACAAAAAAAAGACTCTGTCTCTCCAACCCTATCTTATTCATCCTCCTCCATTCCCAAAATCAACGACCGACTCCCTCTTCAACCTTCGATTATCCGCCGACGCCGGCCGCCAACCACCAAGTTTCCCCTCGCCGGCTGGCCAACCCCTCCCCGACGACCCCATCGCCATCCCTGCCTTCCTCCGTCGATCGCGAGCCAGCAGACAAAGCAGAGAGGGAGGCGGTCACTTACCCAGTTCTGCCGCTGTCTCCCCTCCTCGACCCAGCCACTCCGCTCGACCTCGCCGCTCCGGGAATCCGCTCCGTCGGTCACCCCCTTCCTCTTCTTTTCCTTGCAGCCATGCAGCCAGATCTCTAGATCGATTATGAATCTAGGGATTAGTAGGTGCGGCGGGAGGATTGTAGCGAGTTGGGGGATAATAGATCGGAGGAGATAAGAGTTGCCGCCGTCGCCGTCCTTCCTCCTTCTTCTCCTTCTTGGTAGCGGAGGCCGGAATGGTGTGGGAGGGATGAGAAGATGAGAAGAGATGGGCAGTTGGAGTTGGGCACTGGGTTTTTAGTTTTCCCCCCTTTATTTCGGGTAGTAGGCTAACCGAGGGTTTGACCGAAAACCAGTCGGTCGGTCATCGGCTAACCGTGGCATTATGGGCGGTCGGTGGTTGTTAGTGTTGTCTTGATTTAACCGATAACCGAGAAATCGGTTTTTGGTTAAACCGAAACCGACCGACTGACAACCCTAGTCTCACCGATGCTTTACTCTCTTGTGTTGTATTGGATGTCGATTTTCATTTTACCTAGGTAATTATTAGATCAAATTTACAAGAACTTTCTGGACTTTCTGTGGTTTGGGGATGGTTCAGGTAAGGCAAAGCTTGCATGGAATTTTTCATCTACTCCGAAGAAAGAAGGTGGTCTGAGATTGAGAGATATATCCACATGGAATATTGCTGACATGGGTCGTTTCCTCTTGTTTTTATTCATGTTGGGGGATAAGATTTTGGGTGGCATGGATTCGACAATTCAGGATGAAAGGCAACTTTGTCTCTGGAATAGTGGAATTTATCATCCACACATATAGGTTCATGGCTATCGAAGTAAGTTTTGAAGTCACGGAGTTGGTTTCATTTTCATTTGGATGTCGATGTTGCAGGCACTATTACTTGGGAGTTCAGAGGAATTAGCATGTATATGAATTTTGAGTAGGTTACTTTGATAGTTATTTGGCTGTGACGTAGTCAAATTGTGGACTTTGTACTATATTTTTTTTAGTCTTGATCTATTGACCAAGTGGGCTTAATAGAAAGACTAATTGCAAAAATAAAATGCTCAAACCCTAAACAATTATGTATGTAATTTCAAAATTTTTGTGGGTCCTAAGAGATCACCTAGGTCTGCCTCTAATAGAGGTTCGCCATTATGATTTGCTTTAAGACAATGATTAATATAGGGGCTTTTGAGGACTTGCACATCTGACCTCAAGGACAAACAAACTCTGATACCATATCATAAACCTACTAGTGTAGTTGCAACATCCCCGCATTGTTCCACTGGAAACCTTACATTGCTTCATAAAAAGTTTGTCATTGCACATGGAAATGCAGCCGCTAAACCAAAGAGATGTGTCCCTTTATAGAATCAAAACATTTGATTTGACCAGTGTAATCCCAGACCGATTTGTTCAGGCCAATCTTAAACCAATTTGACCCGATTAGTTAGATACTTGCCACCATGGAGTATACAAAATAGGACACATGAGCATCAGCTTGATCATCGTCTTATATGGGGAGGAGACACTGATGACTTAATATATACACATGTTTTTGTCCACCATTCTTATGCCGTTTGAGCCTCATTTCTCGTATCATAGGCTGATTTCACGCTAGGTTGTTCTTGTTTGTGATATTTCAGGTCCTAGTACGTGATTGGAGGTTTGGGAACGAGTTCAGGGTCGATTGGACGAAGGTTGGACGTTTGGCGAGAAGCCGAGGAAACCACACGGCAAGACCTAGCAGCCACACGGCCGTGTGGCGTGGCCATGTGGAATTCTATTGCGCGAGCAAACCACACTGGCCGTGTACCGGGTCCCTTGTGGCCGTGTGGAAATCACAGAGATGTCACACGGGCAGGCCGAGATTTCACACGGCCGTGCAGTTCTGGCCGTGTGACGTGCATGAGACCATTTAAGTGAAATGCGGCGTTTTCACCTCCACACAGGCATCTGGGATTTTCACACGGCCGTGTGGTTGGGAAATTCTGGGTTTAACCCAATTTTGGGTCTTTTGGAGGGGAATCAAGTTTTTGAGCAAAAAACAGAGCATGAGAGAGAGAGAAAGTGCAAAGAACAAACCCTAGGAGCTATTTGGAGTGGATTTCTAGCCATTGAAGCCCAGATTGCATCCCCAGGAGTGAAGATCAACATCTCAGAGCAGATTATCCCCATCTTTATGAGTATGACTGCTCTGATTTATGTTTTCATCTCTCTCTCCAGATTATCCCCATCTTTATGAGTATGACTGCTCTGATTTATGTTTTCATCTCTCTCTCTCTATGGAGTAGAACCTTCTCTCACTTGGGTGTGAAGAACCCTGGTTCCATGTATTAGGAATCTTGATTGTAATGACTTTGGATTGATATACTGATTGATTTTAATCGATTGATGCATGATTCATTGAGTCAATTGAAGCCTGATCATCTTTTCTTGATTTCTGTTACAACCTGAGATAGATAGAATCTGATTAGGTTGTTAGAGCTTCATCAATCGGTAGTGTTAGATTGGTTATACGAGAGTTAATCGATTTACTGCTTTGTACTGGAATCCAATTCCAGTAGCGGAGTTCTTCTTTTATTGCCTCAGCAGTCTATCCCGGTGAAGGCTAGTGACCTGCCGGTTAGTCTGCCTGAGAGGGCTTGGTCAGCTTAATAGATTCCAAGCTACTATCAGATCTTCCGCAGTTTAATCAACAATTAATTAACCCAGGGTAGTTACAACCTTGACTTAAATAAGGAGCTAGTGGGACTCATTCCCGAGTGACTCTTCCCTTGCTAAAGAACTTTGAACCATTTCCTGCTTTCTTACTGCTTTTACTTAAAATCACAATCACTCGACTTAGTTTGCTAGATAATAGATAATCACGGAGTAGGCAGTAGATCTAGACCCCGGGTTGACAAATAGAACTTGCCACTAGTCTGCATTTCCGGACTACGATTACACTTGGTCGCAGTTTGGTGTTATGTTTTAGCGTGTCAGGCACCCACACTTGTCAATATATTCAGTAGCATATAATAAAATTACAAACGGAAAAGGAAGAGCAAGATAGATAATCAGGTTAAGGACGAGTTATTAGTAAGGGAAACGAGCGGCTTGAACACAAAGTTCAGAAAACCAAATCAGAACCAAAGTGAAAGACCATTATTATTCTTAGTTAAATCACATGCATAATCCTCCCTCCATATATAAATTACACATATTATCTTCAGTGATGTTCTGCTAAAGGAGGAGGGCTTGGTACTGGAGGAGGCTTTGGTACTGGATCAATAGGCTGATAATCCTCAAGCTGTTGGTCCGGCTCAGTTGAAGGAGGATGATGGCAAGGATGGCCTGGTTCATGACACGGATTGGCGCTTGGAGGCGCATAATACTCCATCCCTGCAAGGTCCATTCACGAAGGGTGAGTGAGGGCCTAAGATCAAGCCAAAAGGCATAGTTGACGGACAACATGTGAATATTCTTGTACTACAACATGTGAATATATGTACTTACGGGAGATGGGGATTGAGTTGAGAGCAGCGCAAGCAACTGTTGCAAAGGCAAACAACATACAGACGATAGCATAAAAGAAACCCATTGACTTGTTTATGGTTTTCATCATGGATTGACAATTTAGAGCAGTGAAAAAGGCAGGTGGGGGAGGAGGCTGGATGGAAATGATTGAGTAGGTCATCATTTATTTATATACTGTACAAGATGGAGTGAAAAAAATGAGAATTTACGATTTTAGGATATGCAATGCAATTATTGAGTCACTATAAGGAAAGTAAGTGATTAAGAAAAATTAGTTGTGATTGTAACAATAAATGTTGTGGATTTGGATACTATTTCTCAAGAGAGTCATTAATGAATGAAATCAGACTTTGATTGTAAGATTCAATGCTCTGGACTTGGATACCTGTATTTAAGAAAGTAATTCATTAAGAAGGCTTACTTTTTTAAAAAGAATGATATTTAATTTCAATATTTTTTTAGATGGAAATTTTTGGACCACATATACTAACATCGTATCATCATAGAATATTTTTCATACTACTATAACATATAGTAAAATCAATGAGATATAGTCTATTAAAATTTAAAGGTGGAAGTGCTTATGCACTTGATTTGCTCCTTACATGCTAAATGTGATATCAATCCAATTTTATTTTGGTAGAAACATCAATCCAAAAACATTTCTCAATAATTAGAATTTATATTAAGCTCACTTGATCAATACATCAAACCTCAAAATAATGAGGACAAAGTCCAGAATTGGCTACATCACTTGTCAAAACTCCTCAAACCAACCTAAAAAATATATAAAAACTTTCCTACTCCTCACTAAACTCACTATTGCCCATGACAAACAACACTACTTCATTATTGAAACAAAGCAACAAGTCTGTCCAATCAAACTTCTTCCTCCAAAACACAACCACATATTTCTTTCAATAAGAAAATCACTAATCAACACCAAAGTTCACAGTAGATACGACCAAATGCATCCCTGCTCCTACTGCAGAACAGGCTTGTTGTAATTCCCCATCCCGTGTATGCAACCCTTCTGCTATGGGTCCAACAATGAGTGACTCAATCCTACTGTCACTCTAGGAATTGGCCAAGTGTAACCACTTCCTAAAGTGTAGTATAGCGGGCTTGGGTTTTAATGTCAACCCGGGTCCTAGATTTGATGACTACTCGGTGAATTCTTGTTATCTAGCAATGAAACTTTAATGCAAGTCTAAACTAACAAACAAGCAAAGTAACTAAACGGTTGTTTTCAGGTTAAGAGAGGTCACCCGGATATGGTTCCCCCTAGACTGCAGTTAAGCCGGATTGCAATTACCAAGTTCAATTTCTATGATAGTTATACTGCAGAAGGTTCTTAAGCAGTCTGAAGTCTCGACTAAAGGTCTCCAGACTCTCTCAATCTGAGTCTCTAGCGGGCGACTAACCTCCACCGGAGTAAACAGATTGAGGCCCTAACGAACAAAACCTCCACTACCGAAGTGAATTCGGTACAGAATAGTGAGTTGGCTCCTCGACTAAAGTCACAAACTCCCTACCTTCAATCAAGGATGCTCTATCAACCTAGGCAGATATTCTCATTCTAGGTTAAAGCAGAAACAACAGGAATTTGATCAGGATTCATGCCATTCAATCATTCAAACCTCAATTGAATATAATCAAATCATAGAATCAGTACTTGGGTTCATACAATCAAACCTAACATACAAATCTAGGGTTTCCCATACCCAGATGAATGGGAGAACTACTCCATGGAGAAAGAAGCAAAAGCAGATTCAGACGCGAAAATCATACTGTGAAGGATGGATTTCTGCTCCTGGACGTTGATCGGCACTCCTCCAAGCTCAAGCCAAGCTCCAATGGTGATGAAGATCAAGCTAGGGCACTTGGGAACTCTTGTTTGTCGCTTTCTCTCTCTAGGAATCGCTCTGTCTCTCTAAAACTCGAATCCCCTTCTGTTTTGGCTGAAATCTGCCTAAAAGGGCATCACTGGGCAAAACACGGTCGAGGGCACGGCCGTGTTCTGCTCCAGCCCGCCCGTGCCCTTGCCAAGTGTTAAATACACGGCCAGACTCTTGGGGAAAACACGGGCGTGCTTTTGGTGGACACGGTCGTGTTCTGTCTCAGTCCTGCCCGTGTTTTGAGCTAGTGTTTGACAGACTCAGATCAAGCCTCGGCAGTAAAAACAAGGTCTAGGAACACGACCTTGCTTTGATTTAGGTGTGCCCGTGTTTTGGCTCCAGCTCGAACGAATGACTTCCGAATGTCCCGAAACTCGTGCTTAGCCTTTCCTTCGACGTCTGGGACCTGAAATATGACAAAGTAGCACAACCCGGCGTAAAATAGGCAAAAAATACATGACTATGCCCATCAAACGGATAAGAACTAGGGGTGCAAATATGTGCAATTACATCGTTATCAAATTCCCCCACACTTAACCGTTTGCTTGTCCCCAAGCAAACCAAGTCAGACACAAGGTAAGCTCAAAATGTTTCAATCAAGCATGCTTTAGGGCATATCATATCGGCACAAAACACGTGGATCATACTGGCTTTCGATCATTAACACATGGACAACCTCAATGACAACCTAGACAACCACCACAGATGACATTCGAATGCAGTAAAGTCGAGAAAAGGAAGAGTTCCCTTCTGTTCACTAACCAACATATACTTGACTCAACCACTTATACCACTTATTCAAAACAGTCACGTCATGCACAAAGCTCAAGATATCAGAATTAAGACCGAGCAATCTAGGTCCTCACCAGGATAAAGAGTATAGAGAATATGAGAAAATGAATCGCTCACTCTCAACCAGTGGGGTCAGGACAATTTGATGCGAAAAGTGCGCATGCTTAATCTCTCAATCCCTAACGTCTCTTCACCATGAATGCAGCCTCTAAGTGCTAGAGTTCACATATGGGGTGTCACCACTAACTACCGGAGGTCTTAGACACAGGTTCAGATGACTGGCTAGGGTCTTGGACATGGGGAAAAGGCCTTTTAGGTGGTGGAAGTATTCATACATCACAAGGTTCCACATTTCCCAACCCAACAAACTCACAGTCAATCAAACCAATAACTTTCTTTCTGCTATTCTGCATTACTCAAATTCTTCAGAGCACAAGAGTGAAGGAGGTCACATAAATGCTAGTATTTCTAAGCCAGACTGCTAAGAAACACTACTTAATGGGCACTATTAAGATTTTTGGTGGTGGCTCTCTTTTGCTTTCATTTTTTCTTTGTTTTTCTTTCATTTTTTTTTTTTTTTTTTTCATTTCTTAAGAGAACCACCACCTCTGCACATTTTCAAATACCTGCCCAACTTTTAAGCATTACCTCCAACCCTCACATTACGTTTAGCAGAAACAGCAGAGAACATGTAAAAATCACTCTGTGGAACCTTCTAAAAGATGCAAAAGGGGTGACTTTTCATTGAAGACCGAAAGAAAGGAAAACACACGGCTCAAAGGGGCTGACTAGGGGGTATGACACACCAGGACAGTCAATTTGGTCGTGGGCTAATCCTATGCCTCCATCATCCTAGCTAATGACAACGTGAATGCAGCATATCATGGAAGAGGAAACTATCGCACAAGAAAGAAACGAGCAGGTTCAAGTCTCACATGGCTACCTATATGCTCTATCTCTCGTTCTGATTCCCTGAACTAGATGCATAAATGACTGTCAAAAGCAAGTGATCAAACCAAGTCACATTTCGTGAGCAAACAGTTGAAAAACTGAACCCCTACACAGTTCTACTGCACATCTCAGTCATCATAATAAGTTGTCTAAGTCACACTCAAGTTGGCATGCATCAAGTCAAAAGCCATTAAATTCACTAATCAAATCCACAGTGCCAATACGATCAAACATCAGGCAAACGGCAGTGTTAAGAGAGGTCACCCGAATATGGTTCCCCCTAGACTGCAGTTAAGCCGGATTGCAATTACCAAGTTCAAATTCTATGATAGTTATACTACGGAAGGTTCTTAAGTAGTCTGAAGTCTCGACTAAAGGTCTCCAGACTCTCTCAATCTGAGTCTCTAGCGGGCGACTAACCTCCACCGGAGTAAACAGATTGAGGCCCTAACGAACAAAACCTCCACTACCGAAGTGAATTCGGTACAGAATAGTGAGTTGGCTCCTCGACTAAAGTCACCAACTCCCTACCTTCAATCAAGGATGCTCTATCAACCTAGGCAGATATTCTCATTCTAGGTTAAAGTAGAAACAACAGGAATGTGATAAGGATTCATGCCATTCAATCATTCAAACCTCAATTGAATATAATCAAATCATAGAATCAGTACTTGGGTTCATACAATCAAACCTAACATACAAATATAGGGTTTCCCATACCCAGATGAATGGGAGAACTACTCCATGGAGAAAGAAGCAAAAGCAGATTCAGACGCGGAAATCATACTGTGAAGGATGGATTTCTGCTCCCGGACGTTGATCGGCACTCCTCCAAGCTCAAGCCAATCTCCAATGGTGATGAAGATCAAGCTAGGGCACTTGGGAACTCTTGTTCGTCGCTTTCTCTCTCTAGGAATCGCTCTATCTCTCTAAAACTCGAATCCCCTTCTGTTTTGGCTGAAATCTGCCTAAAAGGGCATCACTGGGCAAAACACGGTCGAGGGCACGGCCGTGTTCTGCTCCAGCCCGCCCGTGCCCTTGCCAAGTGTTAAATACACGGCCAGACTCTTGGGGAAAACACGGGCGTGCTTTTGGTGGACACGGTCGTGTTCTGTCTCAGTCCTGCCGTGTTTTGAGCTAGTGTTTGACAGACTCAGATCAAGCCTCGGCAGTAAAAACAAGGTCTAGGAACACGGCCGTGCTTTGATTTAGGTGTGCCCGTGTTTTGGCTCCAGCTCGTCCGAATGACTTCCGAATGTCCCGAAACTCGTGCTTAGCCTTTCCTTCGACGTCTGGGACCTGAAATATGACAAAGTAGCACAACCCGGCGTAAAATAGGCCAAAAATACACGACTATGCCCATCAAACGGATAAGAACTAGGGGTGCAAATATGTGCAATTACATCATTATCAATGAGCTCTGCGGAGGTGGTTTGTGGGTCACCTGTAAGTGCACGGAGCTCTCGGCTTCCTCTGCAGCCGGATATGGGAGAGTTAGTAGTCCAACAAACTGGGATCTCTCTTCATCTGGAACCCATTGAGACCATGAGATAGATGGCAATGATAAGGAGTTCTCTCCGGTTAAGAAGAAAGGCAGGAAGGGAGGTGGTAAAGTTGGTGGTGGGGGTCGTGGTAGGTTGAAGAGATGAACTTTTTAACTTCGAATATACATGGTTTTTGTGAAGATAGTAAGTTTACAGCAATAAATAGAGTCATTAGACAAAATAATATACATATAGTAGCTATTTTAGAACCTCGGGTTAGAGATATAAGGAAGATAAGTTATTGCTAAAACGTTTCCCTTACTGGGAATCCAAAATTAGTTATGATGATAAGGGTCTTGGTAAAATCTGGCTTCTATGGAAGAAGGAGGTGTCTCTATATGTGAAGGAGTAGCTTGCACAGTTTATAGAGGTTTGGGTGAATGATGTTGTCCTGTTTGGTGCTACCTTTTTGTATGCTTCTAATACCGAGTCTGAGAGAGTCAAGTTGTATGTTGATCTTCAAAGATGTAAGATTCTCTCGATGCCCTGGCTTACCTTAGGAGACTTCAATGCTATCAGAAATCCATATGAAGCGTTGAATGATCCTGGTTTCACTTGCAGCATGGCTGATTTCAATAGTTGGATTCTTGATTTAGAGCTTGAAGAGCACAAATTTGTTGGTCCTGGTTCTCCTGGATGAACAAGCAATCGAGGAATCCTATAGCTAGAAGGTTGGATCAAAGTTTTGTGACTCTTTCTTGGCTGGATAAAATCCCTCACAGTAGAATGAAGATGTTGGATCCTGATGTCTTAGATCATTGTCCTATAGTTGTTCAAACAAGGGAGCCACCGAAATCTCTCCCCAAACCTTTTAAGTTTTTCTAATTTTGGATATCTCATCCGAAGTATGAGGAACTGATAAAAGTGGCTTGGACTACAAGGGTTGTTACTTCTCCAATTATTCAGTTTTGCAAGAAGCCGAGGGTGTTTAAAGGGTTTCTCAAAGTCTAGATCTACTGGCTACTTCGTAAACTTTTATTATCTAGCAACTAAAATGTAGTGAGTTGTTCAAAAGCAAATTAAATAGAAAGCAGAAAATGTTCTGGGTGTTCAAGTATGCTAAAGGTTATCCAAGTATGATTCCCCCTAGTATGCAGCTAGTTCATATTATATGTTCCCAATTTACTCCGATTTATAGATATACTGCGAAAAGTTCTTGATAAGTCTGGAATCTTGACTAAAGTAATCCAGACCCTCTCAATTCGAACACTCGGCGGGCGACTAACCTCCACCGGCATAAACTAAGGCAATAACACACCAAACGTCATCTTCTGCTTTAATTCTAGGATAGAGCATTGAATTGATTTCTTGACTAAAGCAATCGATTTACCACTTCCAATTTAAGGTTGCTCTATTAATCTATGCAGAGACTATCATTCTAGGTTAAAGCAAGAATCACAAAAGTTTGATCAAGACTCATGCAATTCTTATTAATGCCTCAATTGAATATATCGAATCAATCATTCTCAAAGGGGTTTCATACAACCATTACTAACATACAAAAATAGGGTTCTTCATACCCAGATGAAAATTGAGTTTACTCCATGGAGCGAAGAGGAAACATCAAGCTAGGAGGAGAAATCATCATGCGGACAATGAAAATCTATTCCAAGCGGCTAATTGGTACTCCAAGAGTGAGGAATCGAGCTTCGAGGTCTTCAAATCGCTCCAATCCTTGCCCAAGGGTTGTTCTTCGTCACTTTCTCACTTGGGTTCTCTTTTCGCTCTTTAGAACTGAAAAATCCGGATCCTTTGCAATTTGCCCGAGATTCCCCTTTTATATGCTGGAGATTCGCGAGTTACGGCAAAAGTTACGGCCATAACTCCCTCTCCCAAAACTCCGTAACTTTGAGGGGAAAGACTTAACTCCAAAAACTCTCATGGAACCTTTGGCACTGCTTCCCCAGAGTTATGTGTGCTGAGGGGAATTTATGGTACAGACCGTAACCTCGAAGGTCTGGCCATAACTTTAAATGTGTTTCAGGATCCCTGTCCTTTGCTCCTCCAAAGTTACGGGCTCATGGGAAAGTTACGGTCCAGACCGTATCTTACAAGGTCTGGCCGTGACTTTTCCTTGCGCTCTGCCCGTTCGCTCCAAAACGTTCCAAAATTCGCTCCTTCGCACCCATTCACGTACTAGGACCTGAAACATCATAAACCAACACAACCTAGAGTAAAATAGGCCACGATAGCGAGAAAACGAGCTCAAACTATCAAGAAATGATGGAAAAAAACATGTTCAAATACAGTGTTATCAAAGGGCATGCCCAACTAAGTGCTTTTTTGAAATTCATCGATGGTGAAGAGAAGCACGATATAGTAGGTTCATCACCCCTCTAGCACAAGGTGATGGCAGGTCAAAGAGTTGATGCCACGTAAATTTCCACCTTGCATACCTTGCCCCTTGTTCATGGTGAGGCTTATGATTTCCATAAGGCGATGGCTCAAGTTAGACCTCACATAGCCCCACCCATTGGGTAGGTAAGATGCTAAAGTCACTTGCTTCTGTTGATGGGTGGCAAATGGATCCATTATAAGGGCTCGAGAGAGATTTGATACATCCTAAGCCTTTCATTCCATCTTTGGGCATATTATTTGAGGATCTGTATCCTTAGGCATGCTAGTACGAGCTTCTGGTCCTGAAGATTAGTAACTCCTTCCTCTTAGAAACATGAGAGGAAGTATCTTGGTGCATTGTTTCCTCATTTAGTAAAGCTGGAAAGTTATCTCCAATTGAAATTCACTAGAAACAAGATGCCCATGTAGAGGTGGCTCGTCAATGTCGATAGGAAGTGGCTCTATTAATTGTTGGGGATGGATAGGTTCATCCCAGAGAGTAAGTAGGTAGTGACTAAGATTATCCTCTAAGTGATAAAAGTCATAGGATGCCCTATCGGTCATATTCCACAAGGTCTTCTAATGTATAAATACTCACACCATACCATCTATGCTCAACAAGAAACAGTGAAGACTTCTGTAAGTGTTTTCATTCGAGTAAATAAACCAAAGCAAGAGAGTATAGTTGTTTAGGGATTTTCAAGTTACAGATGCATAAAAGTAAAGATACGTTATTGAATAAGAGGGTAAACTTTGAGTATCATCACACATACTAATTCTCAATTGTATGATGCATCAATGGCTCATCTATAACATCACTCTATCTCTTCCACTAAGGCCATCCTACTCAAGCTTTCGCCACATGCTATTGGAAATTGAGTAGCTAATGCGTGCTTTCGCTTCATGTCATCACCTAATCAATAGAGAAGTGAAGATAACACATGATTTAAGTGTGGGCCTTGATCCATCTTGTAGTGTAGACCAAATTAACATGGCCTCTCTTAGAACCCTTACTTCAGAAGTGAGGTACGGTTTTGTTGTAGAAGATCAATTTAAGAGGTTGAGGTTCCTCCGATTTTGTAGAACTTAGCCGTTCGAAACGTAAAGTGAGTGTAAAAATTAAATTTATGCTACCGGAGAAGTGAGAGAGCATAGAAGGAAGACATTGCATAGGCATCAATCCCCCTAGGTTTACTAACCACGCACCCTCGACGATGGAAGCATACAAGTTGCCGATTTTCATTTTATTAAATCCCACCTTGTGTCGAAGCATTTACCCTAAATAATGGGCGATAAGGTCCCTAAGAATTTCTTCATTTGATCGAGTGAGGTTTGATCGAGTAGGATTGGTATTTCTAGTCCCATCCTAAATGACTAGGATTTTGAGTGCAAAATCGACTAAGAAATCATTCGGATCAACAAATAACAAAATACAGGAAATTAAGCAATAGACATATGAAGATCAAACAATCGTATTAACAGAATCATCGAGTTTACATGACCTACACAACTAAAAAACTTAGCCGACCATGGGGAGAGTGTTCTGGGCGTTCATCGTTGGAAACAAAAACTCCAGGAGACCACAAGAATCGGCAGCCAAAACACAGAATAAGGCCCAGTGGTGCCAATTTTGATACCTCAAGCTGTTAAAAACAACTGGGTGTTCTTTGGCAGAGATTCAGAGTTGGAAGAGGACGACGACACCGCCTCTGGTGGCATAGACGCAATATCCATCAAACCCTTGGCCTTATACATTCCAGCCCCAGTAGATATGAAAGGACCGCTTGGAGCCTTCTTTCTAGTGGCCTAGAACCGGCGCCTCATACTGTTCAAAAGAGAGGGGGATCATAACCCAAATCGAGGGGTCTCGGAAAGTGTGGATGCAACATTCCATGCTTTCCCTCACGAGTTCTTCCAAAAGCATGAGGACGAGGAGGGAGAATCAGGTGAGGGTTGGCTCACTTAAAACCAACCAGGCCACCTAGCTCAAAGGCATTAAAGAGAGAGCGCTCCCTAGGAGGCAACCCATGTTTAGCATCTAACTTAAAGACGTTAAACAAAAGGAATAATGGGATATAGTCCAGGACTCTTATTTCATCACTTTTGGTCCTTTTTGTAAGATTGTTTGATCAGGTGGAATAAAAGTTGTGGTGATTTTTTTCAAATGGATGTATCCATATTTTTGTAATCATTTGAGGATCACCTTTTATAAAGGTGGCTAAATTGGCAGCCTGGGAAGCACTTTGGCGCTAGATCCGCCAACTTCGTGTAACACATACTGACTTCTTTCAACCACCTCCACTAAATCCGGCAGAAAGGACAAGATCAACCGTTTTGCATAATTGGGTCTTCCATTTCGGCATATATTATTACCAATAAAGTTGGTCGACCCAGGATTTATGGTTCACACATAGTCCCATGAATCATGGAATGTCATAAAAATGACATCATAACCTACTTACCCATGGGAAGGTGATCCTAAGCCCTCATATTCTACAATATGCGCTTCAACAGAATGAGTGGTTGCAGGCTTGCAGCCCTTTTCGTGCGGTAGCAGTCTTGTCACGAAACAACAACCTACCTATCTTAAATGTTAGGGCAGTGTATGGGCACAGAGCGGTTGTCTTAACATTGGACCTTAATGCGGGGAGGATTTTGCGACTTTCATTCCACACTCTACCATCATTTCCCCCATTTTTGACCATGATTACGTGCCTAGTGTCCTCCATATCTCGACCATTGTAGAAACTTTGTTTGCTTACTCCATCGCCATTGTCTAATTTTTACCCACACCATCCACCTCATATTATTTTTCTTGGTGTTTTCTACTAATACCTTAGTTCGAATCCTCGTGGTTGCATGAAAGGTACATGTAATTACTTGCATTTCAGACCTTTGTGCTTCATATGTCCATTCGATGCCCACTCATATCGGGTTGGATCTTATACTTACCTCATCATATCTTTAGAGCTTTCCCCTATTGGTATACGTTGCAATGGAGTTGGGATGAGAGAACATTGTGGAGTAGATGATTGGTGTGTGTGTTCATGGATTGAGGTTGGCGTGCCCTTTACTTGTGTCATGATGCATTTCAACCACACGTGGTTGTCTTGATCTACATTGGTGTCGACTTCCACATCTAAACGCCTTTATCGCTTTGACATGGATAGAACTAAAGTGCGGGTGATCAATTGGGAATCTTCTTCTACCACGGTCTTCAAGAACACCTCTCGATGATACATGAGGGTATTGAATTTGACCTTCATACATTTCAATGCCATGATGGCCTCGCTTTTTGCATGTTGCATAGCATTGTCGACTCTCTACTCTTCTCTAGCTGGATTTCCCCAAGAGAGCCGAAGTTGGAAAACCTCTTAGATTTTGTCATAGAGGAGGAGACAACGCACTTATTCCTCCATTTTACACTTATAATTATTCATACAAAAACAAATTATCAAGGACCTAGTCGGCCGGCTTGGATTTCTCGAAAATATGACTCCGTTCTATATTTTTCCTCACCTCCTTGTACGGTCCAATGAGGACATTCTCCCATTTAAATTGTGGGTGGGATTTAGGTAGATTGTTCTTCATTAATATACCATATTCAGATTGTTCATGCATATGGGAAATGGTGCTTTCTACCCAAACATGTAAAAACTACACAAACCTCGCATTGGAGAAATTTTGTCGTGGGTCACTGCCTTTTCACGGTGTGAGCATGTTCATGGTCGTGGCTGTGGCCGTGAATTTCTCGGAAATTATTTTGTCAAATCATCAATTTGGGAATTCCAATCCTAATTTTCATGGTTTGCATCACGCCCGTGAGGTGGCCTGTGAGGGATGGGTTGCCCTCCAAAGTAGTCACATGCGTATTATGTGTACATGGAATAATTTGTGTGCGCGTTTGCACATAAAATT